TAACACAAGTGCTGGATTGGAAGGCTGGCGAGCCCGTGCACCAGCAACAACATCGACTATTGACCTGCTTGAGCGGCACATTCACCGGCTCGCAGTGACATTGGAGTATAATCGAAAAGAAGCGTATCCTATCGTCTGAGCTTGCGATAAGTTGAGCTACCTATTGCTACGACCGGGTGGATTTAAGTTGTTCTGTGACCACAGAAACTTGATCTACGTATTTGCACCTGGCGCAGAAGTAAAGAAACATATTCGTGGGAAATTGCTAAGGTGGGCAACGAAACTAGTTGAGTACCGGTATGAAATTGAACATATCGACGGATCATCGAATGTGTGGAGCGACATGGTCTCCCGTTGGGCAGGTAACCACGCTCAGGTAACTCACCTACGGCAGATGACACTCCGAAAGCGCGCTCCCGCGACAGCTACCGGTACAACAGCACCTCGAAAACGAACTCGACGAGGCCGCAAGCGTGCAGCCCCAGTGCAGTCAACTACGGATACTGTACTACCTACACCACGACCCATCCGGTCATTGAATGACCCGGATTTCGAGTGGCCAAACCGCAATGCCATACTCCAATCGCAAAATCGGCATAAGACGTGTCGACCAGCAGAGGCTACTGGCAGTGTAAAAGACGGGTGGTGTACTAACGGCAAACTATGGATACCTGATGAAGACGAGGGCCTTATCCAACGCATCCTAGTTGTTGCCCATTGCGGACCGCAAGGACACCGTGGTCGAGAGGCTACTATGGAGTCGATTAGGAGATCCGTTTACCTGGTTCGCCTGTGAGCACGGGTGGAGGGATTCCTGTCGACCTGTCGTTTGTGTCACCACGTGAAAGGCAGCAAGATTATCCAAAGGCCATGGGGTGAAACATACAGGACCAATGAGCGAAATGGAGCACTTCACTGGGATTTTCTGTCCCTTGGAGAGAGTTTCGCCGGTGACAACTATCTACTCGTACTTAAGGATGAAGCAACGCATTTTTGCGAATTGACACCTTGCTGCGGAAGCCATCCTCGCATGGCACAGCAGGTATGGCATACCGCCACTGTGGATCAGCGACCAGGGGTCGCACTTCAAAAATGCAGTTGTGGCAGAAGTGTGCCGGCGACTGAAGTCACGTCAAGAATTCACGTTGGCTTACAGTCCGTGGATCAATGGCAGCATCGAACGTGCCAACCGTGATATTATACAGGTGCTGTGAGCACTCTGTCTGGAATATGAGGTCGAATTACATGATTGGACATATTTCGTACCTATTTTACAGGGGAATCTGAATCACACCCCGGTTCCTTCTCTGGGTAACAGAGCCCCAGTGGAGATTTTCTGTGGGTTGCCGCTGCCGTCACCTTTGGACTTTTGTGTGGACTCGAGGCAGCGCAAGATTCTATCCCTACCAGAGCAACCAGCCGACATCGAGCTGAGGCGAGGCGGGTGAACGCCTGACCGCCCAGGTGTATAGCTTGGCGAGTCCCGGGTGTAGACTCCCGAATGGGGTGCACCCAGAACAAACCCTAGCCAGAGATAGTACACCTAGATGTACACTCCAACCGGGGTGGCGTGTGTCCTTGTGAACAATCCCTGTGGGTTCGTTTGTCTTCGTAACCAGGGGTCTTCAACCGTGGATGAGTTGTCTTGATACTTGTAGGTCGCTAGGTAGCAGGGCAGAACGTAACCTTCCTGGACGTCGCCTCTGACAGCCCTCAGACAACCAAACAATACAAACAGATACAGAGTTATATACAAGCACGTAGCCCTTCCTTATTCTTTTGGGCCGTGGAAGGGTCGGTCACTACTCCAGTCAACTCCGGCCGGACTCCGGGATACTGGTCAATCCCGGTCGGCTTTGGCTCACGCGCACCACCCTCAAGTACTGAGGGAAACTAACACAATCAAATACCTCCTATCACACAATAGCTCTTAAATCAATACTTTCCAACCGGGGCTACTCCAACCGGGGTGACAAGGTAATCGGTAATATGAAATGCGGGGCCTTCACGGTCTGGACGAGCTCAACCGCAACATGGAAATGAAATGGGATGGATCAACCTCGGGTTGTCGTCCGGTACTCACCCCAACTTGGACTGGACTTGGTTGCGGGAGCTCGACCCAGATGTCACAGTTGCTGGGCCCTCACGCGTAGACTTAGTCGGTCCTCCGGGAATGCACGTCCGGTAGGCTGCTCCAACTCACTTGCGCGATCCTTGGCAAAACGAACTCTGTTTATCTGTTATCTGTGGTCTCTCTCTGTCTGTCTTTACATGCATTCCATCTTGACTTGTCTTCACTATGGTCTTGTCGTCGCAGTCGTCCGCGGTCCCTCGTAGCATACTTCCAGCAAGTATAATCATCACTGGGTACGCAAGTGAAGTTCAATGTTCCACGGAATCCGAGCAGATCTTGGCTGGTCGGCTTGGTCGGTCGGAAACATTTTGGACTTTGTATTCTGGATCTTCACATCTGGGATGGTATCTTGGTATCTTGGTATCTCCATTCGGGATTCATGATTATCTCCAAACGGGATTACACTCCACTTGGGCTTCACATCCGGGATGTCTTGGACAGCTTCACGGTTTCTGGGTCTTCACTCGATCCGGTCGGGCTCCTCTTGCGTTGCACAGTGCACCAAGAGCAGGCGGCCTCCAGTCGGAGGCACTTCTACACTCCACTTGGGCTTCACATCCGGGATGTCTTGGACAGCTTCACGGTTTCTGGGTCTTCACTCGATCCGGTCGGGCTCCTCTTGCGTTGCACAGTGCACCAAGAGCAGGCGGCCTCCAGTCGGAGGCACTTCTACGCTCCCTTGGGCTTTGCCTCTCGTTCGGTACTTGGTTCCAGCCGGGGTCCGCTCTTGGGGACATCTCCATCCTGGGTCACCAAACCTTGTACACTGCCAACGTGAGTCCGGCCGGGATCCGCTTTTCCCATACGCCACGTGTCGCTGCTCCCCCCCCCCCTCCCTCTCCCATAGTGAGCCTCTGAACCAACCAATCACAAGCGCAGCTCGGGGAATCCTCGAAAATCTCCAATTCCATCGTGTCAACCGCCCCTCTTGTTACGATCCATTGTAGAGTCCATTCGGCGAAACGATCGATCATGACAAGATCTCACGATCCGAGCAAGCCCAGATGGGTGGGCATCCCAGATGGGGATGTCTTCAGTCAACTCCCAACTGTGGTGTCTCTTCTTTGCGCCCTGTCCCAACCGGGTCGCTTTTCATCAATTTCTCTTTCCAGTCTGCGGCAACGAAATCTCCACTCACAACGAAATCTGCGCGCCGCCGCTCACACCATGGACGCCCCCGCATCGAGCACCGACGCGCCGCTTATCCCAGCGCAACTCCCGCCTTCTGCGCCTCCAGTGGGGGGGTGCGGAGGCGGGCGCGGGCAACAGCGGCGGTAGTCTGGCTGCTAGCGGCGAGGCCCATGTGTCGGTCAAGGCCGGCAACCCTGCGCGCAAGGCCGACGAGCAGGAGGGTACCGGCAACAGCAACGACGTGGACGAGGAGGAAGAGGAGGAGGAGGAGGAGAGCGCGGCGTCCTCTGCGAAGAGCTCGCCTCTGCACACCAGCGACCAGCCCGTCCGAGAGGACGAGGCCATGGAAGAAGCTCCCATCCGGGATCCTCTGCGCGAGCGCACGCCAAGCGTCACGGCTGCGGTGTCCAGCCTGCTGTCGTTCGATGAGGTGATCGACTTCAAGGCGTCTGGCATCCTCTCGTCAACCCATCCGGGATCTCAAGAAGTTGTCAACATCCTGCCTTCACGCCACGTTCTCCCGCCCAAGCGGCCTGGTGACGGCAACTCCCACCTGGTCGGGGTTCCTGCACACCCATTGGCGTATCAGTCGGAGCGCTAGGGTATGGCGGCACGGAGGCGTTAGCAATCTTCGACGGCTTCTCCGCCCAGAACCTCCACGACTTGGGTAACCTGGTTGACAGCCAGACGGAGCTGCGCAATAACTTGCTGCGCCCGCATGCCAACCGCGAGTCTCCCAGGCTGTCGCAGCTCGAGACCACTTTGAACTCGTTGCTGTGGCGCCGGGAGGCCGCCTCTGTGCTGGCCCAGTTCCCAGCCGGGTGCTTCGCGGAAAAGTTGTTCTTCACGACGTCTCTGCTTCATCGTATCCTCGACCGGGCACGGCGTGGCGACATCCCCATTCAAGGGCCGGTTGAGGTATCTCCCGGCGGGGGCGCCGCCCTGCAACAGCGTTATGACAGGCTGTTATGACAGGCTTGTCGACGAGCACCGGTTCCTGCAGATGTATCACCAGCGGGAGGTGGCTGCACTCCGGGCGGAGAAGGTGGAGCTCCAAGCCCAGCTGGAGAAGGACTTCGCCTTGGAGGCGCAAAGCCATCTGGATGAGGAAGACGCGCTGCGCAACAAGGTTACCGAGGCCGAGGCCAAGCTCGAGCGTGCGATCTTGGCCGGCCAGCGTCTGCGGGTGACCAGCCAGGAGGATGCGTTTGACACCGACCGGCTGATGCGGTTCCTCAACCAAGGTGGGGCTGCCACTCGCGGTCGATGGTCCAGACTGGTGCGTCTGCTGCGGCACTTCCAACGGGGGTCCACACCTCCTGCGCACTGAGTCACCAACATCACCGTCGAGGCCGCTGATCGTCCGTTCAGGATGATCCCACCCTATCCAGGCCCAGTCGACCCGGCCGTCGAGGACGATAACTACCAGGCGGGTGACGGCAACAGCGGCCAGGACGGCGATTGTGAGGAGAAGTCGGAGGACAATCCACCCCAGCCACTCCGTTCGGACTTCCCGTCTGCAGATGGATCTCCGTCCAAACCCAAGCGGCGTACGTCCAAGGGGTCTCGTTCGGGGTCGTGCCCACGTGGCATGGCCGAGCTTTCCGGCAAGGGTGGGCCAGTGTACGTCCAAATGCGACCCACGGTCCACCTGGGGTCTGATGTGCTCCCTCTGTCGCCCCAGACGGACTTCAAGCGTCTGATTCCTGACTGCGCTGCGTCCCTGCCGGAGTTCGTCCCTTGGTCGGATGTCCGGTTGGATGTCCAGTTCGTCATGCGGATGGACCATGGGTACGAGGAGGCCTTGGATATCCTCCGTCAGGATCGTCCGGCCCACCAGTATTTCCTTAAGCCTTGGCTTCTGGAGATGCTGGTCAAGATGATGTACCATGGCACCCTGGACGACACTCCCTGGACGCGGTACGTCCCCGAGACCTTCTACAAGATGGCTGAGGTCACGCTCCAAGGACGTCTCCGGTCGGGTATGTACCCCGAGGAATTTCTTCCACTGCGTAACCTGGCTGAAGATGCTACCGCCGAGATGGAGATCGTCGAGGTCGATGACTCTAGTGAGACCAGTGGTTCCAGCGACTCCGACTACGAAGACAAGGCCAAGACATCTACGTCCAGGAAGGGCGCAGATGGGTCGTCCAAGGCGGAGTCTATCGAGGACAGCAGTTCATCTAACAGCGACACTGATGAGGAGCAGCCAGCCAAGCCCAAGCGCAATCCCAAGCGGAACCGCGTCGAGTCATCTTCGGACAGCTCGTCCGAGGGTGAACCCCAGTCGTCTTCCTCGTCGCAGCGTCGGTCTCCCCGGTTGTCGTCCCAGAAAACGCCTCAATCCCATCGGTCCAAGTTTGCATTGCAGGACAAGCCCGACCGGCCATCATCCAAGAAAAATCCCAAGAAGCGCAGCCGGACGGCGAAGTCCAAGCGGGAGGGTGGCAAGTCGCCCCTGGCACAGAAGTCCTACGAGGAGGGAATTGGCGATCATCGAGACCCCATTTGGGGACATTGTCTCGTGGCGTCGTCGTGGTGTCGACACTCGTTTCTCTCCGAAGAAAGGTGACATCGAGGGCCAGGCGTCTGGGTTTCCTAACTACGCACCTCAGCAGCCTGAGACCAAGTACCTGGCCAGACGTTGGCCCGCAGTCGAGGATGAGTATGCGGCCCTGGTCGAAAAGGAACCCTGGCTGGAGATGTTCAACAGCCAGGTCAAGGTCATGTACTTCCACCGCCGAGACCAGTTATCCCCGGCCGTGATCCGCATATTGGACCAGCATGTGGAGTACATGAAGGATCACCTCCCGGCCTTCTGGCACATTCTACATTGGTTCATGATGAAGACCAAGCCGGAGGACGACGAGAAGTGCGACGACCTCACGATCTACGAACGGGCTCAAGACCTTCACCGCAAGCGCCAGGCGTTCCACGACGGGGTTGCGCGCACCTTCGAGGCCCGCATCAAGCGTCTGATCAAGGCCGGCATGCCAAAGACGATGGTCTGGGAGCCAGGATTCTGGTTGTATCTGCTACCTGTATCTGGTCGACGAGTCAACCAAGAAGGACGATGGCACGCGTTACACCCTGGCTGACCAGATCGCGATGGCCGAACTCGAAGACCCCGGCCGGACTCAGTGGACTACCGGTACGGATGACGAGCGTCTGGCGCACGTCCCAGCCAAGATCGTCAACAAGATGCTGCTCCCAGAGCACGAGTGCGTCGACAACTGGGTCTCGACCAAGTTCCAGTGAAGTCATCCCATCCAGCATCCACAGCGGTCCCGGATGTAGTTACATATCCGTAGCGTAACACTTTAATTCTACAATCACCGTTAATGTCTTCGCTGTCTTCATCGTTTCCTTCTTCGGTCGGGTTATCCAGGTCGGTTCAACCTTGAGCGCAGTCTTGTTCATCTCTTGTGGCTTTGGCACCTCCTTCAGGGCGACATAGTCAACTTCATACACTCGCCGTCGAGAACTCCATTCTCGCTCGGGTTACTCTCCATAATCACAACTCCATCGTAGATCCGCTCCATACAAATTCACAATCAATTTTCCGTGATTCACACATTCACATCCAGGCATCTCGGGTCTTCGTCTGGGAATCTCCAACTGGGATCAATACTCCCAACTGGGGTCGCCCCATTCGGACTTGATCACTCCCAACTATTGTATGTTAGGGTGGTCGTCCCCAGCCTGCATGGCTTGGAACCGCGCTCGGGCTTCGCCCCTTGATTGAACTCATACAAGAGCGCTCCGCAATTCAGCTGTGCCATCGGTATCCATTCAGGCTCATCATACCCCTTCCATTTGATGAGATACTCTCGTGCCCGTTTGGACGTCCGCGTACGCTTGTCCCACCTGAGATCCATGATCTTCTCCTCTTCGTACGCGTCATTCTCGTTGTCCGCTTCCCAGTTGTCTTCGGGAAGAAGTGCTGTGTCAAAGTCATCGTTGTCTTCGATCTCCGGTTGGATTATAGGCCGTCTGGGATACAACGCCCGGGTTTTCAGTCGACTGATGTGAACCCAAGGGTTTACACGGTAACCCGTGTCCTCAACCTTGAGCCTCACCCGGAACTCGTCAACCACTTCGGCGATCCTGAATGGACCATGCCACAAGTGGGCCAACTTGCGACTCAGACCCGGCTGCACTTTTGGGATGTACAGCCAGACTGCATCCCCAACGTTGAAACCTGCCTTGAGCCGGTCTGACAACTCGTTCCACTTCCGGGTTTGCTCTTCCGAGCGAGCCCGTTTGGCCTTCCTCTGGAGGTCTTCTGCACATGCCCGAGCGTCACCGTAGTCCCGCTGGAGTTTCCTTCGCCACTCATACGCGGTCCGTTCAGGGACACTGGAGGGTTTAGGCCCCAGCATAGCTGAGATCGCACCCTTGACGTCCCAACCGTGGACCAGGTAGAATGGGGTATCCAGCCGGGTTGCATCAAACGACGTGTTGAGCGCGAACATGAGTCTCTCTGCGTGGTCATCCCAGTCGCTCTGGTCAGCTTCTGTGATGTAAGCCCGGATGGACCTCACCACAGTCTGGACGGAACGTTCCTGTCCATTCGCCTGGGGTCGGTAAGCCAACGTAGCTCGCTGTCGGCTACCCAGAAGTTCCCTGAACCGAGTGAAGACTTCACTCATGATCCTGGGATCCTGATCGTGACGCAGTAGGGAGATGGCTCCGAAGCAGCGGAACCCCCTCTCCTGATACGCTTCAGCGACATCCTGAGCGGTGGTAGAACTCATCGGTTTGCACATAACAAAACCTGAAAACGCGTCCTGGAACAGGAGCAAGAACGTGTTACCCCGTTCGGACTTCGGCAAATGGGTCACGAAGTCCATCAAGACCACTTCGAAAGGCTCTCTGGGCTCGATGTTCCCGGGCGAAGGTCCTGGATTCGGCGGACGCCCCTTGCCACTGGCGCAGTCGGTGCACTCCTTGACGTATCTTTCAACATCTGCGTATATCCCCGGCCAGTAGAACTCCAGCCGGAGTTTCTCGTGCGTCCGGGTTATTCCCTGATGGCCACCTTGGAAATCCTCATGGGCGTAATGCAACATGTCCAGACGGAGTGCTCCGGTACGACTAGGCGCAACTCGTCGGTCTTGCCGCGAGGTTGGTCCCAATTGGTCCTGACCAGTCGATAGAGTACGTCCCGAACACCCAACGCAAATAGGTCTGCCCGCTTGGACAGCTTGCGAATCTCCAGCCGGGAAAAGTCATCCAGGTCGCCCTTAAGGAACTTCTTCAGATTCACCAACTCGGGATCACCGTCCTGGTGCACCTTGATCCGGCGCCACCTCTCAGCTTGATACTGACGTGGGTTCATAGGATCACCCCGGTTGGAGTCCTCGCGGCTCTGGCTACGAGTTAATGCGGCCATGACCCTGGCTGCCATTGGCAGGGGAGCTGACTCCGGCCCGGGACCAGCATCATTCGGCACTCCAGTCGTAGATTCCCGACTGGGTTCGTCGGGGGGATCGTCGCTCGGGGCCACTTCAGGCTTCATGATCTGTTCGTGGATACGAGAGACTCGCCCCAGATGTTCCATTTCGTCCGGGTCATTTATCGCACAGGACTCTCCGAGCGCCAGTGTCTTGGACGTCAAGTAATCTGCAGCCTGGTTGTACTCTCGCTTGACATGTACCAGCCGGATCGAGGTGAAGTTCCGTTTCATCTCCTCGTACTCGGCCAGACGTCGCTGCAGGTTTGGTTGGTTGCAGTTAATCAGTCCTTGAGCCTGTTGGATGACGATCCGAGAGTCTCCGACAACAACCACATCCGGGATACCCCGGTCGTGGATCATCTTCAACCCATTCAGGAGGCCGAGGTACTCAGCGTCGTTCACCGTAACATCATCCAGGATGAAACCCCGCGCGGCCAGGACTTTCCAGCCGGGGAGCTCCCAGATGATACACCCACAACTTCCTCGCCTCGTCGATGTCTTCGCAGCTCCGTCGAAACTCAAGGCGTATCCAGCGAAATTAGCCTCCAGCATCTCCACACTGATCACCGGTGGGGGTTTCACTTGGCCCTTGGCCGGGATGAGCGACTCAGCAACCTCGTCCAGGTGCTCACGCGGCGTTATGCCAGCGCCCAGGATCGCGGCCAGGCCGTCTTCGTCTCGCTTCACCTTCTGCACTTCCAAGTCCCAATGGGATAGTGTTAACCCCACCGGACATGTCGGCCGTCGGCGGTCTTAGACTTCAACAGCCAGGACAGTACTGAATACCTGGTGTACACCTTGATCGGGCAACCCTGGACGAGAGTGTTAAACACATCCAGAACTCGCATGACAGCAACTGCCTCCTTCTCGGCGATGTGGTATCGAATCTCCGCGTCGTTCAGTACGCGCCCCGTGAACCTCACAGGATGGATCACTCCATCATACTCCTGGCCGAGGACCGCGCAAACGGCCCAGCGGTTAGCATGCGGGATAATCACGAATGGCTTGGTCCGGTTGGGGTGTCGCAACAGGGGTGGCGACACGATCTTCCGTTTCAAGATCTCGAATGCCTCCTTCGCCCTGGACAGATCCCGGCCGGACTTCACTTGATCCTCCGTGAGCTCATACAGGACTGCAGCCACAACCGGGAAGTCCTCAATGAACTTGTGATAGTAGTTGAGGCTTCCGAGGAATGACTGAACTCCCTTCAGGTAGACGGGAACGGCAGATCCTGAACACCCTTCGCAATCTTCGGAGTCGCGCGCAGTCCTTCGGCACTGATCTCGTGGGAGAGATTCGGGATACTCAACTTCCCGAACTCACTCTTGGGCGGGCGGACAGAGATGTTCCAATAGCTCAACCGGAATAGCAGCGCATTCAGGTCCTCACACAACTGATCCCAGGTGGGCGCCCCATGCGCAATGTCATCGATGTAGGAACTCCGTCCGAGGACAGGTCCCATCTGGGACAGCATCGGGATGTTGCGTTGAAACACAGTCATCCGTTCCACCAGGACGGGAACACTAGCTCCAGCCTTCTCCCGTTCGGATTCATCCCGGACGGACGGGTCCAAACCGAGGAACTCGAGTACATCTGGGTCCACCTGTTCTTCTTCTTCCCGAGGGAGACGCACGAACCCCAAAGGCAGTTGTTGATCACCGCCTGATATACGAGTGGGGCATTCTTGAGCCCAAATGGCATGCGTACCCACTGGAAGTGTCCGAATGGGCAGATGAACGCGGAGATTAGCTTCGCACGTTCCGTCATCCGGACCGCCCAGAACCCGCTCGCCATGTCCAGACTCATGAACCACATAGCGGCTTCGAATCCAATCAGGAGATCATCGATCAGGGGCAACGGGTAGCTAGAAAGCCGGATGAACCCATTAACCACTCGATAGTCGATGCACATTCGGATGTCCACGCCATCCTTCTTGAGGACGATCACAATCGTGGAAGCCCATGGCGACAGCGACATCTCAATCAGACCCGTTTCCAGCAGCTTCTTCAGGAGCTCGTACACCTTCATCATCAAGTGAGGGGCAATGGACCTTGGTCGTTGAGCAACGGGTTTTGCGTCACCCACATCCAGGTCACACACCACGCCCCTGGCTGGGGCCGCGCAGCATTGCCATCCCCAAGGAAGATCTTGCGGTGATACTTGAGTATAGAGCGCAACTTCTGTTCCCCATCCGGGGTAGTCCGCCCGGGCTCTCCAACATCAGCCTTGTCGATATCACATTCGGGGCTCAGGTCCTTCAGCTCAGGAAGCAACGCTAATTCGTCACGCAGTTAGGACAACAACTCGCTCCCCTCGTGCAGATACACTCCAGCTTCCAGGTAGAGCTCCTCCTGGTTGATTCGCATGCATCGATTGTACTCTTCCTCCAGCTTCCGCAGCGAGGTACTGGGCATCGACGCAGTGGGTATGTCAGGCTCTTCCCGGTCGGAGATATCCTCCGAGCGGTCACCATCCAGGTCGGACTCGGCCAGATCAGAGATGCTCAGGTTCCACTCACCAGAACTCGGATCGGACTCAGCTGTAGTGCCGACACCGCTGTGAGTATCTTCGACGGTCGGACGTCGACCGGATTCTGCTTCCTTATAATCTCCATCTGAGATGCCCTCGACAGATCCCGCCCGGGACTCAGCGTTACCCTGCTGGAGCATGACCAGCCGGTCCGTCCGGGATCCCGATTCAGGCCGTAGGAGAATCCTGGTTGACCATTCACGCTGTGGTCTTTCTACAGCTGGGGCTGCCGACTCCACTCGAGCTCGATCTGCTCTTGCTCCCGTGCCTCTGCTTCCGGAGACATTGTGTTCTCGTATATCAGCTGTTGCCACTCCTGATACCGCTTGCTTCCCGGCCGGACAAATCTTCCAAACCGAGGAAAATGCCCAAACTCGACGATCCGGGCCACAGGAGCCCGGTTGTCGATCCACACTCTCTGCTTAGAGATATTCACCACCTTCACTGAGGATGCCCACGACTTGGTAGCATACAGGATCTTGGTGACCCAACGATCACCCCGGCCGGCCCACACAACATCCCGTTGGGGGTTGCTCTGACCGTACCTAACCTTCACGATCGCATGTTCGCCCGGACGGAGATAGATCCCCTCATCCGGGGTTACCGGGAGATCCAAGCCCACTTTGTCGCGGTGCGGACCGTCACACATCACAACAGTTTCTTCGTCCGGGAGCTGCACTAGTCCTTCTCGCACGCTCAACCGCACTCCAGCCGCATACATGAAGTTCATCCCCAGAAGTACTTCCAATCCTTCGCCGATATTCGCCAACCAGACACTCATCACATACACCACGCGGAATCCCAGAGTGATCTTCACCCGGGCGTACGACGTAATGTTGGTGGGAGCACCTCCTAATCCGGACACCCTGATCGGCTCCGGCAATATCCGGAATTTCAGCTTGAGCCTACGCGCAAGATCCAAGCTAATCATGCTTCCAGATGCACCAGTGTCCAAGAGTATCCTCGTTCGGAGATCGTTCACCGCCCCATGCACTGTCGCCACTTCATGACTCTCTTCAGGCTCGTGATCCTCCCACCAACCGTATCTTTGTCCGGGCTGTAGGATGACTTCGACTTAATCATCGCCATCCGGGTTTTCCCGTCCAGGTTTCGATCAGTTGGGGTCGTCAAACTGGTCCTGAAATATAGCTGACATGCATTGGTGGTTATCTGGTTTTCTCCTTCTCAACTCGGGTCCAACATTAACTAAGACACACAATCCTTTGGGTTTCGCCAGCCCGGCGCGTTCTGGATCCCCATCCAGCGGGCTCACTAGTTTAACGGCGACCCCGGATTGGCCTCTTCATCCAGCAGTTGCTTGCGCAGGGATGGAGGCAGGTATTGCAACATCCCCTTCCGAGCGAGTTTCTTCGCGACTTACTAGGCGTCGTAATCTCCACAGGTCCCTTCATGAATCTTGCCACAGCGTGAGCACGGCTTCACTCGACACGCGTATCCCGGATGGCCCTTCCGGTTGCACCGGTCGCAAACGATCTCCGCCCAGCAGTTCTGCTCTTTGTGGCCAAACTTGAGGCACTTCTCGCAAAACTCGTTCCGGTTAGGGTTTTCCCGTCGGGGCGACTGCCATCCGGGCCGAGGTGATTGCCATCCCGGCCGGGGCGACTGCCACCCTGGACGGGAGTCGCCCTGCGTAGGCGGGCGCCACCCACTCTGCTCGATCGCCTTGAAGATAGCCTGACGGAGTTCGGGCTCCGGGATCTGAGCAACGGTTGGAGCACTTGGCGCCACCTCAGCCGGGGCACTCCGGCTGGGCTCCTTCGACTCCGCTTGGGACAGCTTGGCTTCCTCGACTTCATCCTCGAAACTTACACGACCTTCAGATTCGCAGCCGGACTCCCCGTCCGAAGTTGCCACAAACGCACGGTGCCTCGGCTTGAAACGGGAATCCTGGATGTTGCCCGCTCGGAAGTCCCGCCTGGGCCGTGGCGTATCATAGCCCCCATCCAGGTTCAGGTCCTCCTGTTGCTCCAGGATGTCTTCGAGGTCGTCCAGGCTGCGGATCTTCTGGTTAGCCAGGATGGCCTTCAGCTGGGAGTCCCGGAGGTTCTTCAGGAAACGCTTGACATGTTGCATGCGCTCCTTCTTGGACTTCCGGTACTTGATCCCCGCCTTGACCGCAGCCTCGTTCAGCCTGTAGAATAACTCCATCGGGGTCTCAGACGTCTTCTGTCGCATGGAATAATACCGTTCAGACTCCGACGTCCGGAGCTTCAGGTACTTGCGACGGAACACCTGGACGAAGCGCTTCCAATTGCTCTGGACGTGCTTCTCCAGTTGGTCGCGCCAATTCCGGGCGGCAGGTGACAACTTCATCTTGAGCTCTCGAACCTTGGTCTGGTCGGATCAACCACCCTGGACGGAGATGTTGGTGAACTTCTCCCACCAGGTACGTCTATCTCCAAGCGGGGCTTCTCATCGAACTGACCCAGCGTGCTGGAGTTGACATACGGGCGGAACGTCCAGGAGGTCTTGCCATCCCCAACCGTAGTTGACTCCACGGTCGGTGTGGCGTCCTCGTCGTCCAGGCTGTCGTCCGGGCTGGAGCTATCATCGTCCGAGCTCGAGGAACTGGAGCTTGAATCCGGGGACGAGTCGCGATCCCGGCGGTGTCCTTTGCGTGGCGCCTTCTTGCGATCGTCCTTCCTGGGCGGATCCCTCTTTGACTCCATCGACTCCTTCTTCACCGTCGTCTTGGTCCCCGGACGGGAGGTCCCCGTCGGGGCAACCTGCGTCACCGTAGTAGATCGGCGCGCCGCATTAACTGCGGCCGGCTCATTCTTCACCACGATCGGCCTCAGAGTCCTTGCTAGACGCGCGACGTCGACTTCCGGCAGTGTCGCCAGTAGCTGCTCCCAGCCTGCTTCGGTCGTGTTCTTCTGCCCCGGCTATGCACCTGCGACCGTTGCGCTTCCCGTGATTACGCCCGTTGCCCGTTCAGGGTTGTCACTTCCATTTGTATGGGAGTTGCCCGATTAGGGTCGGATGTTCCCCGTTCAGGTTGAACTTGGGCAGATGTTGCTTGAAGGTCGCGTATCTGTCCCACATGGAAACGCTGGATATTCTGAGCAGAATCACGTTCCTGCGCACGCGCGACTTCCGACGCCTAAAGCCTGGCTGCCAACGCGGCCAGGTCCTGCTGGGCCTGCCAGGCCCGGGCGGCCATCTCGGCGGCGTGCCTCGCGTCGGCTTCAGCCAGCTGCCGGCGGATGTATTCCGCGGCGGCTGCCTCCACACGCTCACGCTCGGCCCGCGCGGCCGCAAGACGAGCAGCTTCGACATCGGCCTCGGCCGTCAGGGGCTGCGAGGCGGCCTGGGACGCCTGGGCATAGACCTCATGCAGGTGTCGCTCAAGCTCCTGGGCCCGGCGCTCGGCTTCGCGCGCCTCCCGTTGGGCTTCGGCCAGAGCAAGCTCGGCTTCGGCATCCCGGCTGGGATCCTTCCCGGTCGACACAGCTTCGCGAAGCTTCGACAGCTCGGCACCAAGCTGCTGGACCTGGTGGAAGGTCGACACCGCCATCTCCGCCATCCCCGACTGGGCCGACAGGCTTGTCCGTCCGGACCGGGTGGACCGGTACGAGCGCCTGGATCGACTCGAGCGCCTGGATGGGGATCGGTCTCGTGATGACCTCCGGGTGGAACGTCGGCGGCGACGCCGAGCATCTCCATCCGAGTCCGAGCCACTCGACAGCGAGTCACGCCTTGAGCGTCGGTGCGTCCGGGACCTCGTCGCCGTGCGTGTTCGGGATATCGCCCGGCTGGACACCTCGTCCAAGCGTGCCAAGTTGGCATCAGCCTGATCGGGGATCGGCTCTCGTTTGGGGACCACCTCGCGCGTCACGTAGAAGCCCACGTCTCCAGCGCCGACCGACACGCCAACCGGACCCCGGGCGGACATCGCCAAGGATCCCAACTGGGGCATCGCCATGTGCGACGCAGCGCTGTACCCGAGCGTCGAGGTCGACGAGTCCGAGGTTGTGTTCCTGGACACATACGACTCGGACGTCGCGCCGTAGGAAGCCCGGTCGGAGGTGCCAACTATGCTCGGGACAGGGTCCGAAGTTGCACCTCTGGCCGGGGCATCCCGGGCGGACTCCTCAGCCGACGGAAACTCGGACGGCAGCGACTCGAACTGGGACGGCGGGGACGCAAGCGAGCTCTCGGCCCTCGGCGGCGCATGCTGCGGACGCTTGGGCACAGACTCACCGGTGGACGACCCGCTCGGACTCCGGATGGGACGAAGACCAGTCAAGCGTAGGCGTAGGACGTAGGCCCGGCCCAACAAGAGTTCGTAGTCGCTCATCAATAGATCTCCATCCGCGTCTTCCGCGTGGTAATCCATGATCGGCGGCTTCTCTGTCTTCGCTTGGGCCTCCAATGCTGGCAGGATCTTGAACGTCGCTCCGACGACCAGCTCGCGCCACTCGATGAGCTCGACCGCAAGCAGTCGCTGGACGTCTCCGACCAGGGTCCGGATGGACATCGGCTCCACCTTGGACACTCGCATCTCCACCCAGGCCGGCACCACGTTGACGAATTGGAAACCGGCCTCGAACAGGAGCGTCTGCAGAACCGCAACGCACTCCCGCGAGTCCAGCAACCCGGTTGGGATCTGGACTCCGGCCAGGTCCTGGGTAGTCGACAAGTCTCGGCGGCTGGGTGCCAGGTCGGCCAACCAACCTTCGGCCGGGTCCTGCGAGGCCACCTTGGACGCCAGGTACTTGGACGTCACAATTGTTGCGGTCAACCACAGCACGGAGTCCGGGCGGGACTCTGGCCAGGCGTACTCCACGTTCGGCGGAAGCGTGAGCCCAGACCGGGCTCTCTCCCACCGGGAAGCCTGCAGCGCCGCGTACGTCTTCGCCGCTTGGACACTTGGGTGCTCGGCCGGCAACTCCGTCGGCGGGTTACCCCGGCTGGCCTTCACCGAGAGCTGGGTCTCCGGTTGGGCATCAGCGGCCGGGGTCACCGCCTTCACAGGAACTGCGGCCGGCTTCTCCTCCTCGGCAGACGGCGTCGGCTTGGGTTCGGCGGACACTTGCGCGTCCGGCTGCACATCTTGGCCAGGCAGAGAGGAGTCCGAAACTCGACCCTCCGCCTGGGGCTCATCCACGTCGGCGCCTCCCTCTGACGCCTGGTTGGGTTCACCCTGACCGGGACCCCCCTCTGCGGTCTTCGACTCCTCGCCCGCGTCAGCACGTTCGGGCTCGCCGTCCTTCGACGCTTGGTGCGCGTCATCTGGGACGGCCGGCTCGGATGCCGACTGGACTGGTTCGAAGACCCATCTCCGGTCAGGGCCGCATTCCGCTTTTCAGCGTTAACCCTCCGAGCATTGCGTTGAACCTCTTCTAGGCTCGGTTGCTCCTCGGGTGGCAGCCCTGCCGCACGACGCGATTGACGCGACGCCTCTCCGCGTCCTCGTCCTCCGCGCCCTCCTTCGCGCATGTCTCCTCGCTTAGCTGTCATATACGCCAGTTAGGAAAGTTAGCACACCTCACACCTATAAACTTACAACATATAAACAACTCCGGTGAAATCCCTGGTTCAAATCCAAGCACGCGCACCAGCTGAGGCGAGGCGGGTGAACGCCTGACCGCCCAGGTGTATAGCTTGGCGTGTCCCGGGTGTAGACTCCCGAATGGGGTGCACCCAGAACAAACCCTAGCCAGAGATAGTACACCTAGATGTACACTCCAACCGGGGTGGCGTGTGTCCTTGTGAACAATCCCTGTGGGTTCGTTTGTCTTCGTAACCAGGGGTCTTCAACCGTGGATGAGTTGTCTTGATACTTGTAGGTCGCTAGGTAGCAGGGCAGAACGTAACCTTCCTGGACGTCGCCTCTGACAGCCCTCAGACAACCAAACAATACAAACAGATACAGAGTTATATACAAGCACGTAGCCCTTCCTTATTCTTTTGGGCCGTGGAAGGGTCGGTCACTACTCCAGTCAACTCCGGCCGGACTCCGGGATACTGGTCAATCCCGGTCGGCTTTGGCTCACGCGCACCACCCTCAAGTACTGAGGGAAACTAACACAATCAAATACCTCCTATCACACAATAGCTCTTAAATCAATACTTTCCAACCGGGGCTACTCCAACCGGGGTGACAAGGTAATCGGTAATATGAAATGCGGGGCCTTCACGGTCTGGACGAGCTCAACCGCAACATGGAAATGAAATGGGATGGATCAACCTCGGGTTGTCGTCCGGTACTCACCCCAACTTGGACTGGACTTGGTTGCGGGAGCTCGACCCAGATGTCACAGTTGCTGGGCCCTCACGCGTAGACTTAGTCGGTCCTCCGGGAATGCACGTCCGGTAGGCTGCTCCAACTCACTTGCGCGATCCTTGGCAAAACGAACTCTGTTTATCTGTTATCTGTGGTCTCTCTCTGTCTGTCTTTACATGCATTCCATCTTGACTTGTCTTCACTATGGTCTTGTCGTCGCAGTCGTCCGCGGTCCCTCGTAGCATACTTCCAGCAAGTATAATCATCACTGGGTACGCAAGTGAAGTTCAATGTTCCACGGAATCCGAGCAGATCTTGGCTGGTCGGCTTGGTCGGTCGGAAACATTTTGGACTTTGTATTCTGGATCTTCACATCTGGGATGGTATCTTGGTATCTTGGTATCTCCATTCGGGATTCATGATTATCTCCAAACGGGATTACACTCCACTTGGGCTTCACATCCGGGATGTCTTGGACAGCTTCACGGTTTCTGGGTCTTCACTCGATCCGGTCGGGCTCCTCTTGCGTTGCACAGTGCACCAAGAGCAGGCGGCCTCCAGTCGGAGGCACTTCTACGCTCCCTTGGGCTTTGCCTCTCGTTCGGTACTTGGTTCCAGCCGGGGTCCGCTCTTGGGGACATCTCCATCCGGGGTCACCAAACCTTGTACACTGCCAACGTGAGTCCGGCCGGGATCCGCTTTTCCCATACGCCACGTGTCGCTGCTCCCCCCCCTCCCTCTCCCATAGTGAGCCTCTGAGCCAACCATTCACAGGCGCAGCTCGGGGAACCCTCGAAAATCTCCAATTCCATCGTGTCAGAGCCTTGGCTGGCGGCAGTGAAAGCTAGCGTTCGATCGATGCACAAGCCTATGATCAATGCACGCGCTCAGCAGACCGAGCGCAACCAAAGGCGCCACCAGCACGCGAAGAAGCCCAACTTCGACGTGGGTGATTACGTTTTAAGGTCGAGGGTGGACAGTAAACACCAAGACAAGCTACTAGTGACATGGATTGGGCCCTATCAAATCACACGAGCAGACTCGCACTCGTTCACGGTGCGGCATCTCGTCACCGGGGAGGGGACAGACGTCCACAGCTCCCGGTTGAAGTTCTATGCTGACAGCTCGTTGCAGATCTCAGAAGAGATCCGTGAGCATGTAGCGGCCCAAGGCCAAATCCTGGCGATCAATGAACTACTGGACTACACATGGAACAGCGTTAAGAAGGGCTACGACGTGCTAGTGAGCTGGAAGGGCCTAGAGCCTATTGAGGACTCCAACGAGACGGCCAAGTCCCTAGCTAAGGGTGTACCCGCGTTGCTACGACAGTTCGCAGAACGATGTGATGATACTTGTTTCGAACGCCACGTCATTGCACTGACCAAGCAGCGCTCCACAGCCGATGCTCACCGACCCATCGACATGTTCCATGCACCTCGTCCGCGGTACGACGCCAGCAAAACCTGCAGTCTCAGTTTTCGACACAACGAGAATTTTCGATATTTTCGACAACCTTTTCGACATACATTATGGACATGTATTTTTGACAATTGACACTTTGACACTCAAACAGATTTGAGTTGAGCTCAACAGAACGAGCAGGACAACTTGACCCGATTGACTGGGCAAGGCTTGGAAGGGCGGTGTAGCGGCGGGTTTCATAGAAGCAAGCCCAGCCCATTCATCGGGTGACGTCTACAGAATGACGCCACCAAGCTGGCAATTAGGATAGGGGAGAACAGCGAAACCAATGCGACCGACAGAGAGGTCGGTTTGGTAGAAGACGCTGGCAGAAGGCGCTAGCAGGAGTCGCCGGCATGAAGCCGCCGACAGCTAGGAGCAGAGACACAGACAGAGATCACTTTGAGATTTACATCTAAACCATCAACAGAGCTTTGGTTTGCCCGGAAGCGCCAGCTTCCCTCGTTGTGTTCCGAAACCTACTACAGAAGACTACGTAGTGGGAAAATGCAATGCAACCTGAGTGTACCAGCTCCAACAATAGCAGACTAATGTTGGGCATTCCTCTCAGCGTTAAGACCCTTTATTATAAGATGCATGACGTACTGCGTACGTGGTCACATCTCGACTAATAAGCTGACACACGATGATGCAGATTAGGACGCAGATACGCTGGACCAGAATTCCGTTGCTGAGCTACATGGTTAAATACAAGAGTGCTGATGCTACTGCATGCAGCCCGATAGTAGGAACTCTGGCAATGGGAAGGCGATCCTGCCCCAGCGGAAGTTTGCGCAGGACGAAGACTTGGACATTTGAACGTTCGTGCTATTTTGCTTGAGAATAGGGAATATCATGGTGGAGAACGGCAGATCTACAGGGCGAGGCATGCACTGCACGCAATAAATCACTTGTAGAGGAGGACAAGAAGACGCAGCTCAGCACTTGGCTGCTGTCTCCTCGTCTCCGTTCTGGGCTTAGGCGTCGGCTTCGGCGTCTTGTCGACTGGCCGCCAGCAGCGCCGGGTGGTCGAGCACCTCCTTCATGGTCTGCAGCCGCCGGGCCGGGTCGAACTGCAGCATCTTGTCCAGCAGGTCCATCGTGGCGGCCGAGAGCTGCGCGTCCATCTGCCAGGACCGCAGCACGCCGCGGCAGCCCACGGCCCGCACCGTGCGGAACTCGGGGCTGCCGGGCGCCGCCAGCTCGAGCAGCGGCGCGCCCGTGAGCAGCATGAAGAGCAGGATGCCGAGCGACCAGACGTCGGCGACCACGGGGTCGTAGCTGCCGCGCTGCGCCACGACCTCGGGCGCCGCGTACTGCGCCTTGCCCACGCAGCCGCTGGCCGGGCGGTCGGCGCGCGTGCTGAGCCCGAAGTCGCCGAGCTTGTAGACGCCGTCGCGCGTGACGAAAACGTTCTCGAGCGACACGTCCCGATGCGCGATGTTGCACGTCTCGTGCAGGAAGCGCAGGCCGCGCGCCAGGTGCAGCACGATGCGCAGCGCGTGGCGCTGGTCCAGGCGGCTCTCGGGCTGCGTGGCGCCCAGGTCGGCCAGCAGGTCGCCGCGCGCGCAGTGCTCCATGACCAGGAACACGTGCGCGCGCTGCACGAACGTGTCGAAGACCTGCACGACGTTGGGATGGCGCCGCGCCACGCTGCGCAGCTGGCGCGCGGCCTGCCACTCCTTCCAGGGCCCCTGCAGGCGGCCGGAGCCGTCGCGCCGCAGCTGACCGGCGCACTTGACCACCACGGGGCGCGCTGCGGTGGGGGAGGCGGACGCAGATTGGGAGGAGGACGACGAGGAGGAAGGTGCGCTGCTGCGGTAGACGTGGCCCAGGTAGATCTGCGGCGCCAGGCGCGAGCTGACCTTGATGTGGCGGTGCGCGGCGGGGCGAGCTGGCGGCGGCGCTGTGGCGCTGCTATTGCTGCTATTGCCGTCGTTGCGGGCGTTGTTGCCGCCGCGGCGCGCGTACACGAGCGTGGCCGTCATGGGGGGTGCTGGGGAGTGGGGGTGTTGTCGGGCGGGGCGGAAAATGGCAAAGTGCGGCGAGGCTTGAAGTTCGGGCGGCAACTTGGTGGAGCCTTGCAGCGTAGACGGGGCGCTTCTGCCGCGTCGCATGTTGTCATCGCTCTGGGCAAATCGCCGGCCGCCACGTCGCCTTTACGGAGGAGCATAGCCGTGTGCAATGATGACGCGTTGCCTCGCCCGTGCAGGCTGCAGGCGACAGGTTGCAGGTAAACCTCGGCGTTCGCTACTGGCGAACGCCGCGGTAGCGAATCGCTACCCGCCACCTTGCGCTTGGACCCGAGCGAGCTGCTACAGCGACGCTCCTCATTCTTGGCGCAGATGAGTGCACACTGCGAGTCGCAGCTCGCCGGCAGCGCGAATCTCGCAAGGACAGGCTCGTCAAGGACGAATGTACAGCCGTTGCAGTGACCGCGACGGCACAGCGCCTGCCATTGGCGATCGAGGCAACAATCCCTCGGATGACTCATGACGCGCCGCGACGCGCGTGTTCGGGGCAACTTCAACTTGAACACGCCCCAGCCGCCTGCTGGCTGTTCCCCAGTGGCTGCTGCTGCTGCTACTGCTTGGCGAGATGCCTGCAGCGCGTTTGGAGAACGCTCCCCGATGCGGATGCCGGGCATGCAGTGTGCCGGCCAACCCACGCTGACGACCAGCGCATCGACCGCGACCACAGATGGACCGCAGTGCTTACGACGACGACACCGCCTGTCGGTCGTGTCGGTCGGACACTGACCTCGCACCGGAATCTCGCTATCTGCGCTGACTTCCGCCAGGACTTGCTTGCTCGTCGGTCGCTGCGCACGCGGAGCTCCCGGTGCGCGTGCCACGCGCACCGGGAGCTCTATCACATCGGATCGGAGGCAAAAATGACCTGAGTTTGGTTGGCTAGCTTTTCGTTATCGCTATCTGTACACACTGTTAGTTGGCTATTGAACGCAGCAACTTCGAGACTTGTCTGGGTCGGCGGCGAGCCTTGCGGCGTCAAACTCGCTATGCACGAGCTCCTGGACGGAGCCCCTGCGGACAATCTCTCTCCGCGAGTCCTGCGTGGCCAGTAGACTCCGTCGCTGCTTGGCGCTGCTGCTCCCGTCGGCGTGGAAGGACGATACCCGAGTCACCTCGCTCACATGCCGTCGCAGGCGTGGGGTGTTTGAGTCTGGTGGCCACCCAGTGCGTCGTTGACCTGCGTCAATCAAACAAGAGAGCTCGTCACATTGATGCAAGTAATGGAGACCAAGATTCATGCTCGAATCGTACCTGGTGCAGCCGCTTCATCGGGGCCCTGTTTGCAGACGCTTTTGGTCGACGACATGCAGAAGCCGCGCTCTTCACACTCTCATCGACAAAGAGGCTGAAGGAAGCTGCTGTGCTAAGTGGGTGATGGAGCTCCTTTCCTCCTTCCTTTTCAGCTACAGCTCGACTGAAATAGCACCACGGTTGCCTTGTTTTCTCGTCAACTTCGTATCTATTGATAGCAGTACTCGCCTGCTTGGGCTACTATTCACAACGCTCCAGCCAAGCGATGGTCTCCGTGTGCGGGGTGTGGGGCAGCATGTCAACTGGTTGAAGGTATCGCACGCGGTACGTTCCAAGCTCTCCAGCTTCGGGCTTGGCCTTGGCGCACAGTGCCTCAAGATCAGGTACTTGCGAGTGGGGGTTGCACGACACGTAGCAAATGTGGCGCGGCGTCATGCGTCGTAGCATCTTGATGAGCTTTTTGTGCAGTCCAGCTCGAGGTGGGTCTACAATTATCATGTCTGGAAGACTGGCAGCTTCGCCCGAGCTTGCTGCTACTTTCTCCAGCAGTTCCTCCTCCTGCCAGTTCTTGGCCAAGTCGACACAGAAGAACTGCATGTCCTCGGAAGAGTAGCCATTCAAGCGAGCATTAACCTTTGCACGCTCGACAGCAGCCTCTATGAGCTCGAAGCCGATGACTTTCTTGGCATGGGAGCCCATGCAAATGCCAATGCTGCCCACGCCACAGAAGAGATCCCACACAACCGGCTTCTCCGGCATCGCCGCTATTATCTTTTGAACTTCTCGGTAAAGAGCACTGGCTTGAACAGAGTTCGGCTGGAAGAACGAGTCGAACGAGATCTCAAAACGGTGGTCCAGAATGGTGTCTTCAAGGTGAGGACGGCCATAGAGAACACGTTCTGACGTAGTGCTCTCCACGATATCTGGAGTGGCATCGTCTCTACTTCGCCGATGACGTTGGGCTTCGCTATCCAAGCTTTTCACAATCGATACCAACAGTGGGGCATCGTCCGCCTCAGCCAGCAGATCCTTCTCGTGCTCTTGGACAAGGTCGTCTACAATTCTCTTTAGCAGCTCACTCGGCTCGCGATTAAATGTCGTTGTCACCAGACCGAGCATGATCTCCGTTCGGCCTTGGCCGTTCACTCCGCGACGCAGCACAATCTGCTTTAAGAATCCTTCGTGCGAAGTGAAGTCGTACGCCTCCAGACCTGCATCCTCGCAACGAGTGACTAGCTGCTGCAGCAACCGGTTGCAAGCTGAGCCCTGCAGCAGACACTCATTGAGTGACAGAATTCGGGGGCTCCAAACTGCTGCTCGACGCCGGCGTGCTTTGCTCTTGCCATGCACCTGCTTGGATCGTCGAGCGCTCACAGACGCCACAGGGAACATCCCAACCGTGAACGGGTAGCGTGGAGGAGCCGCATCGTCGCCATTGGCTTCCACAGGCTTGTCCTCGTCCAGCAACCAGCGACCTGTGCTGCAAGTAAACTCCATCTTGTTACGGTAGTGGTAGATGCCACCCTGGCCGTCCCCATTCTCAACGCCAAGTATCTGCCGTATCTCCATGTCAGGAGAATGCTGGCGCTCTGCGAAGAGCTCCTGAATCCAGTCTTGCTTCTCTCGAAGCTGCTGCGCGTAGCTCACGTGCTGCAACTTGCAGCCGCCACACACGCCAAAGTACTTGCTACACAGAGGCTGCACGCGCTCGTCACCGGGCTTCTCAAGCTCCACTTGTTGCCCGAAAATTGGCCAGGCGTCCCGAGGCTGCTGAGCTGCCCACTTGTCTCGAGACTGGACGTCTCGCTCCCAGATCTCCACCTGCAGCTCGTCGCCCGGTGACGCAAAGGGGACAACCACCTGCATTTTGACGCCTTCGTCCGAAACGTAGGTGCCAAGGCCATCGCCATTCCCGTTAAGCTTATCAACTGTCTGCAAACAATTTATAACATTTCATTCGCATTAGAACTCGGAGCAGTAGGGGGTGCAGTCGGTGCAGTCGTTGTTGCAGCAAACGCACCAGAGCAACTCGGCGCTTGGCGTTTGGTGCCGCTGGAGTCTTGGACGAGGCAGCAGCAGAGAAGAAGCGGCCGCCGCGTGCGCTAACGAGTCTCAGGGAGCCGGTCAGCAATCGGCGCGAGCGCCGCGCCGACGCCACCAACCGGGCCATTTTTGTCTGGTCCTCCTGAAAAGCTCGTGAGTGATTATCAGCCAATCGGAAGGTGGCACGACCACCGGAACATTGACGGATGTGATGGGTCGCAATTGATCGACGAGCAGCAACAAGTATGTGGCTGCATGCATCTACAGGTAGCTAGATACATGCCATGACTGTCAACTTACCAAACGTCAGTGGTGGCCATGACGATAGAGCTCCCGGTGCGCGTGCCACGCGCACCGGGAGCTCCGCGTGCGCAGCGACCGACGAGCAAGCAAGTCCTGGCGGAAGTCAGCGCAGATAGCGAGATTCCGGTGCGAGGTCAGTGTCCGACCGACACGACCGACAGGCGGTGTCGTCGTCGTAAGCACTGCGGTCCATCTGTGGTCGCGGTCGATGCGCTGGTCGTCAGCGTGGGTTGGCCGGCACACTGCATGCCCGGCATCCGCATCGGGGAGCGTTCTCCAAACGCGCTGCAGGCATCTCGCCAAGCAGTAGCAGCAGCAGCAGCCACTGGGGAACAGCCAGCAGGCGGCTGGGGCGTGTTCAAGTTGAAGTTGCCCCGAACACGCGCGTCGCGGCGCGTCATGAGTCATCCGAGGGATTGTTGCCTCGATCGCCAATGGCAGGCGCTGTGCCGTCGCGGTCACTGCAACGGCTGTACATTCGTCCTTGACGAGCCTGTCCTTGCGAGATTCGCGCTGCCGGCGAGCTGCGACTCGCAGTGTGCACTCATCTGCGCCAAGAATGAGGAGCGTCGCTGTAGCAGCTCGCTCGGGTCCAAGCGCAAGGTGGCGGGTAGCGATTCGCTACCGCGGCGTTCGCCAGTAGCGAACGCCGAGGTTTACCTGCAACCTGTCGCCTGCAGCCTGCACGGGCGAGGCAACGCGTCATCATTGCACACGGCTATGCTCCTCCGTAAAGGCGACGTGGCGGCCGGCGATTTGCCCAGAGCGATGACAACATGCGACGCGGCAGAAGCGCCCCGTCTACGCTGCAAGGCTCCACCAAGTTGCCGCCCGAACTTCAAGCCTCGCCGCACTTTGCCATTTTCCGCCCCGCCCGACAACACCCCCACTCCCCAGCACCCCCCATGACGGCCACGCTCGTGTACGCGCGCCGCGGCGGCAACAACGCCCGCAACGACGGCAATAGCAGCAATAGCAGCGCCACAGCGCCGCCGCCAGCTCGCCCCGCCGCGCACCGCCACATCAAGGTCAGCTCGCGCCTGGCGCCGCAGATCTACCTGGGCCACGTCTACCGCAGCAGCGCACCTTCCTCCTCGTCGTCCTCCTCCCAATCTGCGTCCGCCTCCCCCACCGCAGCGCGCCCCGTGGTGGTCAAGTGCGCCGGTCAGCTGCGGCGCGACGGCTCCGGCCGCCTGCAGGGGCCCTGGAAGGAGTGGCAGGCCGCGCGCCAGCTGCGCAGCGTGGCGCGGCGCCATCCCAACGTCGTGCAGGTCTTCGACACGTTCGTGCAGCGCGCGCACGTGTTCCTGGTCATGGAGCACTGCGCGCGCGGCGACCTGCTGGCCGACCTGGGCGCCACGCAGCCCGAGAGCCGCCTGGACCAGCGCCACGCGCTGCGCATCGTGCTGCACCTGGCGCGCGGCCTGCGCTTCCTGCACGAGACGTGCAACATCGCGCATCGGGACGTGTCGCTCGAGAACGTTTTCGTCACGCGCGACGGCGTCTACAAGCTCGGCGACTTCGGGCTCAGCACGCGCGCCGACCGCCCGGCCAGCGGCTGCGTGGGCAAGGCGCAGTACGCGGCGCCCGAGGTCGTGGCGCAGCGCGGCAGCTACGACCCCGTGGTCGCCGACGTCTGGTCGCTCGGCATCCTGCTCTTCATGCTGCTCACGGGCGCGCCGCTGCTCGAGCTGGCGGCGCCCGGCAGCCCCGAGTTCCGCACGGTGCGGGCCGTGGGCTGCCGCGGCGTGCTGCGGTCCTGGCAGATGGACGCGCAGCTCTCGGCCGCCACGATGGACCTGCTGGACAAGATGCTGCAGTTCGACCCGGCCCGGCGGCTGCAGACCATGAAGGAGGTGCTCGACCACCCGGCGCTGCTGGCGGCCAGTCGACAAGACGCCGAAGCCGACGCCTAAGCCCAGAACGGAGACGAGGAGACAGCAGCCAAGTGCTGAGCTGCGTCTTCTTGTCCTCCTCTACAAGTGATTTATTGCGTGCAGTGCATGCCTCGCCCTGTAGATCTGCCGTTCTCCACCATGATATTCCCTATTCTCAAGCAAAATAGCACGAACGTTCAAATGTCCAAGTCTTCGTCCTGCGCAAACTTCCGCTGGGGCAGGATCGCCTTCCCATTGCCAGAGTTCCTACTATCGGGCTGCATGCAGTAGCATCAGCACTCTTGTATTTAACCATGTAGCTCAGCAACGGAATTCTGGTCCAGCGTATCTGCGTCCTAATCTGCATCATCGTGTGTCAGCTTATTAGTCGAGATGTGACCACGTACGCAGTACGTCATGCATCTTATAATAAAGGGTCTTAACGCTGAGAGGAATGCCCAACATTAGTCTGCTATTGTTGGAGCTGGCACACTCAGGTTGCTACGTCCGCATTGCATTTTCCCACTACGTAGTCTTCCTCGCGCCAAACGGAAGGCGGCCGGAGCATTGCCGTCGCCCCACAGCCATCGCCGAGCGAGGCCCAAGATGCGCCTCGACGCAGCAGCGTCTTCAAGTACATTCGAGTTGTCGCGGTAGCTACCGAATATCGGACGCGCGCGCGAGTCGACAGCAAAACAGCTTCCGTCGGGCCACCCCGGAGACCGCAGTGGTCACTCCCTACTCTCTCGACCTCAGTGGAGAGTTTCGGCCTCGGAAGAAGAGCAGGACGTTGCAAAGCGTTGACGAAGATGCTGAGGGAATTCCAACGAAACGAGATGCCTTTGGGTTCCCCATTCCACTGATCCCGCGACAGCCAAGTCGTCTCGCGAAATCTTTCAGTATGTTCGGGTACTCGCTAGCCCCGCTCTACGACGTCTGGGAGCGATTGCAAGTGAGCCACTGCGGCCAATACTCCGTCGAGAGGATGCTGGCGTTGGACGAATACTACCAACGAACCTCATTTCGACGGGTGCTAGCAGTGTGTATACTGATGCCACTAATCCCCCTACTGCTGATCATACTCATGGAGTTGGTGCCTTTGAGGCCGGTCGAAGCTGGAGCGAGTGCGAACTACGTTTTCTGGGGGCGACATGCGCTGACGCTGTGGCTCACCGCTCTCTGTGTCGAAGGACAGGCCAAATCGTGGATTCCTGAGCTCCCGTTGACCACGAACCAAGCTCTATTGATCGCATCAGGAACTGCAGTCACGACCGCGGGGCTCGAGCTGCTCACCGCAGAGTTGTGGGTATTTCCCGTTCCATTCCTTGATGTCCTTGGTTCACCGGTATTTTGGCTCAGTTGGGCGATTATGAGTCGATTGGTACTGGGACCGGACCCGGTTCTAGGCGTTCAAGACGCGAATTTTCGTGTATGGCGGTATCTTCAGATCACTGCAGTCCCGAGTTCGCTTTTGGCCATTTATCCAGCGTATCAAATTATCTTCGCGGCAGTAAATCGATTCGTGGAGATGCTGATCGTCTCTCTGTTGCCAGTTATCAACGTGGTGCTGAAAAACACCTTAGTGGCTTGCGGCTCCCACCTCGAGGACAATCTCCCGGAGTTGGTCGTCTTCACTGTCGACGGCTTTAGTGCGCTCTACTCAGTCATTTGCATGCGGGGGACGAACTCGTTGAAAATGGTGGTGGCCACGGTGTTTATTAACGTTCTAGTCATGGTTTTGTCTCTCCACGGCATGAATCGGCGCTCACGAGCTGAAAGGGAATCGCGTTCCTACCATCTTATGCAGGACAAGCACAGAGAACTCCATCCTTTCTCACGTCGTCTTCATCCGGTGGCAGTCCCGAGTTACTAAGCACGTTAGTTCGTACAACGCTCAAAATGCTAAGGGCACCCGGACAACTAGATCCTACAGAGCTGCGTCAGATTCGTTTTCTGTCAGGTAAGCAACACAAACTGTCGAATGCCAACACAGCTTTGCTGCAATCGCTAGCCGCCCGGTGCGTTTACCACAACGACCGAAAGTTTTCCGAGAACCTTTCCATGAGTCAAATGAAGGCGCGTTATGCATCGGCGGCAATCGAAGGGCGCGTTCTTAGCCAAGCTCACTTTACAGCTCCAACGTCGCAGCAATCGCGGCTAGTACAGCCCTACGAGCTCTTCCAGAAGCTGGTCGAAAGCTTAGCAGTGGAGTTGAGCGCAATTTTCCTAGTTTTCGTAGTGCTACGGGGAGTCGTCAATCTGCGCCACAAGTCGCCGGGAGGACCAATCAGCGGGCAGTGCGAGCTGACCCAGCGGTCCGGCCAATCAAAGCGCGCCGGTGAGCATCGAGAGCGCTCTGATTGGCCACGACTGGACGACGGCGACTCCCTTGTGGAGCCAGTCGTTCCTGGCGACCGGAGCTCCAGCGAAAGGCATGCACCTGGCCGGCGTGCTTGCACGCCACGGCTGGGCAGCTCGGGGGTGAAGCCGCGGACCAAGCTGGATTTCTGCGTCGCTGCGTGCGGCGGCGTATTGCGGCGGTCTTTTGACCGTCAGCCGGAAGGCGGGGCCTGTGGGGGGTCCACGGTGGTCTACATGTAGCCCATCGCGCCGTTTCCCATTACAAACCAGGCCACGGGTGACGCCGTGGGCCCTCCTGGTAGTCATAGCCTACAAAGGTTGCGTGCGATACTGGCAGGTCACCAGATCGTCGGGTGTGCGGCACTCCAACGTGCGCACACCCTCCACAGCACTCGTAGTGACGCGCGGGAGCATGCTGTCAGTCAACGTGGCCTGCGCTACATGGAGCTGGCTGCGACGGGGTGGTCCTCTCATGGTGCACTCATGGCGCGGCGGGGCGAAGAAAATCGCAGTGGCAGAGACCCAGATACGGCAGACTCGGGGAAGGTGACGACACGTCGCCGCATAAAGCGCTGCTGGGGCGCTCGCTGGTGGCCTGCAACACATTGGGAAGAAGGAACGCAAGTCGGCCCAGGAAAATGCAGTGGAGAACTCAAGCTTCGGAGGGCAGGCGCTGCTGACGGAGCAGCGGGACCGCGTTCGCTGTCCGCGGTACCAAATCGACGGAAGTCGAGTAGACCGTTTCAACTATTCGGCGGGGCATCGGGAGATATGAGCTCGGTGTTGACGGTGGATGCGTCGGTCGTTATCTTAGTTAGGATAAATGAACTCAATCTAACCTCAACCTTGAAATGAAATGAAATGTACGGGGAGTCGGGAGAAAACCAACAAGGAAAGTGATGCCGACGCAGGCCGAAGGTTTCCCTCGCTTGCCTTATCCCGCGACTTGCCAAGCTCATGAAGGCATCTTCACGTTGGATATCGGAGCGAACGGCATCTCCGAAGAATCGGCCCCCTGTGCAGATGCCAGTCATGGATCTAGACGCCTTTGCCAAGCTACGAACTCTGTTGTTGCCGGGGAGTCCTGTAATCAGCGATGTGTTAGTCGAGACGCGGAAGAAAAACACGAGAGCAGTGAAGCAAGCGCTTCAGCTGTTATTCAACAACGAATACCTGGGGCTAACAGCGTATACGCTGTTTATCATCCCCATGCTGTACGTGCTGTACATGCCCATACTACAAGCTCTACGCAACGAGAAGTATTACCCGACCCACTTCGTCCTGCTGGAGAACGCCGACTAGTTCCTCGACCGCATGACGGTAATCGCCATTCTGGCGTTTTTGCAGCTCGCTGTACTCATTGTTTTACACGTTTTCGTGGCAACTCGCTTCGCCGTCTCCACGATTTACCAGATCGCGTTCGTGCTGGAGACGCATTTCACACTGGTGGCTGGTAGACTGCTCGTCTCCTTCATTTTTGCAGTTCAATCGACGTTCCTGCACTAAGGTAAGGAATTCTCTATTTTTTAATCCAGGCTTGAAGATGCCTAATTTTCATATATTTTTGTTACCTAGGTGCCGATTTCTCTTCCAATTTTCCTGGATTCAGAAGAACCCTCCATCACCTGAAGCCTAATCTACTACAGTAGCGCGCCAGGTTAATCGTGAGCGGCCAAAGATGCTGTGACTTGATGCCTTTTCCAGGTTTTCTATTGTACCTGTGAAAGTAATACTTTACCAGGGATATTAAGCTCCTCCTCCTCAAACACCTTAGTCCACTGCATGATTTTGCTATCGGAACATCCTTTACGTATGTTTACGCTTCTTGCACAAGCAGGCATCTTCAGCTCTATTAGTGAACACCAGAACTGAAAAAGTGTCAAGGGTGTCAGCTATCATTGGCCCAGGCGCAACGCACTTATCCGGCAGTTCGATACTAGCAACTTCGGTCGAAACGCCAAAATCTCCGACGGCCTATTCTGGGTCAAGCTAAGCGAGATGAATATGTAGCCGTGAGTGATTTTGCCTTCTGCTGGGGCGATGGACGATGCTCAAGACGTTGTCGTCCCCCTGCAGTCTGCCAGCACCCGCCCCGCTCCTCTTCGTGGTGGCGCGAGTAGAAAAAGTATTCGAGGGGTGGCGGTAGCGCCCCATTTGGGGGCCACACCCAAGAGAGGGAGCAGCGTATTGCACAACGTCCACGGCCGGGCATTGCCTGCGATAAACATCAATACTTCTCCTCCAATCGATGCTCTCTCGATCGATACCGATGGTAAAGCAGCATCTCCGGCTCGAGCGGGTTCGCGGAAGACCCTCCGACGCAGCAGCAGCTTCTCGCAGGCCATTCGCGAGCTCTCGACGGACCATTTGCGGACGCTCGACAGCATCGACATCTTGACCCGGAACAGCGAGCAATCGCAGAATGAAGTATCTACCAGCCCCCAGCGCTCACCCCGAGCAGGTTCCAAGGTCTTGCCTCGTCGACGAAGCTACGTGCTGCACAACGACAACGACAAGAAGGCGGTGCCCCAAGGAAAATTGCTACGCCAGAGCAGTTTGCTCAAGAACCTTCGAGAGATGGCAACGGTCGTTCCCAAGCCCCCCGGGACTATTGAAGGCTCTCCAGAGAAGAAAACACCAAAAGATCCCGCTCAACCAGCAGCGAATCCCAACAAAACACCGTCAGCAGAGAAACGTGAGGCGTTTATCATTGTTCCACCGGAGATCGAGCGACAGCCTACGTTTGGCCACGGTACGGCACGATCGAGTTTGTTTGGGTACTCGATTCCGCCTCTTTACGATCTTTGGGACCGTTTGCAAGTCAGTCACTGCGGACAGTACTCGGTTGAGCGGATGTTGGCACTTGACTAGTACTGTCAGCGGCTGTCGATAGTACGCGTGCTGGCGGTTTGCTTGCTATTTCCTCTTGGACCGCTACTGGTAGTGATTCTAACCGAGTGTATGCCTCTGCAACCCGCGCAGAAGGGAGCGCTGGCGAATTACGTTTTCTGGATACGACACACGATCATGGGGACGATTCTCGTGTTTTGTGCCATGGTGCAGGCGAAAGTGTGGATCCCAGACATGGCTTTGTCAGTAAAGCAAGTGCTGGCCGTGGCGCTTGGGACCGCGGTCGTGTACACGGCGATCAACGTGGTGATCGCCGACTTGTGGGTGTTCCCGATCCCGTTTCTGGTCGTCGCTGGAGCTCCGTTGATGTTTAGTCTATGGGCGATTGGCAGTCGCATCGTGCTGGGGCCTCATCCATTGGAAGGCGTGAAAGATGGACAGTTCCGAGGACGTCGAGTCTTGCTACTAACCGCTGTGCACGCGTCATTGTTGGGCATCTATCCAGCGTACCAAGCGTTGTTTCTCGAAGTGGATGGAGTTTTGGAACTGGGAATGATCGCGCTTATACCAGCAATTAATCTATTCCTCAAGAACTTACAGACGGCGTTAGGATCCCATCCGAGGACAGTTTACCCGAAGTTGTTATCCTCAGCGTCGACGTCTTCAACGCGATCTACTCGGTGCTCTGTATGCACAGCGCCAACTCGATCAAGATGGTGGCGGTGACGCTGGTTCTCAACGCTCTGGTCATGATGCTGTCGCTGCACGGTATGAACCGCCGGTCTCGGGTTGCCAGGGCCTGTAGATCTTTCCAACTCATGGAGCGGCAGCAGCAAAACCTTCGTAGAACGCAGTCCGTCTTGGAATCGGTCATCACGGGTGGTTATAACCCCGCGTTGCTCAGTACGTTGGTGGCGACAACCCTCAGAATGCTCAGGCACCGGGCCAACTGGACTCCCAAGAACTGAGCACCATTCGACTGCTGTCCGGCATGCCACAAGAGCTCTCCAAGGCAAACGCCGCCTTGCTAGACTCATTAGGAGTGCGAAGTGTGTACAACAACAGCCGCCGAACTACAGTGTCGACTTCAGTGTCCGCGATCAAGTCTCGCTTCTCGTCGGCAGCTATGGAGGGCCGTTTACTCAGCGTCTCGCACTTCTCCTCGCCCTCCCCACCCACGTCGATACTGGCGAAGAGATTGCGTAGAGCGGTGCTGGTCGTTCCTGCCAGTATGTGGCTCAACTCACGCGTCAGTTCGCGTACAAACAGCGCCGAGAACGGAATGTTCAACCACCGCGACAATCACAGCAGAAGCACAGAGTCGGAGGAATCGGAGGCTGATAAGTTCTCACGACGGCCATCCACAGATTCATCCGAGACTGCAATGCTCCAGGTCCCGACACTGTTCGCTCCACGGATTTCTCAGCTTATCCACGCCACTTCGCACTCGACGATCCAGCCGATATCCTCGCCAAGACTGTCACGTCCCCCAGTTCCTTCGCTTTGGCAAGAAACTTCGGATAAATTGATCCCTCTCGTGTCGAAGAGCAACCCTGTCATCGGTAATGTCGTGGAAGAGACTCGAAAGCAGAACACTCGAGCCGTCAAGCAGACGCTGCAGCTGCTCTTCAACAACGAATACCTCGGGCTTACTGCCTATACGCAGTGCATTATCCCCCTCATCTATCTGCTCTACATGCCCGTGCTGCAGGCCTTGCCCAATCACATTTACTACCCGACCCACTACCGCTACTTTGGAGTGAAGACCGAATTTGATGAGCGGATGACTGTCATTGGGAGTTTGACTGGGCTTCAGCTGATGGTTCTCGTGGCGCTGCAAGTGTTTGTGGTGAAGCGCTTCGGTGTCTCGACGATTTACCAGGTGGCGTTCGTGCTGGAGACGCACTTCACGCTGCTCCAGGGTCGGCTCTTGATGTGGCTTATCTTTGCGGTGCAGTCGACGCTCATGCATTATGGTAAGTTTGCCAAAGGAACTGTGCTGGGTAGTTGGTACTTAAGTACACAGCTTGCTAACTAGTTATCGTGCTCTTGTGCAGGCGTCGACTTCAGCTTTCGATTTGAGTGGGTGCACGAGCCGACACTCGGGAACTAGGCAGGCTCTTGTTGATCGAAGCAAGTCGTGACATCGAAGGGTTGAAGCATCAGTACAGTAGTCGTAGTTGTGCGAGTGAATTCCGAATCTTTCAATTGTTGTCATCACTGTGTGATGCGGCAAGATTATCCACCAGTTGTCTGAACAGCAGAGTTTGTTCAGTTGTAGGCTTTGCCGCGACGAGGGCCACAACAGTATCGGTGCACCTGCAGCAGTTTAGCTCATTTGTGAAGAATCGCTCACTCGTTGCCACCAGTTGATAATTTGTGGTCGACTTTACAAAATAGCATCTACACTCATACTGAATCGAAGCCGGAAGGACATGGGCTATGAGGGTGAAGATCATTCGGATCTAGCAGTAGTTGAACGTACTTGATGTTGGAATAATGGGATGTGTATAGGTCTCACCCCGGGAAGTTGCGTCGGTCGTGCTTCATAGTTCCCTTAATAACTAACACTTTTCCGCCTTAAAGGGCTGATGCTGGCGATCACGGCAAGCCGAGTACTGTGAGCCATAATCCCGCCGTTGAAACTGCAACACTCCGTCGCACGCTGTCGGTGATCCGTCTCCTATTTCGGGGACAAACTGACTGACTGACTAAGTCTCCTGCAATCCAGTGGGCTAGAAACGACTTGGCTCTTACTCACAAATGCTTGGTGAACAGGATGCTCGTTCGCGCTCTCTCGGTGTTCGACCGCCATTTACTCGAGGCTCTGGAGGCGGAAGCAGGAAAGGTTTGCGTGGTGTGGCTGTGGCTCCATATGTAGGAGCTACGCGAAGTTTACCCCAACGTGACAGCACCGTCTTGCACAGTCCCTCACTGGAGAAAACTTCTCCAACTCGACGTCGAGCAAACAGCGTGTCACAAGCAGTTCGAGCCCTCGATGTATTGGGACCTCTTGATAGTCTTGCAGTTCTACGACACCAGGGCGACGCTCTCAACGACAGAACAGACTCACGGAACTCGCCTCGTCGAGGGAGCTACGTGCTACAACACAACCGACAAGCATCAAGACGGAATCGACTGGTTAAAAGCGCCTCACTCAAGAATTTCAGGGAGCTTTCACCTCTCACCCCCAAGCTCCCAGGCGCCATTGAAGGATCTCCTGAAAAGACCAAGTCGGCTGAAAATATTCCAACTCCTCAACCACCAAGAAATGCTCCTTCGGTCGAGAAGAACAAAGCGCTTATTAACGCCATGCCGCTCCTGGCTATCGAGCGACAGCCCAGTCACCTCGCCGGATCCATTACATTCCTTGGGTATTCTCTTGCGCCACTCTACGATTCTTGGGAGCGGCTGCAAGTGAGTCATTGTGGCCAGTACTCAGTCGAGCGGATGCTTGCATTGGACGAATACTGCCAACGGGCTTCCTTTGTACGAGTGTTGGCGGTCTGTCTGCTCTTCCCATTAGGCCCTTTGGTCATTGTGGCCCTGACGGAGTGCATGCCATTGCAACCGGTGGAAAAGGGTCCATTTGCCAACTACGTTTTCTGGATCCGCCACACTTTCATGGGGACCCTTTTGGTCGTTTGCGCTATGGTGCAGGCAAAGTCGTGGATTCCAGACATTTCAATGACACTGAAGCAGGTAATTATGGTGGCGATCGGTAGTGCGTTGGTATACACGGCAGCGTGCATCGCTATCGCCGATCTCTGGGTGTTCCCCATACCATTTCTTGTAGTGGGGGGAGCCCCATTAATGTTTGCGATCTGGGCGACCGCAACTCGACTAGTGCTGGGGTCTCGTCCGTTAGATGGCGTTCAGGACGGGGAATTCCTTGGTCACCAATTTTTATTGATAACTTCCGTCCACGCCTCCCTGCTGGGCATCTACCCAGCCTACCAAGCTGTGTTTCTCGCGTTGGACCCGTGGATGCAGTTAGGAATGGTCGCGCTGCTCCAAGGGATTAACCTTGCGTTGAAGAACGTTCAGACGGCGCTGGGATCGCACTTGGAGGATAATTTACCAGAGGTCATCACCTTCAGCGTCGATGTCTTTAGCGCCATTTACTCGGTGCTCTGCATGCACAGCGCGAACTCGATGAAGATGGTCGGACTCACGCTGGCGTTGAATACGTCGGTCTTGCTGCTGTCCCTGCATGGGATGAGCCGTCGGTCTCGGGCCGCCCGCTCTAGTCGCACATTTCTACAACATCAGAAGCTTCGCAGACCTGACGACGGCCCCGCTCAGCTGACCACGCTGGTCGGTACGACGCTCAGGCTGCTCCAAGCTCCAGAGCAACTGGATTTGGTCGAAGTGCGATCGACTCGGCTACTGTCAGGGTTGCCGCAGAAGCTTTCGAACTACAACAAGGGGGTATTAAACTTGCTGGCAACTAGGAGCGTGTACAGCAACAGTCGCCGAGTATCAGAGACTGTCTCCGTAGCCGAGATAAAGGAGAAATACTCTTCCGCAGCGATGGAAGGGCGGTCTCTTAGTGATCTCCATCTCCCAGCCCCACCGACCCGATTAAAGAACAATCCAAGACTGCGTGGAGTCTTCTTGGTCGTTCAAGCAACTCGGTGGTTGGGTGCATATTCTCGACCGGAGCTTCGCGACAGCTCTAGCAAAAGCACCGACTCGGATGAATCCGAGAGCGAGAGGGCGAGTCGCCCATCCACCGTTGTTCCAGAGCCGACAACCGATCCGACTTCGCCAAAGTCAGCATTGATCTCGCTCAGCCACCCTGCCATCAACGAGCTGGAGGCCCGAAAGCAGAACACTCGAGCCGTCAAGCAGACGCTGCAGCTGCTCTTCACCAACGAATACCTTGGACTTATCGCCTACACGCAGTGCATCATCCCCCTCGTCTACCTGCTCTACATGCCCGCACTGCAGGCGTTGCCCAACCACATTTACTACCCGACCCACTACCGCTACTTTGGAGTGAAGACCGAATTTGACGAGCGAATGACGGTCATCGGAATTCTAGCTGCGCTTCAACTCGTGGTGTTGATGGTGCTGCAAGTGTTTGTGGCGAAGCGGTTTGGGATCTCGACGTTGCACCAAGTGGCGTTTGTGCTCGAGTCTCGACTCGCACTCTTGCAGTGCCGCCTGCTCATGTGGCTCATTTTCGCTGTGCAGTCGACGCTTGTCCACTATGGTGAGCACTATATGGACGGCGAGTAATTTGTCCAAAGTGGCCTAACATTGTTTGGTTTGGTTCGCAGGTGTGGACTTCAGTTTCCGCTTCGACTGGCTGCACAAACCCAGCCAGGGATGAACCTTCACCCGTGCTGGACACAGTAACAGCGCGCGACTAGCAGGTGGCGGGCGTCACCTCCGTGTTATCCGGAAATTCGATGGTCTCAATTTGGAAGCCTATTCTCGGTTGGGGGGGGGGGGGGGGGGGCTGACGCTCCGCTGCACTAATTCCTTCCGAAGAATGCGCCAAGACAGACCTGTCCAAGAAACTCGTCATTCTTCACATGACGATCAAGTGGTGCCAACATCGAGAACCGATATCCAATTCAACCCAAAACGAGGCAGAGCACGGCACGGTCGCGGCTTGCTGCGAATATTTGGCGATAAACAACGAGTTACACCAGAATGGCTGGCAACACCTGGAGATTGCGTGGTGACTAGGAGTACGCTCAGTGGAATCCCGGAATCTCGTGATGCGAGTAAACCGGGGTTTTGGGTGTTCGGGTACTCGCTCGCCCCGCTCTACGATTTCTGGGAGCATTTCCAAGTCAGCCACTGCGGCCAGTATTCCGTTGAACGCATGCTCGCACTGGATGAATACTGCCAAAAAGTGTCGATCCTCCGAGTTGTGCTGGTTTGTCTGCTTTTCCCTCTCGGCCCGCTGCTTGTCGTTGTATTTATTGAGGCATTGCCACTGCAGCCGGCGGAGCAGGGAGCGCTGGCGAATTACGTGTTTTGGTTGCGCCACACTCTCCTGGGGACGATATTAATTCTGTGCGCTATGATCCAGGCCAAAGTGTGGATTCCAGAGATGCCGCTGACTCCAAAGCAGGTCCTTATCGCTGGAGTTGTGAGTTCATCAGTGTACACAGCGACGAACGTACTGATGGCGTACTTGTGGGTGTTTCCGATCCCGTTCCTTATCGTAGCGGGCGCTCCGTTGATGTTTAGTATCTGGGCAGTGGCGAGTCGAATACTACTGGGGGCCCACCCGATGGAAGGGATTGAAGACGGGGAATTTGGTGGTCGAAGGTTCCTCATGCTCACAGCGGTACACGCAGCATTGTTGGGCATCTACCCAGCGTACCAAGCCATTTTCTTGAGGACGGATGGGATTCTACAACTGGTCGTGGTCGCCTTGTTACCAGCAATGAACTTGGCCTGGAAAAATCTTCAAACGGCTTGGGGGTCGCACCTGCAGTATAATTTACCAGAGGTGATCGTGTTCACCGTCGACGCACAGCGCCAATTCGCTGAAGATGGTGGCTCTGACTGTGGGCCTCAATGCATTCGTGATTCTGCTAGCTTTTTTTTTGTAGTATTGTAGTCACTTAGAACCTAACGACGCTTCTGCTAGCCTTGTACGGTGTGGATCGGCGTTCTCGGGTCGCAAAAGCTTGTCGATCGTTTACTGACTTGTCGACTGCGCAAAGTCGAGATGGAGGTGCGGAGTCGTTGAGTTCGCTGGTAATTGCGACCATTAAGCTGCTGCAGTCCCCCGGTCAACTCGATTCCGGCGAGCTCCAAGCGAATTGACTGCTATCTGGCACGCAGCATCGGCTTAGTCAAGCAAATACCGATCTTTTGGCATCATTAGCCGCTCGCTGCGTGTACAACAACGAGCGTCGGACATCTCGCATGATTTCCATGATCCAAATGAGGGCGCAGTACGCAACAGCAGGAATTGAAGGGAGGAAGCGGAGCTCTTCACGCTTCGTAGTGCCTCAGCAGCCGCGCTCTAAACTCTTCAGAAGGCTGCATACTGTTGTGGTCGTTGTACCAATCGTGAACTCGCGGTTCGGCATTCGAAGTCATCGCCACATCAACAGTTCCGTTCATCCTCAAGAAGCGATCGATCAAGTAGAGACAGACGATTTTTCAGGGGACATCGTTGCTGCACGGATTTGTCCAGCTGTCACGAATAGCAACGCCGTTATCACCGCGGTACTGGAGGAAACGCAGAAGCAGAATACGCGAGCGGTCAAGCAAGCGCTGCAGCTTCTATTCAGTAATGAGCATCTCGGACTCAGCGCGTACACACAGGCGGTGATTCCCGTGCTCTACCTCTGCTACATGCCCGTGCTGCAGGCACTACCCAACCACGTCTACTACCCTACGCACTACCGCTACTTTGGAGACGCAAAGGAGTTCAACGAGAGAATGACAGTGATCGGGACTCTGGCGATGTTGCAATTCGCTGGATTAACGGCGCTGCAAGTGTTCGTGTCCAAGCGGTTCGGCGTCTCCACCATTTACCAAGCGGCTTTTGTGTTGGAGACTCAGTTCGTTTTCCTACAGGGGAGACTCCTCATCTGGCTCATCTTCGCCGTACAGTCCACTCTTGTGCACTATGGTACGCTTCATTCCCAACTTCTACCTCATTGAATAGCTATAGCTAACCTAATTTTTATTTTTGTTTAGGGGCCGACTTCACATTTCAGTTCGCTTGGCTGATGACTGCCAAATCGGGAGGTGGTGGATGAATCTCAAGGCAAAGTTAGCGCAGAAACAGCTATTCATGGGCCACTCAAATGTCAACATCTCCAACTGCGCTGGGTTTTTGAGCCAGCATGCCCAGGAAACGGGGCATAGTGGTGGTGGCTCCACTGCCGATAGCGGTGGCGCTCACTCCAGTCACCCCACATCGACCTCACCATGAACGTCAACCAAGTCGAATCATCGCGAAGGCTTTCGGGACGTCACTCGGACCATTGTACACTTTGTGGGAGCGTCTTCAAGTGAGCCATTGCGGCCAGTACTCGGTCGAGCGGATGCTGGCACTGGAAGAGTATGGACAACGGGTGTCCCCCCTTCGCGTGGCTGCTGTGTGCGTATTCACGCCACTACCTCCACTGCTGTTGGTCGTTCTAGCTGGATACATGCCTCTACGTCCTGTAGCTGAAGGTCCCGACGCCAACTACGTCTTCTGGATGCGGCACATTTTAATTCTTGGATTCGCGGTTCTCAGCGGGTTGATGCAAGCCAAAGCGTGGCTGGCGGAGCTCCACTTGACGATCAAAACCATTGTCAGTACCGCGCTGAGTGTTGCAGTTGTGACTACAGCTATCGCGTTTATTACGGCGAGGTTTTGGGTCTTCCCGCTGCCATTCATGAACGTGGTGCAAACCCCAGGGCTCGTTCTCATTTCTACCATTGCGGCGAGGGTCGTGTTAGGTGGAAACGCTCTTCAAAACGTCCCCGACGCTGAATTCCACGTAAATCGATTCTTTTTGCTCATCGTCGCGCAAGGCTCGCTCGCCACGATCTACCCCGCCTACCAGGCGCTGTTTCTCGCCGTACCGTCGGTTGTTCAGCCGTATCTGATGGCTCTACTTACTCTCGTGAACATTGCCATGAAAAACGCCCTCGCTGCGTGTGGAGCGCACCTGGAAGATCGACTACCGGAGGTTATTGTGTTCACTATCGACGTCTTCAGCTCCCTCTACTCGGCGCTTTGCATGCGCAGTACGAACTCGCTCAAGATGGTGGCGATCGCCGTGTCACTCAACACATTCGACATGATGCTGGCGCTGCACGGGATGAACCGGAGATCTCGAGTGGCTCTAGCGAATCGCGCTGACCAACAGCTCCAGGCTAGAAGGCAGAAGCAGAGCGATAGGGAGCTGGGGGTAAAGTCTAAAGAGTCTCAACAAGACTCACTTGGGTCACTGTTCAAGGCCACGCTCCAGCTCCTCCAGATGCCCGGCCAACTTGACCCGGCCGAGTTGCGTCAGATTTGTCTATTATCCTGCGCCGAGCACAAGGTATCGGAAGATAACAAGGCTCTACTCGAGGCACTCGCCGCTCGATGTGTGTACAACAATGAGCGACGGCCGACTGAGATCCGATCCATGGCACAGCGAAAATCCCGCTACTCATCAACCGCAGTGAGTGGGCCGGACCTCAGTTTTGCGGTAGCAATAAAACCGCCTTCACACTTCCTGCAGAGGCTACGAGCTGCAGTCTTACTGATCTCAGAAGCAGGCAAACGCTTCAGTGTCCAGATTGGGACTCGTCTAGGCAATTCACTCGGGTTTCGGATGGATAGTAAGGATCGACTGAGCCAACGACAGGTAGACACGGAGGGCGACGGTCAATCGGATACGGACAGCTTTGAGAACGACACAACGCCGAACGAAGCGGCGGAGTTGACATCATCCCCGTCAAGGCGGTCGTCAACTCAAACCCGCTCCAGTACTCCGTCTGTTGAGCTTTTCACACGACGAATATCGGGTCAAACAGGCTCTGGTCGAAGGATTTCTGGCCAGGTAGAGCCGTTCTCCCGCAGACCGTCGACTCAAGGAGGATCGGGGCGCATAATCTCCACTCAAATGGGCGCAGGATCGTCGCGCCGAGTTTCGTTTCAAATGTCAGGAGGGTCTTCACGTAAAGTATCAGCGTTGCCAGAATCTTCTTCAGTTCGGAAGCTGGTCCCGCAACATTTGGGATCATCGCGGAGGTTGGCGGAGCTCACTGCAGCCTCTACTAAGCTGGCTACGACGCTCAAGCTACGGTCGATTTTGATGCCGGGGAACCCCGTGATCACCGACGTGTTGAAAGAAACCCGGAAGCAGAACACGGTGGCGGTTAATCAGACGCTGCAGCTCCTGTTCAACAACGAGTATCTGGGTCTCATCGCGTACGCGCAGTGCATCACCCCCATGATATACATGGGCTACATGATCGTCATGCAGGAGATGCCCAACCGCGTGTTCTACCTCAACGGGCAGGATATGACCCACCCGGAGGGTCTGGCGCAGCACTTCACTGTCATCGTGGTGTTTGTGGGGCTCCAAATGGGAATTTTGATCGGGCTTCACGTGTTTGTTGCTACTCGGTTCGGGGTATCCACGCTCTATCAAGTGGCGTTTGTTCTCGAGACGCACGCCCGACTCGTTCAAGGGAAGATTGCAACGTGGCTGCTTTTCGCCGTGAGCTTCATGCTGGAACACTATGGTAAGCGACTATCTCATGTGAATATTGTGACAAAAACTGACTTCATTGAACTCACGAACTGATAAAGGGGCCGACTTTAGCTTCAGATTCGAGTGGGTGAAAAATGCCCAGCATGATGACTAGCATGCGGTTGTCAAAAAGTGAATACTTAGTACCACTTTTCCGAGCGGAGGTAGTACTACACGTATGTAGTTGCATCAATAGCGAAAATTAAGAACTCATAATGAAAAATTGTGCAAAAGGTGATACAAGGATGCCTATCGTAGTGCGTTTGTCGAAGTAGCTACCAGTTGTGTGCAAAGGTGATTAAATAACCAGTGTATTAGCGAGTTTTCGCCTTTTCAGCGGCCATGAATCCAGGCAAACCTGAAAGAAAAGTCCGAGCCTGTCAAAGAAAATATAATTTCGTGTGAGAAAAGAACAGCGGACGGGAGTATTACAGACAACGACGGATAAATACGGCAACGCAAAACCCGGCACACATATGTTGTACTTTTTACAATAAGTAATTCAGATAGCCAATCAGCTTCGAGAGTTACACTTGAGTTTGTATTCTATATGGTTTTAAGTACTTACTCTAAATTTGTGTGTACTTTATGCTCCGTTACGTGTATTTTATGTCATTGCCTTGTACAATCTCTATCGTTCCCGACAGAGAATTCTGGCACATTTACTACGGAGGATGTCATTCAGTTATGCCGGATTTATCCGTCGTTGTCTGTATAACGTTAGTCGCATATGTGGGGTGCTTACCGTAATGCGCTAGTGGGAGTGAGACGGTGTAAATTAGCCAGATTGCTAGTTTACCGTGGACATGTTCCGCGTGCGTTTCCAAAACGAACGCAACTTGGTGCAAAGTTGAGACCGAGAGACGTTTGCCAACTATCCAGTGAAGCACTAGCAGCGACATGAGTTGAAGCATCGCTAGAATGCTGATCACTGCGAAGAATTCGCCATCGCCAATGCTTCGGTCTCTGGGGTAAAATATTCGATTGGGAAGCTTCTGTAACACTGCCATATACGCCATGTAGATGCACGGAATAATGCTCTGAATGTACGCAATGAGCCCGATGTACTCATTTTGGAAAAGCAGCTCGAGAGTGCGTTTGACAACTTGAGTATTGCGCTGGTGAACTTCGTGATCAGCTTGAGTTGGGATACTCGCCGGTTTTAATAAAGCTGAGGTATCATTTCGAGTCAAGTGATTCACGGATGGCGGCGTAGGTTCGGGAAAGATCGTAGAGTGAGATGACATGGAGCATTCATTGCATGGCCACGTGGTCTTCGTTGCACGTACAACGTTCATCAGCGCTCTTCTTAGCAAAAGACGCTTGGATTTCGTTCTGGTGATTTCACGCTTGGTGTTAACAGCACACGCGGCCAGCTTGTGCAGCAGCCTTTCCTTCGCGGAGGAAATATTGTATTTTGCCCCCGAGAAAATGCGTATCTGTCGTAACCCCGAGGGGTCTAGTAGGGTGGGGGTCTCGACGAAATGTACTGCTGCCGAGACAGCAGAGGTTGTCGTAGAATCTGGATTCTCGAGTAGATACGTGCGGATGGTATGCGTTGTTCCTTTCATTGTCCGGTACGCCATCGCGACTTGAATGTTGAGCACCAGAATCAAGGCAGCCACGATCACAAACGAATTCACACTCTGCATACACAAAACTGTGTAGAGCCCATCCGAGACTTCCACCGTGAACACTACCACCTCCGGTAGTCGATCCTCCAAATGCAATCCATTGGCTATGATCACTTTCTTCACCACGAGGTCCATGATCGGGAGAAATACAAGCGACAGTCGTCGGATAGTGGTCGACACAGCGAGAAAAACCGCGTGATATGCCGGATAAATTACTATGGCAGACCCCTGCGCGCAAAGAAGCCTCAGAAATCGTTGCAATTGCAGTCCACTATTCTCAATTGATGCCAGCGACTTTCTCCCCACAACGCTGACATAGACACAAATGAGAACAACCGCGCGCACTGGAGTACCCAAAACAGCACAAAACGGCACGGGGAAAGTCCACAACCTTGCGACTGCCAGGTCTCCTAGAGTAGAGATTGTGGAGCTGCACAAAGCGATTCCGAGAACTCGCTGAGGGGTCAGAGGGATCCCCAAGATCCACGACTTTGCCTGGAATCCGACAGCGACCATAATGATCGTCACTAGGATCAGGTGTCGGACCCAAAACGCGTAGTTCGCTGTTGGCCCGTCGGAAGGTGGTCGGAGAGGGAGACACTCGACCAATATCACGAGCATCAACGTAGGAACGGGGGTCAGCACACACACGGCCACGGCGCGAAGCAATGGAGTACGCCTGCAATACTCTTCGAAAGCCAACATCCGCTCAACAGAATATTGGCCACCATGGCTCTTGCAAACATTGTAGATCGGCGCAAGTCGGCTCCGTTGAGGTGCTACTCGGATATCGGGAGCCGTCGGTGCCACTACTGAGCCTTGGGCGATGGACATGACAAGATGTTTCGAGTAGCCCAAGTGTCAAATCTACTATAAATACGATGCACCAAAATGAATCGGGATCAACGCAATAAAAAAATTACTCAAAAACAAGTGAGGTTTGTCGTTCTGTACATTATACGCTTACATTGTTGTGTTCGACGACAATTGTTTGTCACTCATAAACGATCGCACCTGATGCGTCGAGGAATATTTGCAGATTTCACGAGGGAACCTCAACATCGCCATACAACCGCTGAGAAGCTATAAGGTGACTAGATCGTGCACATAGTGTATGTCAAGATAAAAGCTCGTGCCACACCCAGAAGACGCGCAATTTCGACACGATTCATGAATTTCACAGTCAAGTGCTTACAGGAGAACATGATGCTACAGAAGTACTAAATGTTACATTGTGCGATCACGCATCCAAGAGAATTGAAAGGAGAAGTCAGCACCGGAATCATCCACACGTTAGCTTGCAGTAGATTCTCGCCAATCAACAGCGTTCATAGCCTTACCGTAGTGCTCAAGCTGGAATCCGACTGAGAAAATCAACCATGCCGACAATTTGCCGTGGACGAGTAGCGTTTGCGTCTCCAGCACGAACGCGATTTGGTATAGCGTTGACACCGCGAAACGAGACGCCACAATTCGATGCAGCACCAGCAACAGTGACAACTGGAAAACGCCCTGCATACCGATCACCAGCATGCGGTTCGCGAACAGATCCGCGTCTTCCACGTTGCGCGTGCCAGGGTAGAATACTCGGTTGGGCAGATGCTGTAGCGCCGCCATGTACACAATGTACATTACTGGAATGATGCACTGCGTGTACGGTCCGATGGACGTCCGACTCGCAGCGAGAGGTCCGCTATCGTGGGGGCCGTCGATTCCGACGCACTGGAAAACTTGCATAGTGGTGTGGCTTCGATAATATCCTTGACGCATGGCGCGCTCGCCTGCGGGTCGCCACCCTTTCCAATGTCTACGGCAGGAACGCCTTCAACAGGACAACTATCTCAGTTTACCAATGCTGTACTACTTCGAGAGCACCTGCCTGTCAAGCTATGGGACTACCTGCAAGAACAATTTTCGCCGGAGGAGGAACTATCCCAACACCGTTCGTCAATTAGGCTCAGTCTACAGCGATATCAGGACTCTATAGTTTAAACAAGCGTAAATAGAGGACCTCTGAACACACAGGAACGACTTCAACAGCAGCAGGACGAAGTAGTCGTTGCAATCCGATTCGTGGCATTCGTCGCGCTCTAACACGCTGCCCACTATCAGGAACACCGCTTGTTGTGGCGGACGCATACGTGCTCTTGAGCTCAGCTATGGATGAGGCTTTCGAGGACGCTCGGTCGTTCTGATACCCTGTGTAACGATCGCAGTAATGCAGCAGTCTCGTCAGCGATCTTGTGCCGTACCCCGGACTGCAGACGAATCCTATTCAGCTCAGACGAGTCCAGCGTGGCAGGTGTCTGCAGCAGCTTCAACGTGGCCTGCATCAGATTCCCCGTTGAATGCGCAGAGCTACCAAGCTGCACTTCCCGCTGCGTTACCGTCGGGTCTCCAAGCTCTCGACTATGAGCTCGAATAACCGAAAGCGCTTGTGCATGGAATGCAAGGACAACGTCGCGTCGGCAAGGCGCAACGACGCCATTATGGCCACCATCACGAACGAATTCTCCGAGCGCATGCACAGCGTCGTGTAGAGCGCGTCGTACACGTCCACGACAAAGACGACCTCCTCCGACAATCGGTCTTCTAGGTGCGACCCGAAGGACACGATCAGGTTCTTCAACGCGAGATCCAAAGCCGGCAGCAGAAGCAGCAACAACCGCTGGACCAGGCTCGGCGACACGAGGAAGAGCGCGTGGTAAGCCGGGTAGATCAGCATGAGCGACGTCTGCGCCGAGAAGAGGTTGGCGTATCTCCGCAGATGGAACGCGCCGTCCTTCACGGCGCGCAGCTCGCCCCGTCCGATGGTGCAAATCACGGCGAGCGCGACGATCACCTCGAGCACTGGAGCCCCGAGCACGACGAGGAACGGGATCGGGAAGACCCACAGCCTTGCCACGAGGATGTCCAGCCATGTCGCAACGGCGGCACACCCGAGCGAGAGTCCGACGATCCGTTGTCGAGTCAGCGGCGCGCCCGGGATCCACTCCTTGGCCTGCTTCATGGCGCCGTCACCATGGCCGCGTGGCGGATCCAGAACATGAAGTTGGCCAGCGCGCCGCCGGTCGCAGCGGGACGCACTCGGTCAGCACCACCACCAGGATCGCCGGCAACGGGGTGAGCAACAGCACACACGCGACTCGCGCGCGCGACGTTCGGTGGCGATACTCGTCCAAGGCAAGCATGCGCTCAACCGAGTACATGTACTGGCCGCAGTGACTCGTCTGGAGCCATTCCCACAATCCGTACAAGTACCTCCCGCCGCGCTCGAGCGTCGGATGCCGTTCAGTTGGCGGTGCGAGCACGTCCGAGGCCTGCGGGGCCACGGCAACGGCGCCGCGCAGCATGCTGCTTTCCTAATTTCTAGGATCAGATGACCAGAATTATTATTATTCCTATCAGGATAGTGCTGTTGTTGATGACCAGCGTTGCCGCTGTCGCGTTCCCTAAAAATACTTCGCCTCAGTTTTTCGTTTTCGTGCCTGCGCGCTCGTCAGAGAAAGATCAAAGCGTTGCCTTCACTTCAAGTGGTGCATCCGGCTCGATTAATACAGCTCTTCACGGTGGATTCGCAAGGTGCGTCCTCGTCTGTCCATCGCTCCGAGACGATTGGATTTCGTTGCAGGGTGGCCCCGCGCGAATCAGGAATCTGGAACCGTCCACACCGGGAGGGAGCAGCCGGCCAAGCAAGGCCAGCCAGTCGATCGGCCGTGGACAGGTTCCAATTTCGCCACCTGCCAAGAACGTTGGCCAAATGGAGCGTGCCATTGGCATGTCATGATGCCATGCCTCGTCGTCCCTGCTCGCTCGTCCTGCGCTTGCCGGCTGCTGTCTCAAATCGCCGTCCCACTGACCGGCGCCAAGCTGCTCGCCGATGCCGCGCTTGCTTGATGACGGACTCGCTCGGGCAAAAGGCACAACGCGCGACGTCCGCGGAGCCAAGCGGCTCGAGCCAAAAAGGCCAACACGCAGCAGCTGCTGCAACTCGGAAAAAGGAACGGCATAGGCCTGCTCTGCTTGGCTCGGCTGGGCTGCTCGGGGGCCGGCCCACTGCAGCCCTCCGCCGGCAACAACCTACGGTGCACCTCGCGCTTGCTCAAGCCGCGCAGCCGACCTCGCTTGGCCATGGTAACATCCATATTTGACCCAGGACTCTCTTGACAATGAGGAAGCGAGAACGAGTTGATCCCGTCGTGGTGGTACTGTTCGGACGATGTGACGCAGCGCAGGTCGGACGAGATCAGCGTTTGTGTGGCCCCTGCGCGGCGGAATGCCATGCCGGACGAGAGGCCCAGGCCGCGTGAAGGGGACGGGTCGTCGGGTCGTCGCGAATAAGACTCGTCTGACGTGGCAGATCGCATCCTGCACTTTGGCGAGTGCATGCCGAGTGCATAATGCCTGCGCCTTGAGTCAAATGCGAGCGCTATGCTTGGCCGAGCGCTGCAACTAAAATTTTAATGCGCGTTCCGGAGGCGTTACGGCGCAGCGGCCTTGGGCTGGGCAGGCTAATATTTCGGGGCGAGAGCAGCTCTGCGCCGCTCGACGGCGGAGGATGGATGAGTGGAGCGAAGGTCCCTCCTCTGCTCTGCAGCTCTCGGCAGCCAGCCAGCCAGCAGGCGGCTTCAACGCGCCGGGACCGGCGGCAGTTATTAGTCTTGAAGCCGCGCGCAGCGCCGCAGACGACTGCCACGTCAGAAACGAGGCCGCGCCTTCACTGCAGACGCGGCGCGCGTGAGAAAATGACCAGCGGCGGCAACAGCGGCGGCGGCGCGCTCTGGGCGCCACTGAGCCCCAATCCATCGGCGCTATCACGGCGCGGCCGTGGGATCGTAAGCCTCGTCTTCTCTCGCCGCGGCGCGCGGCGGTCTCTTCACTTGAGAACTGAGCCCGCGAGCGACGCGTCCACCGACGCCGACCAGCTCACCACTGGCAAGCAGCGCGCCGCGACGGCGGACCAGCCACATCAGCAGCAACAGCTCGAGCAGCAACGCCAGCGCGGCCTCATGTCCGGCCGCTCGTCCGAGCCGGCCCTCTCCGACCGCGCGCGCACCTCGTCGGGCTCCGCGTCCACGCGCGTGGACCTCTCGCGCCGCCTGACGCGCCAGGTCTACGTCGGCACCATGGAGGTGTCGCCCGACGCCGTGGGCATCGACAAGCCGGCGCCGGGCTCGCTCACAGTGGCGGTCAAAGTACGCGCGCTCACGCTCGACTCGGAGCGCAACGGCGGCGGCGGCCTGCGCACGTGGCAGGAGTGGCGCACGGTGCAGCGGCTGCTGTCACTGGAGCGCGAGGCGGCCAACTACGCGGCCTTGAACAGCAGGAACAGCAGCAGCGCGGGCCGCAGCGTGCTCGAAGGCCGGCGCCACATCGTGCGCTACTACGCCACAAGCGTCGAGAGCGAGTCCTTCCGCCTCATCATGGAATTCTGTCCGGGCGGGGACCTGCTGTCGCACCTCATCGCGCGAGGCGCGCTCGGACCCAAGCCTGCCAAGGGCGTGCCGCAGCAGGAGGCGCGTCGCTGGGTGCTGCAGCTCGCGCGCGGGTTGCGCTACATGCACGCGAGCGGCATCGCGCACCGCGACTTGTGTCCCGAGAACATCCTCATCGGCCGGACGGGAGACGTCAAGATCTGCAACTTCGGCGCCAGCACCACGCGCGCGGCCGAGCTTTCGCGCGACCGCGTGGCCGGCAACCTGCACTACACAGCACCCGAGGCAGTGAGCGGCACCTGGTACGACCCCGTGCGCGCGGACGTGTGGTCGCTGGGCGCCGTGTTCTTCGTGCTGCTCACGGGGTCGCCGCTGCTCACGCTGCCGTTCCCAGAGTGCCGCGGCTTCGAGCTCGTCAAGACCGTCGGGTGTCGCGGGGTGCTCAAGCTCTGGGGGATGGACAACCAGTTCTCGGCGGCGACCATGGATCTGCTCGCGAAAATGCTCACGGTGGACCCGACCAAGCGCCTCAGCAGCATGCGCGAAGTTTTGGATCACCCGGCGATGCTGGCTACGGCTCACACCGAGCGCAGCCTCATCGCTGTGTGACGAAGGATTTTGATTTTTTGAGGTTATGACTATGAGGGGAAGCATCTATCTAGAACGGAGAAGGAGAATTTTAACGGCGGCGCGCGCCAATTGATAAGAGCGCGCCGCCGAACTGCAAGTAAGAAGTAAAGAGCGGCTAGTATGTTATGTGTCAAAAGATAATAAAGTTGAATTCAAGGCCTTCCGCCGTGTACGCGCATGTAACTGGTTGCAGCTTCGGTGCTGCCGTCACGGCGTCTCGTGGTGACAACCGGACGCGGCGTGTTTAACATCCGCAGCGAGTCGATCGAATTGACTTCAACTGCAGCTCGATGCACGAAGACATTGATGCGCTGAATCCGTACATGCACATGCTCAAGTATCGCTATACGCGGCGCGACGCCGGAAAAGCTGGCTCCGCATATTCTTGCATCGCCCGCTCGTACGTATCCGACGCAAATCCGGCAAAATTGCCAGCACCGCAGCGCTGCAGTCTATCCACTCCGCATGCTTAACCAAGACGCAGCTCCACACAATACGCTCCATGTGAACAATGTTCACTGAACATGCATGGGCAACTTCTGCTTGCTGGCCAGAAGGTAGCGTTGTGTAGTGGCCAGTGGCCACTACACAACGCTACCTTCTTTGAAGCGTGCCTCAATTCCTTCCACTGCTGAATGAGTCTGTCTGGTGATTGCGTCCAAGGGAGTCATTACCTAAACTGATACTTCGTACGCTGACTCGTGACGAACCACCTCCAAGGCCTTGCTGACCTGCAGCTGGAGAAATGCAGACGCGCGGTTGCCCACAAACAGCGGAGGTCACGGCTTTCCAAGGCTGCAACAGAGAGAACACCGCCGCATCTGATGCATTCGTTGACAGCTCGTGGCGTCACTCGATGCCAAGCTGGCCACGCACGACGACGTGTAGGCGACGGTGCTTGTCTCGATGCAGGCACACAGGATGAAGACGGAATGTCCACCGACGTCTCGTTCAATTGGCGCTTGAAGGGACTTTACAGCGACAGCGATACAGCCCAACAACCCCACACCAAGTGGGCTTGGCATACATGTAACCCTTGGGTGTACAATAGCAACGTCCATTCGTGCATAGCTATTCGTAACTCGATCGTGCTTGAGCGTAGAGGACATCGCACATGGTTTTAATCATGACTTGCCCCCAATCAGCGATTCCAGCCTCCAGTTCTTGAAGGGCAAACGGCGCAACCGCGAACTCCGGACGATGCAGCTTCAGGTAGCCTGTGCGGCGCATAGTGACCACGAGCTCCTCGTCCTCTTCTTGTTGCTCGCTTTCTCCCAGCTGGCTGTTTCTTTCGATTCGCGGCAGTCAGAACGACTCCGCCCGAAATGTCCTTGCGAGCATGTTCAGACAACCGATACGGGTACAGCTCGTCTTCATCGACGCAGTCTGAAGCCACAATGGCGCACGGTTCGTCGCCAAACCTCGGGTCGGCTTCTTCGAAGAGCTGTCCAAACACGATCGTGTTCGTCTCGGTGGTGACACCATTGCTGTCGCTGGACATGATGCGCGCGTTGTACGCAGAGCCTTCGATCATGTCGTAGTCCTCCCTCACAGTGATATGTCCCAGTCGCTCGGAGATACTGATCTCCATGTTGGTGAGATAGAACCAAAGAGCCTCAAACACTTGACGGAGCGAGCGCACGCCTGGGAAGATGACCACCGTGCTCCCCAGCGAGTAAACGTTGCCGTCGTCGTCTTCAAACAACTCGTTTGAGTTTTGGTCCTGACCCGCAGGGGTCTGCGCGTTGCGAATCGTCACGTACTCGAACGCGTTCCGCAGCTTCTGCTCGCGAATGGCCAGCAGCGTAGCTCTTCTCTCAGCCCAGTCCTTCTTCAAATGGATGTGCGTGCGCAGCGGGTTAGAGTACTGCGTTCTCTGCTCCCGAGACAACAGAAAATAAAAAAATGTTAGCTGGCAGCTACGAAAAACGAGAAGTATTCTCATTCATCCCTCACCATGCACTCCATCATGAGCGACTGCGCTGAGGCGATGCCTAGCTGCTGTTGCTTTATAGCTTTGGTTAGCGCCTTGGACTTGACCTTGGCCTGTTGCAGTCCCGGGTCGGCAGCGAGTGACGAGCCCGCCGGCAGGCCTTGGGTCTTGAGCACTGCCACCTGAGCTTCCAGCTGCAGGATCTCATCCCGCAGCGTCTTCTCCTCCTCCTGGAAAAAAGATAAAGAGGTAAAATACGGCTGAATGATCGGCTACAAATACAGGAATGCTACGCCAAAACTGGCGCGCACCTTGCGGATCAAGTACGTAGGCTTGCGCTTCTTGGGCGCCTCGGCCCCAGGGGAGTGACTGTTGTCTGCCGAGTCGTCAGAACTGGACCCGGGGGGTTGGAGCATTAAGTCACGGGGCTGCTGCATGGCGAGTGTTGCGCTTTGATGAGGTGGAGGCGGGATGGTAAATGACTTGCTACGCCAGTGAGTGAGTTCGGGCTCCGATTCCTATTCTGTCTCTGGTTCAGCTTATTCAACACAGATGACTGAGCATCAGTATAGCTGACGTGGTCAGGGTTTGTCAAATCGGAGTCAGCTCTTCCACACCGTACGTTGTTGGAAATCACTCCTGTTGAGTGGGCTGCACGCCGTCATCGGCTTCAGCAGAAGACGACAATGTTCACCACAGCATAAGCACAATGGTGATGTCGTGATGCTATGAATCAACGATTGAGTTAAAGGATATCCCTCGTAGCTACATGTATAGAAGCAAGCGTAAGTTATGGGCAGTTTCGTGCAGGAGCTTTTTACCTCAGATTCGAGCGTACAGGATCTCGCGCATGGCCTTGATCATCACGGCACCCCAATCGGCGATTCCCGCCTCCAGCTCTTGCTGAGCGAGCGAAGATACTGGGAATTGAAAGCAATGCAGCTTCAAGTAGCCTGCGCGTCGCATGGTCACGACTAGTTCGCCACTATCCCGTTGCCTGCTCGCTGTGAGCACAATTGCGCCCGAAATGTCCTTGCGAACGCGCTCTGATGGCCGGTAGGGGTACAATTCATCCTCATCGACACAGTCCGCGGCCACAATGGCACACGGCTCGCCTCCAAACCGAGGATCGCCCAGGTCGAACCACTGCGTGAATGAAATGGTGTTGGACTCCGTCGTCACGCCATTGCTGTCGCTCGAAGTGATGCGCGCGTTGTACGCGGAGCCTTCCAGGACGTCGTAGTCTTCTCGCACCGTGATATGCCCCAGTCGCTCGGAGATGCTGATCTCCATGTTCGTCAGGTAGAAGTACAGCGCCTCGTAAACCAGTTGGAGCGATTGAACCCCTGGAAATCGCACGGTGATGATCCCCGTGGAGCAAACGTCGCCGCTGTCCGTCTCGAACTTCTCGCTGGACTCGTGGACCGGGCCATCAGCTGTGAACTGACTCCGAGCCAAGACGAACTCGTACGCGTTCTTGAGCTTCGCGTCGCGAATGGCCAGCAATGTCGCTCGTCGCGCTGCCCATTCGCGCTTCAGACGGATGTGAGTGCACAACGAGTGCGAACTCTGCGTCCTCTGCGCGCAACAAACACAAAGGGATCATCAGCAACAACATCTATCGCAATAAATTGCAGGCACGTCGCCCTTACCGAGCACTCGGTCACCAGCGACTGAGCCGCGGCGATCCCCAACTGCTGGTTCCTGATGGTGTCCGTCAGCACCTTCCATTTTGGCTGTGGACTCTTGCAGCACTGGGTCCGCAGCGATCGCTGCATCTGTCGGCAAGCCTTTGGACTTGAGCACTGCCACTTGAGCTTGCAACTTCACGATTTCGTCGCGTAGAGCCTTCTCCTCTTCCTGTAATCGGGATAACTGGTTAGATACTAGTTCACACTCAACAGAGAGTTTGGACACATGAAGGCGCAGCACGCACCTTGCGGATGAGGTACGTGGGCTTGCGCTTCTTGGCCTGAGGCTCTGCGGACTGGCTGCTGTCGGTGGAATCGTCGGACATGGTGGCAGGTCTGATCTCTCTCGGGGCCCGCGGCATTTTCTGTTGTTGTTGGAACCTGAGGCGGACAAGTCCCAGAAAGGTAAACATACAGACTTCAAAAATGATTATGCCTATCATGCTCCAGTCGGCTCCTCGTCCTGCTTCATTTTTAGTTCTCACTCGCTGTTTTAGGAGTACTGTACAGTACCTCGCGCATGGTCTTGATCATGACATTACCCCAGTCCGCGATGCCGTCCTCCATTTCTTGTTGTGCGAGAGGTGGCATGGGGAATCCAGGGCGATGCAGCTTGAGTATGCCTGTACGCCGCATCGTGACGACAATATCGTCGTTATGGGTAGCCGTTGAGCCTCCTTCTGAACCAGCCCCGCCCGCGCCTTGGGTCTTCTGCCTGCTTGTTGTCAGCAAGATGGCACCAGAAATGTCTTTGCGAACATGACTCGACGAGCGATAGGGATAGAGCTCGTCTTCGTCGACACAGTCGGAGGTCACAATGGCGCAAGGTTCGCCTCCAAACCGCGGGTCCCCGTTTTCAAAGAGCTGCATCAAGCCAATCGTTTTGGATTCGGTTGTGATCCCATTTTCGTCGCTCGAAGTGATGCGCGAGTTGAACGCTGCTCCGTCGATAACATCGTAGTCGTCCCTAACAGTAATATGCCCCAGGCGCTCCGAGATGCTGATCTCCATGTTGTTCAAATAGAAGCAGAGTGCTTCATACACTTGTCGCAAGGACTTGACGCCAGGAAAATGAATCACCGCGATGCCTTCGAAGCAAACATCACCGTCGTCAGTCTCAAACTTTTCGTTGGACTCGCGGTCAGCGCCGTCGGCCATGTGGTGGCTGCGTGTTACGACGTAGTTGTAGGCATTCAGCAGCTTTTCGTCCCAAATAGCTAAAAGCGTAGCTCTTCGCTCGCCCCAGTCCTTCTTGAGGCAGATGCGGGAGCATAGCGGGTGAGAATAGTGGGTCCTCTGGTCACGTCAAACAAAGCATGGGAAGACACGTCAGATAACCTCCAAGACAAGCACACAATAATTAAGTTAACCTTACCGAGCACTCCAGCATGAGTGACTGGGCCGCTGCAACGCCCAATTTCTGGTTCCTGACCAAGTCTCCCAACAGTTTAGTCTCCCCTTGGACTTGCAGCAGGTCGACTGGTATTCCTTCTCGTGCGGATACCTCTTGGGTCTTCAGTGCACTCACTTGGGCCTCCAAGTGCACGATTTCATTGCGTAGAACCTTCTCCTCCTCCTGTACACTGTGAGTCCGCACGTTTTCTCTAAAATTCTACAAGCCAATGCACTAAACTGACCTTGCGGACGATGTACGTGGGCCTGCGCTTCTTGACTGGCAGGTGGCCCGGCGACGGGCTGCTGTCGGTTGAGTCTTCGTGCGGGGTGCGCTCGGACGCGCTGGAACTTCCTGGCATAGCGAGTGTGAGGTGACTTGATTGTGACGGGAGTTGAGTGTTTGCAACAAAGCCAGGGTGATCTAAATGCTTGTCAAACCACGGGATCAGCTGACAGAGGAGTCTATTGTGATGGCGTTTAGTGTTGTTGGAGTTGTTTGCGTAGTATTTAGGCTGGGGGCCAACGGCATTTTGCAAGGATATGAAGGCGCTTCGCGTGCTTTTGGTGGTCCCCAGCAGATTACAGGTTGAGGCGGAGCGTCTTGCCCACGAGGTTGCGGCGGGGCTGCTTAGTCACGGTGATTTGCACGGGGTGGAAGGGCTTCGACTTGGCAGTGGGGGAGACGCTGAGCGCGCGCTTGCCATGGGCGGTGGCGCTGCGCTTCTGCAGGTGCGGGTGCTGGTGCGCAGCCGTCGACTCGCTGTGGTTCGAGCAGTCCATGCAGCGGCAGTGCGACGTGCAGGCGATGCCGTTCTGGAAACACTCGCAGTACTTCTTCAGACACTTGGACTTCTTGCAGCGGCACCCGCGCATCACGACCGCGCTAGATTTCTGTCAACATCGACCAGTATCAACCATTAGCAGGAATCCCACCAGACAGACATTGGGAGGAGGAGTGTTCGTACCTGCGGCAGGAGGTGAAGGAAGCCCGTGGTGCTGGCACTTTGGGGCAGCGACGCGAAGGAGAAGGCGCGCGGGTCGTTGGCTAAATAGTTCTGGATGGCCTCCACGCGCTCGGTCTGGTGCTTGCGTCCGTTCTTGCAGTCGTCGCAGGCGCATCCGGCGTGGCAAAAGCCGCGGGAGCTGAAGCACATGCAGTACATCTTGAGGCAGCCGGTCTTGCAGCCGCAACTGGTGGACGACGACACACTTGAGGCCTGGATCTGCTGCGCATGTCGAAGCAGCAGGCGCTGCCGCTTGTCCTCCTTGGCCAGCTCCGGCTCGTGCTCGAACCGCGCTGAGGTCTGCTGCACGTTCGACGAGCCTGGAGCTGTCAACTTGGAGTCGTTGGCTGTGTTAGTTTGAGGTCTAGAGGCGTCCAGGCTAGTCCTGGACGTGGAAGGGGAGGAGGCGATCCCCGTCTTAAGCTTCTTGCGGTGAGGCAACTGGAACAGGTTGGCGGCCTCCAGGTCAGTGAGACACACGGGCAGCGAGGAGTCGGGGCCGTAGCGCTTCTCCAATAGGGCCAGCATCATGTCCATCCAGGCCAAGTTCTCGCTCTCCTGCGCCTCTGTCTGCTCCGACGAGGAGTGCGGGCTCTGCGCCTCATCAACTGGCGTGGTTGCAGCCCCTGTGCGACCTGTTTCCTGCCCTTCCGGTCCTGTAGATGTGTGGAGTGCGACCGTGGCCTGTCCGAGCGATTTCTTGGCGTCTACTGGGCTCTGGAGGTCGCGCGCGGATGCGTTGGGCTGCGCGCGCTTGGGCGCGTTCACTGTGGGTCTAGGACAGTTGCTGTCGATGCTTTGCAGCGCGCGCCGGTGCTTCCGCGTGCTCGAGTCGCTTGAGACGGAGTTCCTCGCTTTGGACGGCGGTCCTGACGCAGATACAAGCGACTTTGCTGAGATTCCGACATGCTCGGGGTCCTGGTTTTCCTGCGCGTCCAGCGCGGTGCGTGGGGCGACGCCGCGTGCCGTGGGGGCGGAGCGGAGGGCCATGGTATGCGCGGCACAAGGGAGCTCGGGAACTGATCTGGCGCCACCTCGGCGCATTTTCAATTCAAACTTCGACTTCCCGCGAAAGCACGGGATTGGCTGAAAATATTTCACTTGGGGTTTGTATGCACGACACAACGAACGCCCGCTTTTGCACATGAGCATACAAACTTCAGCATTAAATTCAAATGACCCGCCCAAAGGTGGGCCCTACCCGTTTGTGAGGAGGTAGGGCGCTTCTACCCTGAAATGGCTTGCTGCGTCTAATGGTACAGTCCGTGCTAAGTCTACGCGAGCGCCGAGCCGCGCAGACGCAGGCGCTTCCACGTGTTCTCGCGCACGGCGTTCTGCAGCAGGTCGTAGATCTGGTTGCAGCCCTCGGTGGCCACCTCCATGAGGCTCTCGAACAGCTCCAGCGGCAGCTTGCACTCCATCTGCAGCAGGTTGAGCTTCTGCGTGCGCGGATTGAGCGCCATCACCACCTGCGGCGCGCGCGCCACCTCCTCCGCGTAGTTCAGGTCTGCCACAGAATAGAACACAACACCATTAGACCACTCTACCTCAATTCTACCGCGTTCTACCGCATTCTACCTACCACAGAGCATGGTCTGCTGCAAGTATCCAGCCGACGAGGCCACCACGAAGTCGTTGAGCGCGATGCCCGCGTCGATCAGCGCCAGCGTGATGGCGTTGATGCTGGCCGGCAGCTCGCCGCCGTCCGCGTGCAGCACCTGCACGAAGATGTCGATCTGCGAGCGCGGGTACAGCTGTGTCTGCACGCAGGCCTCGAAGATCTGCTTGACGGCCAGCGACATCTCGACCTTCTTGCGGTCGCCGCTGCGCTGCGGCTTGCGCTCCGACGTGGCGAAGGCCGCCTGCGTGAACTCGCAGTTGACGACGGCGCGCGGCTGCGTGTTGGACGCGGCGTTGCCCGAGCCCGTTCCCACGGCCGCCGCGCCGCCCGCCGGGCCGACGCGCAGCTCCCGCGGGCCGTAGACCACCGCCACCACCTTGGTGTTGCCCTGCTCGTAGTAAGCCGACCCGTCCACGCGCGAGAAGAGCCCGAAGCGCGTGCGGATGCGCCGCACCTCCTCGCTGCGTCGCCCGTCCACGCGCAGCCCGGCCACGGAGATGAACTCGCCGCTTGCGCCGCCGCCGCCGCCCAGCACGCTCGCGCTACCCGCCTTGGCCGCCATGTTGCTCTCGGATTGGTTTTCCTTGGCTTTGGTCAGCCGTACTTAATTGGGGGTGGTGACTAGGAAGTCAAAGAGAAGTTGAAGTTTACATTCACTCTCGATTTTTATGCATTCCGGGAAGACATATAAATGTTGAAGCTAACATTCACTCCCAGGTTCTGGTGAAGCTGCAGTATCGGCTTCTGATGCGCTTCGCGATCCCCTGCAGTGGAGCAGACCCCGGTGCACGTACCAAGGCCAGGTCTGTGGACATCACTCCCAAATCGGACGTTTGGCTGGCACCAGTTCTGGGCGCTCTTGAGCAAGAAGAGCGAGGCTATCACCGTTCAGCTGGAAGTTCAACAGCGGATTGCGCTAGGTCCACTATATACCATCGTACAGCTCCACTCACTATTTCGTTTCTGGTTACACAGGAGATCCTAATCGAACTTGACCAAGAAGGCGAGCAAGAACTGCGGCATCTACAACTACCCTGGTAGCCTCACGACCCCGATCCGATCTCGTCTGCCGACTTCACCCGTCTTCACAGGGACTTGGTGGAGTACCACATCACGGTCGACGGCAACAATGCCCGCCCCGTGCAGCCTCTGAACGACCGTAAGGGCAATATGTGGCGTAAATGTTGTTGGCTTCGCCTGGTATACTCTGCGTAGAATAAATCGACTTTAATGCGTTTGAAATGGACGAAAGCGACTGCCGCTTAATATTTTACTACGCAGTACACTGCATCTTCGCTAGAGCTTCACGAGACGAGCCCGACCTTTTGGTTGGCGGAAAAGTACACCTGTGTTTTGGCCCACGACGCCGTGTCCGGGTAGATGAATATCGGGTAGAGAGTGTTGCCATGAGAAGCAGTAGAGAGCATTGACTGCTCGTTGTAGTCGAAGTCGAACGTCAGTTCCGTGTCGTACTGGTCCAAACATGGGGGCTACGGCATCAAAATCAAGAGATTACCAGGTTTTAGTGAACATGGATGGGTAGTAAAATTCAATTCAGCGTCACGGACCTCGCTGCAATAAAACCAGCCCAAGACGTCGTGCTTCTGCCACGAGCTACTGGTTGACGTCGTGAATCCCTACAAGTGCACAATCATCTGTCGAGTCAGTGACTTCCACCACCACTACCACCATTTTTCTTGCTAATAACGTACCACAAATGCCTCATCGGAATCCAGCCTCAGTGTAGCTGACAAATTGATAGGAACGGTCAAAATGGGCGTATCGGTCTTGATGCCTTCATCCATAAACACTACTAGCGTTCCAACTCTTCGACCATCTGACACGTCTTTGATGAACTTGGGCAAATTCGTGGTCGCTGAGAAGTAAGGAACGTAGTTATACTGCGTCAAAAGATAGGTGTTAGTAGAGAAGTATTACATCGCATAGCAAGTGCACGCGTGTCATCTGCAACTCCGTGTAGTAGCGTATTTTGACAATGTGCACCTTGCCATCAGCGAGATCATGGACAGCAGCGGCAGAGATTCCAGCGCGTTCGGAGTCCGTGTTGCTGCTTTGACCTCGTGAGTAAATTGCAACATGATCGTAAAAGACATCATCTCCAGCGCTTTCATCGTTGAGCCTAGTTTCAAATGTGATGGCAAGTGAGTTGTGTAGTCCGGCAAACCCCATGCTGGAACCTTCCACCCCCAGTGTCGCCGTGCGGTTTTGGTGGGAATGTATCACAAATGCCCACCATGAACCGCACAGCTTTGGTACTCGTGGATCCCGAAGTTCTGGTATTTTACTTCGAAACAGCGCCGAGACTGGTCGGTAATCTAGAAAGTGAACCGTGTCTCGAAGCCTTGCAACACTGGTAGCTGCTGCGCGTACCAAATTGAAGAAACTTGGTGCGGTTGCGAGGCTGTGAGGCGTAGACGCTCAGGACATCGAAGTTTTTCCTCGCTCTCCTGATAAGCGCCGCGATGGCCAAGCATAGCCGTCTCCATGGCGACGCGCGCGCTTGTCGTGCGGTTCTCAGTTTCACGAGTCTCAAGGCGAAGCGCTTCTTGCTGCTCGGTCAATACAACTTCCAGTGTGGCTTCGCGTGCATCATTGGCACCGGAGAATTTCGAGTACGCAGTCTGACCCGTACAGTATAAGCCACATATTCATCTAATGTTGAATTTAGCACAAAAGAGAGCGAATACATACACTTGGGAACGATGCGCAGCTACTTGTAGCCGCTTTTCCATTTAGAACTAACCTAGTTGTGCCATTGAAGTCGTAGTACACGAATTCTGCACGAACGAACCAGATCGGCGTAGACAGAAAGAGTAAGCAACGTGCAGGGGGGGGCAGCTAACAGTAAAGGTAAGGCTGCACCTGCTGCGACTGCATCGACGAAGAAAGCGACCAACAGCGCAAGCGCGCTTGATATCCTCATGAGTCGTTTGTCGGTAGATGTGACCAACTGACCCTTCAAAGTCTCAGTTGAAATCGAAAAAAATTTTGTTGATTCGTGCGACAGTGGCGCAGCCCCCCCCCCCCTGGGACGTCGGCGTAATAGTCGAGTTCCTCCAGCGACTCGATGTGGCCCGTGACCGCGATACTGCCGGGGGCCAAGGCGTCGGCGCTGTTGTCCGCCGGCGTCATGCACAAGAACTACAGTTTGCCGCGCCGTGCGCAATCACATCAAAGAAGTTGAAGTTGACCTTCACTCGCGATTTCTAGGCACGGACTCGTCTCGTCAAGCTCCGGTAGCGCGACAGCTTCAACTTTTATGTCTTCCCGGAATGACCCTTTGGTTGGCAAAAAAGTAGGCCGATAGATGAATATCGGGTAGAGAGTGCTGCTTGTGAACACTTCATGACAGTAGAGCAGCCACGTGGTCTGGTTCCAGGGCCGGTGCGCTCACCACTCGCGCCGATCTCGGGTTGGCTTTTGCTTAGTTTGGGTCAGCAGTAAAGTTGAAGTTAATATTCACTCTCGATTAAGTAATCCAGGAAGTCATGTCAATGTTGAAGCAAACATTCACTCACTCACTCACTCACTCACTCTCATGCGCTTTTCGCTTCTTCATAGCAGGTGAAGCAGTAGTATCGGCTTTTGGTGCGCTTCTCTTTGCGATCCCCTGCAGTGGAATGGACCCCGGTGCACGCACCAACGCCAGCGACGCACACGCCTTCAATTCGTCGTCGCCCATCACCTTAAGACAGACGCGGCATCCTTACCTCGCCTCGAATTACCGGTAGCTCCGATTGCCTGCGCAGACTCAAATCACCTTCCACCAGGTCCATCGAGTGCCCGGACAACGACACCAGACCCATCAGTTGCATCGCCGTGGTTGCGTCTACGATTTTTGCGTTAGAAATGGGGCGAGTGAAGTACGTAAACGCATACGAGAGCGCACTTTGCGTTGGTGCATCTGCAACACGCGCAATCGTTGTAAACGATCGGCATAAACAAATTCTCCCGGGGATTCTTGCAGACCCATACAGACGCGTATCACTTGGTTGCACGACTTCTGATGCAGCGGGTTTTCAGGAGAAAACACATACGCAGGCGACAACTCGGTTGCGGTCCGCTCATCGAGCTTAGCGTCGTTATCGTCATCGGCCACTCGAATCAAGATCATCGACACTCCCATCGCATCCTCATCCGCCGACTCATAGTTCGCTTGATGCAATGCCTTCTCTCTCAGCTTCGACTTCCGGAACATCGGAATCACCAGATAGACCCCATTCTGTTTGCACGGGAAAATGCCAGCGGCGTAGCGCCCAAGCAAAAACCACAGCGTGTCCTCGTTCGGCTCCAGTTCCAGCGACACGAAGTGGGAGAAGCCCAGTTGCCAGTCGCTCCATTGCGATCGCCATTTCTCAAATTCTTCTCGTATTTTCTTTCGAGCAACTGCGTTGTCCTCCTTCGTTACATGAATTTCCGCCCCGCCAGTCAGCATCTCCATGAACAAGCCCACATTTATGAACTGACCCCGGAACGTGTGGTGGCTTATGACAACCGTGGAATATGACTTGTTCTCCTCCTTCATCACACAACCATCCATTGCTAAGAGCAACAAGATACGAGCCACCACCTCTCCAGCACCACCAGCGACAAGGTCTTTGTTCAGCAGCAACTTCTTGAGCTGCGGTAGAATGCACTTACGGAATACTGGTTCCACCGAGTGCCATACGTACGCGGCGCCAAGTGACACCACCGCGTCCGACGCATAACTGACCACGTGGCCGTCATTTTGCCAATTGGTATACGCGAGAACTGCCATGAAATCGGCAACAAAACGCGATGCCAGCGGCGAAGAAGCGCGAAGGCGCACGCCCAATCGGGGCAGCATGGACGCAACACCAAACATGGTACCGTTGTTGTAGCTTTCGATGTCATCTGGGTCGCACCCCAGCACCAGCTTGCGCGCTGCAAGTCTCAGCACGTCTACTGAGTTACCAGTCGTGTCATAAATGCTTGTCCACAGAGGGCGCCCCATTTTCACGAGATGACCCCAGTTCTCGCCATCGCTCTGCCAAAAGGCGTCCCTGTATGCAGCGATCTCGCCGTCACTTTTCGTCGTTGAATTCGTAGATAAAGCATCGTGCTCGTGCCAGAAGACGTCCGTCGTGTCGGAAAGCACGAACGGTGGGAATGACAACTGAGGGCCGTAGAAGGAGTTCTGGGAGGACGATGACGGAGCTGCCAAGTCGACAACCTTCGCGTTGGTATCAAGCAACACTCCAAAAATGCCTCCTGTGAACCCTTTTGAGCGAGTACTGACGAGGCGGTGCGGTTGTTTGCTGTGCTTAGAGCCCGCCCAAGGAGACGGAAGGAGCCCAGCTCGTTCTTAGAGCGGAGCAACAGTCCAGCTTCGTCCACAGTCAAGAGCAGCAACCGCGTGGACTTGGTGCTGTCCTGTGCGAATGCCTCGCACTTTGTCTGCCATCCTCTGTGACTTCCACGCAGCTCACGCTCCAGCTTTTTCAACTCGAGGCTCAAGTTCTGCTCTATCGTTGGAGACTGTAGAGTGAACAGGTTGAGCCACTTATCTCGACCATCGTCCCAATGCTCCTGTGCGTAGATGTAGATGGTGACCAGGCGGTCGATCAGCGCAGCTTCGTCCGCACCGAAGAGCCATTGCTGCAGCGTTGGTGTATCCAATGGGTAGCCAGTTGATCCTTCCTTACGACGACATGTGTAGAGTACTCCCATGCATCCTTCCTCCTCTTTGCTCGTAGTCAGTGCTAATTCACGTACGAGTCGACTCTTGCCGAAGCCGGAGCTCTGTACCCTTGACACAATCGGCGCCGTATACTTGTTAGGGTAGCGCTGGTACTCCTTCCAGCACCTCTCCACCTAGGCTCGAAACCTGGCAGGAGCGGTGCCACGATACTCACTTCGGATAAACGCACGCTCGAGCTGCTCGAACAGACGATCGAGTTCCGATGAGTAGAGAAGAGAGCTCAGTTTACTTAATAAAGCAGCCTCGATCTTTGGCGCCACCTTCTGCGTCACGTCCAGTATATCCTGCCACGAGAATTCACTGTAAACGCTGTAGATATCCCCCCGAAGCGCACTCTCCACAAGCGTTGGGGCCTTTATCGCAAGTAGATATCTTTCTTCCGCCACTTGAACAACCCGCTGCTCGCTCGCCTCGGGAAACCTAGGCTGCAGCAACGCGAAGACCTCCGCACTTACCAGCTCCGTTAGGCTTAACGACATGCCTCAAGTCGAAATGGAATTTTTCTGGTTAAGAGATTGTCTCGATTGATGGAAGCTAGGTAGCTGGTTCTTTCACTCGCAGTAAAAAAAATCCCAATCATCTTTCCTTGACGCTACTTGGTTTTACTCTTCTTCTTCTTCGGGCGGATTTTAACATCGAATGACGGGACTTCTGGTGCGCTTCGCTTAGCAATTCTTTGCTCCTCCTGAATGGGCTCTGGCGCTCGCACCAACGCCAACAACGCACACGTCCTCAATTCAGCATCGCCCATTAGTTTCGACAAAGGCGGCATTCTGCTCTCTCGCCTGACCCGGTCCGCGAATTCTCTACGCAGACTTAAATCGCCCTCGATCAGGTCCACCGGGTAGCCAAACAATGACATCAGATCCATCAACTGCCTGCCCGTGGCTGCGTCTACGATCTTCGGGTTGGGAATGGGGCAAACGCAGTACGTAAATGCACACGACAGTGAAGAAGCCTTAGGTGTACCTGGACACTCCACCTTGGCTCCCAATGGTACAGTCGACTGCGTGGGGAGGTCGCGTTCTACGCGCTCCGCATACACGAACTCTTCCGAGGCTTCTTGCAGGCGCATACAGACGCGAATCATCTGGCTACACGCCTTCCGATACAACGGATTGTCTGGCGAAAACACAGACGCAGGCGACAACTTGGCTGCGTCATATTCGCCACGGTGACTGCGATCCTCCACTCGAATCAAGACCATCGACACCTCCATCGCCTCCTCATCCAATGGCCCACCCTTCATCGTCTTACGTGATGCGTCAACCCCCGACTGTGACTTCCGAAACATCGGAATCACCACATAGACCCCATGCTGGTTGTGTGTGAAAATTCCAGCGGCGTAGCGCCCAAGCAAAAACCACAGCGTGTGCTCACTCGGCTCAAGTTCCAACGTCACGAAGTGCGAGAAGCCCAGTTGCCAGTCGTTCCATTGTGATCGCCATTTCTTAAACTGTTTTCGCGTTTTCTCTTTGGCCAACGGACTGCCATTCTCCTTCACAGGAATTTCCACTCCGTGCTTTGTAGACTCCAGCGTCTCCATGAACAACCTTACATTCACGAACCGACCCCTGAAGGTACGGTAATTTAACTGGAACTTTGCGCCCGCTTTCGCTGCTGCAATTATCCCTTTGTTCTCCTCTTCCAGCACGCACCAGTCCACTGCCAGAAGCAACACGACACGAGCCACCACGGTTTCAAGAGCACCACCAACGTCGACTTCTTCGTTCAGCAGCAGCTTCTTGAGCTGAGGGAGAATAAACCGACGGAGAACTGAATTATGCGCATGCCACACGTACGCGGCACCGAGTGACAACACTGGATCCGACGCGCTGCTGCTCACGTAGCCCTCGTTCGCGCAGTTTACATGCGCGAGAATGGCCATAAACTTATTGACGGCACGCGACGCTAATGGCGACGAAGACCGAGGACGAACGCCTAGACGGCACAACAAGGACGCGACACCGAACATGGTAGCTTCGTTGTAGCTGTTGATGTTTTCGGGGTCGCATCCCACGAGCAGCTTACGCGCTGCGAGTCTCAGTACGTCACCCGTTCCGTTGCCTCTTTCGTTTGAGTGAAAGATTCCAGCCCACATGGGACGACCCATGGTTACGAGGTGCTTCATCCTCTCGTCTTTGCTCTGGGAAAGGATCGACTTGTATGCAGCGATCCCATCATCTGCTGTTGTTGCACTTGTTGCGGCGTTCCACAAGACATCCATCGTATCTGAGAGCACGAATGGCGGGAACAGGAACTGTCGGCCCACACTGGAATACCTGGAAAAACTGTACCGCAAGAACGCGTTGCCTTTGTGGTCGACGCGCCCCAGTTTGTACACTTCAGGGTTCGTGTCCACCAACACCCCGAGAATTCCTCCCGTGAACCCTTTCGCGCGAGCATCCACCGACGCAATGCGGCAGTTGGCCTTGACCAGAGCTCGCTGAAGAAGGCGCAGCGGATTGAGTCCATTCGTTCGAGACGAAATCAACGTTGCAGCTTCGTCCACGGCCAGAATCGCCAACCGCTTGGACGTGGCGGCATCCTTTGTCAATTTCTCTAACTTTGTCGACCACTCTTCAGGTTTTCTGCTCAGTCTTCTCTCTAACTTCCCGAGTCTTGTTGCCAAATGCTTATCGAGCGGTTGAGGCTGTTTAAACAGCTCCAACCACTTGATCCGACCGATGTTCCAATGCTTTTGCGCGTAGATGTAGATAGCCACGAGATGGTCGGTGTGTGTGCTGTGTGTGCTTGCTGGTGCCCTGTGCTGCGGTGGGACGTCAAGGTCAGTTCGTATGCTGCGGGAAATGGCTCGGCGAGTCTGTCTTCAAGTTGTTTCATTGACATACAGTCGAGCAAGTCTCGGTCAAAGAGCCATTCCTTTAGCTCGGGAGTCGCCTTAGGATACCCGGTCGATTCCTCGAGCCGCGCGCATATGTAGAGAACCCCCATCGACCCTCCGTCTTCATCACTCGTCGCCCGTGCCAGCTCCAGCAGCAGTCGGCTCTTGCCGAAGCCGGAGCTCTGCGTGATAGCCACAGAGGGGCTTCATAGTCGTCGGGGTGGAGCTGATATTCCTTCCAGCATCTCTTCATGTAGGCTCGAAACCTTTTGGGTGCAGTGCCACGATATTCAGTCTCGGTGAATGCCCACTCCAGTCTTCCGAGCAGGGTTTCACTTAGTTCCATGGGGAGTCGGACGCTAGTGTTTCTTTTACTCAAAGCAAAGCAGAGACTTTTTGCAGTCTTCTTTGCCACATCTCCATAGACCTTGTACGGGAGTTCGTCGTAGGTTTTACCAATGATGTCTACGAGCAGGTGCACGAGGCTTCGGAGGTCCTTCATGACGTGCTCCTTGATATCGCTCTCGTCGCGTTTAGTTAGCTGGATCGAGCGCTGCTTGATCCCCTCGGGAAGCTTCGGCTGCAACAGCTTGAACACCTCAGCGCTCACCAACTCCGTCAAAGTCATTGCCGCTGTCGTCCACGTAAATCAATCACTCTTTGCTGCAAAGGGTGCTGGGACCTTCGGGGATCCCATGAAACGGATTTAGCTAAGAGATCTCTTGTCGTCAGAGGTCACCAGCACTGCGTAAGGTCTGCTGATGGTAGGCGTGGAGGTGGCGTCCTTCTCTTCTGTCGACGGGCCGATCCGATCCAGTAAGGAGCCATCTCCGCACTCGAGCTTGGACGACCAGCAGCAAGCGATGGAGGCGGGAGGTCCGACCGACGACGAGTGGACAGTAGACGCGTCTGGATTCGGCATCCCCGGCGGGACTTTGCAGCTCGTGGAGGTGCCGAGACGACGATGGAGACGCCCCATGGAGCTGCCGCTGCCTCCGTCGCCGGCTGAAGCCCCCATTCTCCAGGAGTTTTCACGGCCGTGGAGAGCTCTGCGTCTCCCCGTTCCTACCAGTTCCAGCGAGGAGGAGGAGGAAGTGGAGGAATCGCTGCTGAAGTGCTACTACCCGCAGTACTCTCCTCCAGAGCCGACCTTTGCGTCGGAGGTCCGCATGCCACCTTTCCTGGAACCGCGCGTGGCTGTGCCAGAGTCCCAAGCGTTCCTGGTCATCCCCCGGATTCGCTTCACGCTCGGAACGGTTAGTTGAATACTTCACCCAAAAGTATCGTGTTGATTTTCACTGAAGTGTTGCAGATTGAGCCGCTGGTGTGCAGGATGTTGGTGTATGACGTTGCCCAGAGCTGCCGCGTGACTGAAGAGTTCTGCTTCCGGATCCCTGGCCCCATGCTGGACAAGACGGACTGCACGATACCCCCGGCGGCGCTCATGTATCTGCTGCCGATGAAGAGTCCGTACCTGGTCCTGAAAGTCTCCAAGGTGCTGGTCGGAGATGGCGATATCGCGACTGCGCCCTACTGCGCGCCTGACAAGTTTGCGTCCCCTGCGGAGCAGCAGAAGCTGGTGGACAAGGCCGTGGACTGTGGAATGCGCCTGGGTCGATTCCAGCAGCCACTGGCGTGGGGGGCGATGCCCCTCGTAAAAGGAGCGAAGCAGTCGATGACTCTCTACAGACAACGCGCGTGCATACCCGAGGAGCAGCGTCTGGCGCTGATTTTGGACACCATCCGAGGCACTTTGAAGTGAGTATTCGTCCAGGGCCAACTTGTAGCCAATGTGGTATCATTTATCACGCTGATGTCCGTCATTCTGCTGCGTGAAACAGGGAGAAGGTCGTCCCAGCGTCGTGCGAGTTCGACATCGAGGACGTCTCGGCGGAGGAACTGTCGATCTCAAAGTTCAAGGCGTCAGACAATCGTGATAAAGTTCCAGTTCGACTGGAAATCCTCGATCCATTCTCCGAGCAGAGCGTGCAGACTTGTGGTAAGCAAGAGGGTGCCTCGAGCGAGCAGCAAAATGGTGACAAGATTCTCCAGTGTCGAGAAGTTCAGCCGTTGTGTCCGCCGTCCTTCGTCTCGGCGTCTGGCATTGCGGCGTCAGGGCCAGTGGCAGTCTCGTACGTCAACACGCTGTATCTGTACCCGCTCCAGATCGAGAAGTGCCAGTACCGCAACGTCGCTATCCGAGTTCAGCTGCTGCAGAGAGAAGTCGACACTGTGCGTGGGCTGGAGGAGACGGAGGATGCTGTTCTACGAGCGGTTTACCGAGCCAACAACCAGGTTGGGCGGTCCGCGTATGCGCTCGTCGGGTACCACCAGAAGAACCCGCAGTTTGAGGACGAGATCAAGATCTGCCTTCCAGTATCCTTAACGACGGAGCACCATATCCTGTTCACGTTCTACCACGTCCACTGCAAGAAACTCCAGCCCAACCAGCCCCAGCAAGAGCTCATCGGGTACGCCGCTCTCCCTGTCTCGAGGAAGGACGGCACGATCATCCAAGATGGCCGGTATACTGTGAACGTCACTCCTGCTCCAGTGTCGTCAAAGCCGTCGGCATCTGGAGGAGCTATCTCCCTATCCCCCGGATACGTCGGAGCCGTGCGAGACGCAGTTGTGGACAACACGAAGACCGTCTTCAGCTGTCGCAGTCGCGTTGTTTCCTCGGTCCACAGTCAGGATAGTGCGATTGCAGAGTTTCTGAGTCCATTCCACGGCACCCGGAGAACAGGCGCTTCCAAGGACGCCGCAGCCAACGAAGACGCGATCGTCAAGCGGCTGGTGGGTCTTGTCCAGAGTGACGCGTCAAATCTGCGCTACTATTTCTTCATGATCGCCAAGTTTGTGCTTGGGTACTTGCGGTACGGCACCTCAATCGTCCGGTGGTCTGCGTTCCGCACACTCCTCGCCGTCATCAAGAAGATCACGAGTGATCCTCAGGGCAAACCGAAAAGTGACGAGGTCGGCCGAGTGCTTCAGTACGTCCACATTGTGTTCGACGAGAGATCAATCGATGATCCAATCGACTCCAAGTCGCCAGTGAAACGTGAACGCAAGTCCGTCTTCGGCGCGCTGCTCGAGACGTGGCTGAATGTGCTAAACAACAAGACCTCGATCGAGGAAAACACCGACACGCTGGCCATGTCTCGAACGTACTCGAAAGTGCTCCTCCAGCTGATTTTGAAGTCCATGGCAATGACCTTGCTTGACCAGCGTGACTCACCTGATGCAGAGGACAGCTCGCTGCCGATATTGCTGGCCAAGAACGACGAGGTGGTGCTTGAGCGGGTGCTGATCCAACTGATGGCGTACGCCCGTGATGACCCGTCAAAAGATCTGACCGTAAAGAAAGATGTCAACTCGAGCGTGGCCTTCTTCTGCCGCGGCATCTTTCTCATCGTGAAGAACGCGTTACCCGCTCGCGTGATCGACCGCTGCGTCAAGTGGATCAATGTCCAGGGCGACGCAGCGAGTCTGAGCAACACGTGGTTCCCGTTCCTCACCAATCTGGTGGCGTTTGAGTTTTTCCCCACGATAAACGGCGCCGTGCCAGCTCAGGACAGCAATCTCGCGAAAAGACGAGCCTGGCTAGCCAAAGCTGTCTTCGTGAAGCTGCTGCTCATTGTGGACAAGCAAACGGAGCATACGACTCGAGTCTGGGCAGCGCGATTACTGCGCTGGATGTTTGCAGTCCAAGCGTACAACCCTTGGTATCAAAGCCCAGAGCGTCAAGAGAGAATCGCGCTTCTGTACTACCCGTTCCTTTCGAGCATCGTACAGTTCACGACACCAGGAAAACTCCTCGCGAGCAGAGTAGGCGATGACCTCTCCAACACGTTGAATGGCGTACTCAGTCCTGCGAGAGCAGCACTGGATCTCCAGAAAGAGTTGGTGGGTTGTGTCGGCCACCTTCTCAGCAGCGTGTCAAGCTTGCATCTGCCGTTGTTCTTCCAGCTCACCAACGGAAGCTCCGAGCAGCTGAGCTTTACTGAGGCATTGAGCTTCTACCATCGCGTGGTAAGTTACTCGCTGTTTGAACTGAGATGCCGTCAGCAGATTTACTAACCTTGGACTCCAAATACACGTGACAGATATCGCCATGTTCTCCGGAAACGAATACAGCCGCCGACAACAACAGTGATGCCTCCGATGAAAGTTCTCTAACTGCAAAGAGCTCGCTGTACGACGAAGGCAGGGTGCACGCCAACCTTGCGTGCATGCAGCGTATGCTCGAGATATTCCTTGTTGGACCAGAGACGACGAGTGATGAACCGCTTCGAAGTCGGCTTCTCGCATCGACTGAAATTGTTTCTGAAGCTCAATCAAAGCTTCATCGGTTGGAGGAGATTCAACGCCACAACTTTCATCGTCGATCCCGGGGCGCCTTGGATTCGCCAACGATGCTCAGTGCGAAGCCCAATCCTATCGACACCAACACTAGTCCCGGTGACACAGTCCGAAACGCAACGGATGGTAGCCCACTGCACAGATCCCTTCCGCGAAACTGGAGCAAACAGCACAGCAGCATCCAACAGCGACGTAGCGCGCCTACAGTCGGGGTAGAGGAGAAAGCGCCACCGACTAACCCAGGACAGGACGGTGGAGTTGACGGGAAGTATGACGAAGAGATTGCCGCTCTACAGCAAGCAGTAGCAACCACAGCATTCCGAGCTATTCAGACCGCTGTGGACGAGTACGAAGGTGTTCTTCGGCTGGTCGAAGTCGCGTGCACGCCTCGCTTCAGCTCAGATAATAACGACTCGCTCCACGGTGTCTCCACGAACCAGGCACTCGCTCTTCTGGGCTACCTCACCGAGTTGTTGTTTCAGCTCCTGCAACGGGCGAGCAGCATTAAAGGTCTAGCTGGTGAGTTAGAGCAAGACGGAGCCACAGACCAGGAGCAGCAGAACGACGACTTCAACGCCAATGCCACCTCAAGCTTCGTGGTCACTCTGCTGCGGTACTTGCAGGCGTTCGTCTGGCGCTTCTCGGCGGCTTTGTTCGCGACCCGAATCCCTGGACTCCCGGCTGTGCATGACCAGCGCCGGATCCAACTGCTGGTATCGATCGCAGCTACAGCAACAAGATTCCAAGTGCGAAGCCATGCCGCGATGCTGCTGAGCCAGCTTCTAGCCGTCTGCTACGAGCAAACAGGGAGCTTTCAGCTCGTGAAGGGGCCGATACTCAAGGTGCTGACGTCGGTCTTTTTCCCGCTTTCAGGCACACCAGACGCGTCGTTGCAGATCTCCACTGCCGCATTGAGAGACTTGCTGGATGAGATGCGAACTTTTGCCGCCACGTCACGAGACAACATCTTGTCGCTCCCGTTCAGCTTCCACGCGCTGTTCATTGAGCTGCTCAACGACCTTACCACCAAGGTGCACGCGTTCGAGCGCTGGCAAGGCGCGTACGAGAACCCCGACGGCGCGCACGACTTCGAAGAGATTGAAGAGGGTATCGACCGCGTCGTCGACGACATCTCGCCACATTGGCTTCTCCAAGAGAAGTTGATCTGGCTGAACGCGCTGCTGCGTCTTCACGAGCGTCGCGAGCAGCTCGCCGAAGCCGCTTGTTGTAAAGTGGCAAGCATCGAGTACGTGCAGCGCGCGGGTCTTGGACACGGTTCAGACAGCTCGCACTTCGGTCGCTTGCAGCAGTGGGTCGTACGCGAGCTGTTCGAAGCGCGCAGGTACGCGAACCGAGCGGACTGGATCGAGAAGGAGCTGGCCATCAGTGAGTTGCTGCTGGTGGCGCTCAAGCAGCAGCGGCGCTTCAATGAATACCAGGAGACGACCGAGTACATGGGCGCGTTGGTCCGCCGCCTCGCCGACAGGGACGACAGTCAGCACAACAGCTCGAGCTTCTCCTTCTACCGCGTCCGCTTCGCCGGCGGTTGCGTGCCGACGTTGATCGCCAAAGACGAGTTCATCTACAAGCGGAGCAAGTTCACGTCGCTCGGGGAGTTCGTAGGCGAGATGAAGACCATGCTCCGCGCCAAGTACCCGCAGTGTGAGCGCGTCGACGTCGTTCCAGAGCCGAAGCCTCTGACGGGAAGTGACAGCAACCCCAACGTCATTTACTTGCGAGTCACCACGGTGGAGGAGGCACTTCCCGAGGAGCTCGCGCGGCTCAAAATGGCGGAGCCCCGCAGTCATCACTGGCGCGTGGCGTTCAAGTTTGCGGTGCCCTTCACGCTGGGCAGCGCGTCGTCCTACGGCAAGACGTCCGAGCAGATGAAGCGACTCACGTTCCTGTCGGTGGCACGCGCGTTCCCGTGCCGACTGAGCAGGCAGCGAGTGCGTCTGCGTCACGAGGAAGTCCGCTGCCCCATTGACAACTCCATGGACGACATCCAGAAGCGCTGCGCCCTGCTCCAAGCTGAGATCGACAAGGGAAGAGTCGGCAAGACGGACCTGAAGACGCTCACGCTCGTGCTCAAGGGCAGCGTGGACACGCACGTGCACGGAGGCATCCCCGAGGTGCTCGACTCGTTCCTTGCCGCTGATCCTGCGCAGCTGCAGCTCGTGGATGCTGAAGGCCGAGCCATGAACGACAGCGACAGCGCGCGGAGACGCCACGAGCTGGCGAACCTGCTCGTCGAGTTTGCAGACCTCTGCTGGAAGTGCCTCAAGATCAGCCGCGACGCCTTCCGAGGCGCAGCTCAGCCCAGCAGCGGCAGTCAGCACGCGACGCCCGAGCTGTTTCCTCAGCACCACTTGGAGTCCAAGGACCTGTCCAGCCCCAACGCGCCGTCCGAGAGCTTCCTGCCGCCATTTAGCTCCCCACCATCAATGGCAATGGCCGTCACTCACTCCACCGCAGCTCCAGCAGCTCGCCCACCAGATTCAACCTCCGTCTATCTGCTGGAGGAAGTTTCTCCGCTGCAGTCCGAGTTCGACCGCAGCTTCGCGGCGCTCGTGGCCCAGCTCGCGACCAAGATCCCGTTCATCTTCCGCCACGCCGCCAGACTGGCCGAATTACACCAGCAGACGGCATGCCTGCGCTCCTCCACCGCGACCCCCACCCCAAGTAGAACCGCCTCCTTCCCCGCCGCCGTCGCGCCACTGCCCAGCTCCATCTCCTAGACAGACAGACAGTGTAACAAGGCACAAATAAAGACGACGAGAACCTGCGTGGAAATCAATCAAAAGGGGGAGAGACCTTGTTAGCCTTCTACGCCTACTACCCTCTCTCTCTCTACGGTAGGGTCTCGCTTGGCGTCTACTTGCCGCCGCCCAGCAGCATCTCCTTGGCCTGGTTGATCTTGGTGGCCAGGAACGTGGAGCCGCCCGTGTCCGGGTGGTTGAGGATCAGCAGCTTGCGGTGCGCGTTGCGGATGCGCTCCTCGGACGCGCTCTCGCGCACACCCAGGATGAGCGCGGCCTCGCGCCGCGTCATCTTCTCCTCGAAGGGCCCGTCGTAGAAGTTGCGGTACTTCCACGAGCTGGCGGCCTTCTCGCTCTTGGGCCGGTTCTTGTACGCCTCCCACACCTGCAGCGCGTACTTGGCGCCCAGCGCCGCGCCGGCCACGCCCAGCCCCGCCACCAGCACCGTGTTCTCGCGCTGCGCCGACGCGTGGAACGCGCGCGCCGCCAGATTCGGGGACTGCACGGGCGTGTCGCGCGCGGAGGCGGCGCTCGAGGCGCTTGCCGGGAGCTGCCACGCCTGCGCGGCGCGCGAGGAGCGCGCGAGTCGTCGGACCAGGGCCATCGTGTGTGTGTCTTCGTGTGTGGCGCAGAGGAGGAAGATGATGGATAAGAGTGTCGTACTTAGGGGGGTGATGAGGATACGTAAAATTGGTGTGGTGGCCGACGACCGCTTCAACTTGCGTGCCGGAGTCGCCCGCCACCTACGGCGCAAGGATTTCCCGTCGCCAGTGGTGCTCCTCAGGCTGAGGTTTGGTTGCGGCGCACTCGTGCCGCTCGTGGTCGTTGCTAGCTACATGTGCATGTAGCAGTTTCGGTCGCCACTCCAGAAGCCTTCTGTCGAAAGAACGATGGACCGAGAGGAGTGAACTGAACTGCGTGGTCGTGGCTTCAGTTAATGAACGGCTGCACGATTGAACGTGTCAGAGCAAGTCGCGTTGGCGCATTGCCTTATTCCGCGAAGCTTATAAGTGCTCTTCGACTCGCTCGGCACTTTCTCTTTTATCCCAGCGGAGAGAGAAAAGTACGAATCAGCTATGCCTGGCTGAAGCAGAAACCGACGACGGGTACCATGCACGGTACAAACTCTCGGAGACCTGTAGCATGCATGAAGTCTTCGAGAGATCACTGTAGGGAGTAACCTCGTGAGTCTTTCCTCTAAAGAGATAGCAGATCCAGCTACTCATTGTTGTTCGAATGCTCTGCCCGATGAAGCTGAGCGACCATGTACGCAGCCAGGCCCTGGCCCGGGGGGGGGGCACCGTGAAAGGATATCGAGTTGTCCAACTGGCCGGTGAAATCTTGCGCTAGAGATGCAAGCAAAGCTTGGGCAAGCAAGGCCTTGTGGGCGATGGGGGAGCCGCTGCGCTCTCTCCGCTGGTTCTCGCGGCCCCGCCCATAAATCTTCTTGCCCCCGACCGCCACCCTGCGAGCCCGACCGCGGTCCAAGCAGCAAAACAGCATGAATCCTCCCCCGCTCTTCCGCGTACGTCGACGCCTCGGCGACGCGCTCTACGGTGAGGTGCTCGAGTGCGAGCTTCCCGGCGACGACGAACCGGTCGCGGTCAAGTGCATCTCGCTCACGCGAGCGGCCGAAGCCCGCGTCCGAGCGCGTGCGACGCGGGAGATCGACAACCCACTGCAGGAGCAGCGCGTGGCGGAGCTCATCATGGCCAACGGGGGCCACCGCAACGTGGTGCAGCCGCTCTTCCACTTCACTCACGACAGGAGACTCTACCTCGTCAACGAACTCTGCGGAGACGGCGATCTGCACTCACTCGTGGCGGCAAGGATGAGCGTATCGTCCCTCCTGGAAGAACATGAGGTGCTGCCGTTGATGCGCCAAGTACTGGAAGGCGTCAACTACCTGCACTCGACACTCGGCGTCGCGCATCGGGACCTGTCGCTCGAGAACGTGCTGCTGAGTCGCGGGGCCTGCAAGATCACGGATTTCGGGCTGTCGACGAGCGCTCGATCGATGTGCGAGGCTGGCCAAGTGGGCAAGGAGTACTACATGGCGCCGGAGATCGTCGCGGGGGAGCGGTACGACCCCACCTTGGCCGACGTGTGGTCGCTGGGGATCATGTGGTTCATCATGCTGACGGGATCGCCGCTGCTTCTCCGTCCGAAAGTGCGTTTGGAGCTGTTGTCACCCACGGCGTCGGTGCTGTGATCGAGGTGTGGGGCCACGCACATCGTATCTCGAGAGACACAATCTCGCTCTTGGAAAAGATGCTTCAGGTGGACCCATGCAGGCGTATTGCGCTTGACCAAGTGCTCAACCACCCTCCCTTCGTTGCGGCTCGACTGGATATTGCATGCTCGCCACTGGCAGCGCATGAGAGATAATGAGTATTTAGTAGACGCAGGCAAACCTTGTACGAGCCGGGATACATATGTAAATGAGTATGTACTGACTTACTAAAAGCTTAGCTCAAGAATACTGGAGGTATTCCCGCAACGTGCCACTTGTCGCAGTAGGTCTCGCTGTACACTCATCTAAATCAATATGCTTGCAGAAGTAGCGCGCAAATCTTGAGAACTTGTTGTACTTCCTGTGCGAGGTACATTAAAATATACAGCCGGGACTAGCCCGGGGACGCCTGTAGCTTGCATTTGTTTTCGCTTCCCCAACGGTATTGCAGAAATGCATAGGAGTTGCTCCAGAACAGTCAATGCAGCTGCCTTTACCTCATAGTAGAGGTGCCATCCTACTATTGCGAGAACCTGCTTGATGACCTGCACGACGATGAGACCTCCGTTTGGAGTACTCTGCCACTTTGCCTTGAGACTATAGCAACCGTGAGAGTGTTGCAAGCGCCTTACCAAGGAAGAAATTCCGCTGTATACATAACTAGTACCTATATACGTTCTGTAGGAGTATGTGTACCTGTTTCCAGCATCCGTCAACGCAGTAGGCGCTCGCACGAAAATATTTTCGTTGTGCACTACGTGTGCATTACGGGCCGATTCGTAGGGGAAAACCGGGCTCTATCCCTACGAGTAGTGCTTTTCAGATGTTACTTCACTGTTACTTCTGTGCCCCTATCACTGCAATAAAACCTGCTACTTGAGTGCTGCGCCGTTTACGGCGCAGCCAGCTCGCTTGTGAGACCAAAAGCCGCTGTGATAACAAGACGCGAAGCTCGGCGAGCTTCTAGAAAGTCGGTTTCCGTGGCGTTTCTTGATAAAAAAAATCATCGCACGCGGTCGAGTCGAGGTCGCTATCAGAGATCGAGAAGCTGTTTTTGAGTGGAAAATTGGTCAGAGCTGCAGCCAAACGCGTTGTGGGGCATATCGTAAGCGAGTGCCAAGCCAGAGGCACAGATTTTAATGTTGTTTTCCTATACAACAACAAAATAAAGTAGGCGCAGCAACATTCGCCGAAGCAAGTACTACGACCCCCTCCAGTTCGTCAGCGAACTGGGGGAGGTCTGAGAGCTTCTAGAACGCACGCTTAGTTGCGAAACCGACACTCTATCGAAGAGATTATGCACCAATTTCTGAACCACAACCAACCACCAACGACTCATCTGGCAAGCAGACAGATATAGCCGGAAACAGGCAAAAGCATGCTCGGCTGGAAATCTGCACTCGGCCAAAGATATTTTCCACGGGGCGGCGGCCTGGGGTAGAGTCGATCGTGGTGCAGCAGTCCGCAGGGGATAGCCATGGTCCTAAATCATCACTGCTAGAAACTGGCAGCTCTCGGGCGTCACAGTGACACTGTCACTAAGACCAGCAGTTCTGCTGCAATTGTTGCGAACGACAAGGTTATCGCTCAAAAGTAGCTTGCATACCATGGCACTGCGCGGGAGGTACGTACCTGTCGAACCGTGGCCATCTCCTGCGAAATCGTATAGCCTCCGGGCTCTACATGAGGACGGAACGGAAAAATATTTGGTCGGCTGAGCGTTACGCGATCTGACCTCATAAAGGTGCCGATGCTATGATCACGCGGACTGGCTTGCGTCTGCTTGCCTTGGCTTTCTTGCCCACCCTCCCTCCACTGTCACCCTCAGGCCGACGCATTCGCTTCAGAATTCAACTTGCCTTCAATACCGACTGTCGGGTCCGACACTCCACGCGATTAATGACCGCTCCACCGCTTTTCCGCGTGAATCAGCTTATCGGTAGCGCGCTCTACGGGGAAGTGCTCGAGTGCGAGCTGCTTGGGCACAGCGAGCCCGTCGCAGTCAAGTGCATATCACTCGTTCGAGCAGCCGAAGCACGCAACCGAACCCGAACGATTCGAGAGATCGACAACCCACTGCAGGAGCAGCGCGTGGCGGAGCTCATCATGGCCAACGGGGGCCACCGCAACGTGGTGCAGCCGCTCTTCCACTTCACTCACGACAGGAGACTCTACCTCGTCAACGAACTCTGCGGAGACGGCGATCTGCACTCACTCGTGGCGGCAAGGATGAGCGTATCGTCCCTCCTGGAAGAACATGAGGTGCTGCCGTTGATGCGCCAAGTACTGGAAGGCGTCAACTACCTGCACTCGACACTCGGCGTCGCGCATCGGGACCTGTCGCTCGAGAACGTGCTGCTGAGTCGCGGGGCCTGCAAGATCACGGATTTCGGGCTGTCGACGAGCGCTCGATCGATGTGCGAGGCTGGCCAAGTGGGCAAGGAGTACTACATGGCGCCGGAGATCGTCGCGGGGGAGCGGTACGACCCCACCTTGGCCGACGTGTGGTCGCTGGGGATCATGTGGTTCATCATGCTGACGGGATCGCCGCTGCTGTCGCTGGCGTCCCCGTCCGTGAAAGGCTTCGCTGTTGTGGTACAGCATGGTGTTGGTGCCGTGATTGAAGTGTGGGGCCACGCGCACCGCATCTCAAAGAGCACAATTTCACTCCTCGACAAGATGCTGAAGGTCGATCCGAGGCAGCGTATCTCGCTTGATAAAGTGCTAAACCATCCAATGTTTGCCAGTGGGATTGCAGTGGGGTAGAACGAAACGGTAACGTGCAGATCTAAAGCCACGTTGGAATGGTTTTTGACAAAAATATCCACGTTTCCTTACAAACTAATGCTGGATGGTGCTTAGTATCCTCCTGAATATCAAAGTCTCGCTGCATATTTAAAAAAAATCGTGCTCAGTAACATCAACCGTTGAGGGGGGCCCTATAATCTAGGATTCAATGGAATTCATTGAATCCTTGAACAAAATGTCGGCATTTTTAAATACCATATATAATAATATAATAAATATATAATAAATAACCCCAGTCGCCTCTCTTGCTAGGACAAACGGGAGGACAAAATCGGTTTTACTTGATTTCAGTATAGTGTACCACAAATTTTGTCCTAGACGGACCGCTAGGACAAAAATTATGGTACACTATACTTTACTTCCGTGAATTTCGGATTTGTCCTAGCATTTTTTCGGTTTGTCCTAGCAAAGTGCCCGACTGGGGTTAAAATGGTGTCCAACCACAGGAAAAGTGTAAACCATTAGCAGTAAAGATAGGTTGACCCGAACACCCTAATATTTCGTTACAGGCAAGTCTTCTAGCTAGCGGCGAGCAACCACTGGAAACACGGCTGGAAGTGTTTGGACCGCCGGAACTTAGGCAGCGTGTCTCTCTCCAGCATCTTTGTGATGGAGCGCTGCGCCGGGACGAACAACGTGCGCGTGGGGTTGTCGAGGTTGCTCTCGATCACGCGGATCAGCGCGCTCTCGAGATTCACCTGCAGCTTGGCTCGACCACAAATGTATTTCCGATAAATCTTCTGCGCCCGCAGCTTGAGGTAGCTGCGGTGCGGAATGTCCTTGAACTCGTTGCAGTCCATCCAGAAGTAGATGCTCTCAGTGCAGAAGCTGTCGATAGCAACACAGCAGGTCGAAGTTAGATATACATCGCTCCGAATGGACAACTACACATAATAGCATACGTACATTTCTTCTGAGAAGAAGAGGAACAGCGCTCGGGTCTCCGGGTTCTCCAGGATCATGGTCACCGTCACATCTGCTTCAGTCAGCGCTCCGTCGGACGCTCTGTCTTCCGCGTCATTTATTACCGAATTCGCGCGTCGACCTGTACTTGAACGTGGTGCGATCTGCACCGAGTTTTGATTCGTTTTCTTCGTGGCTGTGACCTTCCTGTTCGACGCCCCGCCCATTGCAGCTAGTCGTGCTGCTCGTAATTGCTGGGGCGTAATGCGAATACCCCGGTAGATCTCGCTCTGTTGGAATTTAGGGAAGAGTGTCGTGGCGAAGAAGTTGAAGATCTGCTCCTGCGCCTTGTTGAACATGGCCGGACTGGGGCTGGCTAAGCTGCTCTGCAAGTCTTTGTGGATCGCAGTGGACGCGAATGGCACAAACTCTCGAGACTGCGGATCGCAGAACCGATTGAAGAGTTTCCGAGCTTGGCGCGCGAGGTAATCGGACGTCGGGAATTGCTGGAACGTGGCGATCTCGAAGTAAAAGTACAGCTCGTTGGCGCACTGCTCGCGCTCGAGGAACCGTCGGAAGTACTTGCGCAGTAGCTCGAGCTCCAGGAACTCGCGCAACGAGAGCTTAGATACATCAATAAACCCGGCGCCACTAGCGGTGGCGGTCGTCTGCTCTTCGCCATCGTGCGAGATCGCTGGAGGTGGCGCTGATGGTGAGGCAGCGATCTGGTCGAGCATCTCCTGGTACAAGTGGCTGTTGCGGAACTTTGGTAAATCTCGCGTCTCCCACTGACGAAGCACCAAACGCTGCGCGTCCGAGAACGTTGCTTCGGTCGGAGCCGCCAACTTCCAGAGAATGTCTCGTCGAGTCTCCACGGGGAGCTCCAGCTCCAGCCGCGCCCCGCGACGCACGTACTTGTCGAATATCCGCCGCGCTCGCATCTGGATATACTGCCTCTGACTGTGAGGGAGACGCTGGAACTCACACACCTCCTTGTAGAAAAAGAGCGTGTTCTCGGCGCCTTGATCGCGCAGAAAGTCTCGGAAGGCGTGCACACCGGCGCCCTCCAGAATCTCCGCAAGTCCGATGGGTCCTTGCCTATTGCCTCCCGTTATCACGCCGTTATTACTCGTTACTGCAGCAGCCACTGCGGTGGGTAGAGATGGCGTATTCCCATCAGTGGTAGGGTCTTGAGACTCTGGGAGCGCCTTACTAGCTTCCATGACGCGGTTCTGCTTGGTCGTACCCTGCTTCTGTTGCTTCTTTTGCTTCTGCACCTCAGCTTGGTACGATAAATACGCCACCGTCCGATAGAAAGGATCAAGATGAGATTGTACCAGCTCAGCACTGCACAGCAGCACAGCATCGCTGAAAACGTCCGAGCCAAGGGGATACTCGATCAGGCGCTCCAACAAGCGGTCTTTGACGGCAGTGCCTAAGCAAACCTCTGCTTTAGACCCATAGCGAACGTATTTGTTGAAAATCTTGTGAGCCTGACGAACACAGTAGTCCTGGTGTGACTCCATTGAAGGAGCTTCGTCGTCGCTCTGCACTGCCGTTGATGTCCCTGAAGTGGCAGTTGATACGTCGCGGTTCTCGGGTACGACTAAGAGCGGATTTGTCGCTGCATGCTTCAGTGTATTCACCAGGTCTTCAAACCCCAAGGCGTCGATGATAAAGAGTAAGTTTTCGACCGAGTTGCGAGCTTCAAGGAACTCGCGGAACATCCGACACAGTGCAGGAGTTGATAGAATGTGGTGCAAATGAGCTCGTCGATCTCCATTCGTGACGCCACCACCTGCGACTCGTTTGGCAAGCTGAGCTAAAACGTTGCGCATGGACTCGCTCTTCGTCGCATGCGAGTAACCCAACGGCCCAGGTTCTCGTACGTATTCGTCGAAGTTCGCCGTGACCACGTCCAGAACGTCCAGAAGCAGCATTTTGAACATCAACAGAGCTCGCTCTGCGTTCCGATCTGCAAGATACTGAGCCAATGCTTCCCGCTCTGACGGAGAAACCATAGGCAGCAAGCGCATAGCCCCCTTGGCGGCGTACACGTCGTACAGATCATCCATAAGTCCCATCTGGAAGGAAGAAACTCCTCCAGCAGCGGTCGAGCTCGGGATTTTAAGCAGGTCGCTGATCTCCAGCCAAAACAACGCGCAGTCTTCTCGGTAGTCCACAGTTTTGGCCCCCGTTCGCTTATTCCGGAACAACTTCCCCTCTTCTTCAGCCAGCACTTCAGCTTGTGCTTGTGCTTGACTAGCTGCTTCGTCGTCAGCGTCGTCCTTTTTGGCAAGTTTCTCCATGTGCGCTGCAGCGCGCAGGTATTTGAAGTAGCCGGTCCTCGCGCGTTCATCGCGTAGTAGAATATCGAGTCCAATGGTTACGGGCTTGTGCTTCTTCCTTGTGGGCCGTCGTCCTTGTTGCTCCGATGTTAGACGGTTTTCACTGCCAGTGTAGTGCAACGAAGGCTTGACGGACATATGCCTTGAGCGGACTGGCGACGGCGCTGGCAAAGCCAAGGCTTTAATGGTTCCGGACGGAGGAGTTAACGCGTCTCGCTTGATTGGACTCGTGTTGCCTCCCGTTGGTAGCGCCGCTGTTGAGAAGGATCGCTCCAGTCGTCGAGGCGAGGACAGGGGGCGAGTCCCCCTGTCGTGGGCATTTTTACTGGACTCGCGATGCGATACGGTGACGGCACTCCTGGAGTTTATCCTCAGCATGGACTCGGGGCTATTGGGATCTGGCGCCACCAGGTTCTTCGACGGCACCGCTGACGTGGTTGGACTCGCCTTTGGCGCGACGCAGACGTCGTTGCCTTTCGGCGCCAGGCCTGGGATCTTACTGAGGCATACGCCCATAGCCCTCGCGACTGTGGTCTCTTGTACAGTCAGTCAGTCAATAAAAAACCCTGCAAGCACCTCGACGTCACTGTCTCCTCATCAAGTGTGCTGCGAACCAACCAAGTCCCCAATTCCTTGGCGGAGAAGCTTTCAGCCTTCGCCACGCGAGTAGAGGGAGACACCGAGATGTGAAGGCCAAATGCGTCGCCGGTCGACTCGTGCTCAGGACTCTGGAAACTTCTCCACCGGCCTGGAATAGCGAGCAGCTCGAAATAGTGCTCGCCCATGGAAGCCCAGCACGCTCAGTGTCGAGGCTCTGCGGAGCTGATTTTAGCTTTTGTCTTGGTTGACCTGCCTCAGACGCACCAAGATGGAGGCACCCAGCGCCCCAGAAGGCGAGTGAATGGGGCTGTAATAGCGCTGGACGCTGCGTTCACAGCGAAAAACCTTGATCATTGCGTGCTAACCACACACTGCGCGCGATAATTGTGTGGCGTGGGACTAGGATTCAAAAGGTCCCCGGCAGAAACCAGCAAAAGCAATGCTTCGGAGCTACAATCGAGGCCCTCGGAGCGTGCCAGGAACCACGTGGGTAGGTAAGTAGGTAGGTAGGTGCCTTGCACAAGTTTGGCTAGTAAAGGTTTACTGTAAATCCTCGTTTCTCCATGAAATTAACAGCATGGTAAAACGCTTTCAAGAAAGTTGTGAAGATTGGCTCCCACGCAACATATAGGAGGTAGTTGTATACAACTTGGCTCTGAAAACGATTCTCTCATGCCATTCATCCACGACATCGACAAATACTCCAACAATGCCGTAGAAATAGCAATGAGCACGCACGCAGGGAGGCTGCTAAGGCAACATAAGTCAACTATATTGATTCCAAGCAGGTTGAACCTCAAATCCGTGTACTATACTGCAGGATATTGCAGCCATGATCGACCGACGCACCGTGTTCCTGCAGACGTCTAACGTTTAGGATTGGGTACAAGAGTGTCGCCGTAGACGGATTTGATGCAGCGGCAGTTTGATGCAGTTGAAGTTGGGGCGGCTGAGCCAATCACGACGCTCGCAAGCACGTTCTGCTTGGTGTGCGCCACGTGCTTGCACTTGTCCTCGGTTTAACGTCTGCACCCCTTCAAGCTCAGCTCAGCTCACTCTTCAATCTGCCACCAACTAACTCCACCACCAGCACCAGCACCAGCAATGCTGAGCAACGTCCTGATCAAGACGCAGCGCCGCGTGGCCAAGCGCGTGGCGGCCAACGCGGCGCGTCGATGGGGCAGCGGCGTGGCCAGCGCCAGCCCGTCCGCCGATGTGCTGCACGGCTCCCCCATGCCGCTGACCGTGCTGACCGAGGAGGAGGCGATGTTCAAGGACTCGGTGGCGCGCTTCGCCGCCGATGTGATCCAGCCGAGCGTGCGCGCCATGGACGAGGCCGGCCAGATGACGCCCGAGGTCATCCAGGGTCTCTTTGACAACGGGGTACGCTGTCAATCGTCAACCACTGGGACTGTAGGAGAGAGCATCAACTAACCTGACTATCAATTGACTGCAGCTGCTGTCGGTGGAGATCCCGATGGAGTACGGGGGCGTGGGCGCGTCCTTCATGAGCCTCATCCTGACCATCGAGGAGCTCTCGCGCGTGGACGCGAGCGTGGGGCTGCTGTGCGACCTGCAGAACACGGTCGTGAGCAACGTGTTCCTGCGCTACGCCACGGAGGAGCAGCGCCAGGAGTACCTGCCGCGCCTGTGCGCGGACACGGTGGGCAGCTTCTGCCTCACGGAAGCGGAGGCCGGCAGCGACGCCTTCTCGCTCAAGACCCGCGCCGACGTGTCGGCGGACGGCAGCTACTACACGCTCAACGGCGAGAAGATGTGGATCTCCAACGTCGCGCACGCCGACGTGTTCCTGGTCATGGCCAATGTGGACCCGTCGCAGGGCTACAAGGGCATCACCTGCTTCATCGTGGAGCGCGGCACGCCCGGACTGTCGTTCGGCCCCCCGGAGAAGAAGCTCGGCCTCAACGCGTCGTCCACGTGCTCCGTCATCCTCGAGGACGTCAAGATCCCCAAGGAGAAGGTGCTGGGCAAGGTCGGCCAGGGCTACGCCATCGCCATCGGCCAGCTGAACGAGGGACGCATTGGCATTGCCGCGCAGCAGCTCGGAATCGCCGAAGGAGCGTACCGCCACGCCATGCCCTACCTCTTTGAGCGGAAACAGTTCGGCCGCGCTATTGGGGACTTCCAGGCCATGCAGCACCAGTACGCGGAGCTGGCCGTGGAGCTCGCGAGCGCGCGACTGCTGGTATACAACGCTGCGCGACTAAAGGACGCGGGTCTGGACTACATCAAGGCCTCCTGCATGGCAAAGCTGCACGCGTCGCGCGTGGCGGAGCGGACGTCCTCGCGGTGCATCGAGATGCTGGGCGGTGTGGGCTTCTCGAAACAGCTCATGGCCGAGAAGTTCTACCGAGACTGCAAGGTGGGCACCATCTACGGCGGCACCAGCAACGTTCAGCTCAGCACGATTGCGAGGTTGATCAAGCAGGAGCTGGTGTGATGTGAGCTTCAGTTTGTTTGAGGAAGAAGGAAGCCACGCGAACGGAAGCGGCTCTGTGTATGTGAACTAACTAATCCAGTGTCAACTTGCCCCACCTAGTTAAAGCAGAATGCAAGGTGCAAGAGGGAGGATTAAAACCACGTAGAAAAGGGATTACTTGCGAGTGTATCATTCATTCGGATTACCAGCACGTAGCGTTTTATACAGAGATTACCTGCGCGTAGGGCTCATCTGGGAGCTTGGTGCCCCTCTCTGTTACTATAACAATGCCTTCGCTGGCCCCTACGGCTAAGCAAAAATAAAACGGATGAAGTGGTGAGAGCAGTTTTGAGCCTCTCCAATGGCTCCCTGACCTTACATGTAAAACCTTTGCCAATCGCGACCTCCAGGGTTTAGCTATTGGCTAGCCGAGTGGCTCTGCGACCCATGCGGTGGCATTATAGAGGTGACGTACGATCGATGCGGGAGTAGCGTTAGATTCATGTGCATCTCAGGTCGTACCTGTTGTGTGTGTCACTCATCACATCGGCAGTCACAATTGAACAGTTCATTACCAAACCGAAGCTGACGGAAGCTGCACCGTTGGTGACAGTCATCATGGTACATTAAGCTACATCAGCTCTCGCTTCACCCTGCCTAATAACAGCGTCCAAAGTGCATGTTGTACCAAAGTAGTTCTCTAAGCGGATAGCTTAGAGCCAGCGTCATTTCTTGTCAGACCAGTTTAATACATTCGGTACATTTTAATATGAACTAGAGTATCCAAAATCTCATGGTATTACCGGTATAAAGCAGCGCAGCGTCGATTTGGAATAAAACTTAAGCAAAACAAAATGTGCGGTTTAATTCACACCCACCATTACAATGCATACTGTGGTACTGTGCGACGTTGGGGCTCATGCAGGCTGCGGAATCCAAAACGGAGTGCGCATGGCGCGACAGTAGTGTATGCAGTGTCCGGACGTCGTACCACAGTAGTATGCGTAGTGTTTTCTGGACGTCGCATCATATTGAGTACCAGTATCTACATTGATATAGACGGACAAGTCCATGGTGGTGCACTTTAGAGTGCTCGATTAGATGGGCGTGATGTTTGCTGCAGCAAGAACCTAAGTAAAGCAATATGAACGCATGGCGCAGCGAAATTAGCGCCAATTTGCACCGGACATCCTGTCGGACAGATTTGAAATTTTGTAGGCCGGGGGCTCTCTATCCATATGCTGCGCCGAGGTGAAGACGTCCTCTATCCACGTCCAACTAGAAGTTATAGAGTCGTAGGCCGAATAATCATCCTTTTGCTACTGCCGTCTTCATTTCATTGTCAAAATTTTTGTGCGTGGTGGTAAGGGACCTCTATTTGTCCGTCAACGTGAGCTTTGAATGGTACACGTCGTATGCTGGCGACGTTTGTGTAAGTATGTTGAATATTTGTGTACGTATGGTGTGGCAAAATGTTGTTTAAATGTTGCCTGAGGTACAAGCACCTTTTTTTCGACGAATTAATCTGTGTGAGGCTGTCCATACAGCTCTTCTAGCTGTCCTCCCAGGATAATCCTATTTGGTCTGCGATAGCAGCACTAACGTTGCTTCTTATCCCAGTAAAATCCGGATTCTGATCCGGGTTCATTCCGAATGTGGTTTGGGGCATTTCTTTGTACACATTCTGATTTTATCCAATCATGATCACTCAAAAGATGTGTATCATTAATAACCCCGTGATAGCCGATTGCTGATTTATTCGTATATAGCAGGAGACTGTATAATGTAATAAATCAAACAATCCGAATACATTCGAATATAACCGGATTTATTCGATTTTCAAACCGGTCGAACCGGATGAGCATGAGCCAGAAATGCCAATCCGGAATCCGAATGTCATCCGATTAAATTCTCTCAGCAGGCAAGTTGCCTGCTGATACATACAAGTATGCTACCTGCCTTGCTCAGTCCTGAGCCGCAACTACGTGACAAAAGGTACCAGTATCCAGAGGCACCCAAGCTCCTCATATGAGCCAGGAGATATTCCTCTATCTCGACTGAGCATGCAAGCAATTTTGAAGATCCCAACGACTGTGGCTGCCGTTTTTTCTGGACGGGTGGCCCACAAACATGCAGAAGCGTTCCGGTAACTCAAGCTTGGATCGCTATCGAAAACCGACGACTCAAACGTAAGTACATGTAGTAGCACCCTCACTATTAACCGAAAGTATCTACCGTTACAGTGTAGTTTATGAATCACCGCGGTCCCTCGCTGGGAAGCACTGTATGGTGCAGTGCAGCAGCACCCTTTTGCGCTTTTCCTGAGCTCCGCGCTGACTCACAATCTCATTTGCCGTTTCCAGTCGAGTCCGACCCGGAAGACAACTACCCCCGCTCTTACTGACCCGGCCGTCATGGCTGCAGCTGCGCCCCCGTTGCTCCACGTGCGCCGACAAATCAGCGTCGCGCTCTACGGCGAGGTTCTCGAGTGCGAGCTGCCCGGCGACGACGAATCGGTAGCAGTCAAGTGCATCTCGCTCACGCGAGCGGCTGAAGCACGACGCCAACTGCGCACCACGCGGGAGATCGACAACCCGATGCAAGAGCAACGCGTGGCTGAGCTCATTATGGCCAACGGAGGCCACCGCAACGTGGTGCAGCCGCTCTTCCACTTCACGCACGACAGGAGACTATACCTCGTCAACGAGCTGTGCCGGGGAGGAGACCTGCACTCACTCGTGGCGGCAAGGATGAGCGTATCGTCCCTCCTGGAAGAACATGAGGTGCTGCCGTTGATGCGCCAAGTGCTGGAACGCGTCAACTACCTGCATTCGGCGCTCGGCGTCGCGCATCGAGACCTGTCGCTCGAGAACGTGCTGCTGAGTCGCGGGGTCTGCAAGATCACGGACTTCGGGTTGTCGACGAACGCTCGATCGATGTGCGAGGCTGGCCAAGTGGGCAAGGAGTACTACATGGCGCCGGAGATCGTGGCGGGGGAGCGGTACGACCCCGCCCTGGCCGACGTGCGGTCGTTGGGGATCATGTGGTTCATCATGCTCACGGGATCGCCGCTGCTGTCGCTAGCGTCCCCATCCGAGAAGGCGTTTGGGGCGGTGGCCAAGCACGGCGTCGGCGCTGTGATCAAAGTGTGGGGCCACGCAGACCGCATATAGACGAGCACGACCTCGTTGCTGGAGAAGATGCTGCAGATCGACCCGACTCGCCGCGTTCGGTTGGATCAAGTGCTGGCCCACCCCTTGTTCGCCCCCGCGATGGCAACGCAGTAAGGTGAGGAAGGTTATACCAAGGTTACGTGGCCTGTATAGACGGATACACAGCCCTCGGTGGGGAGAACCTAGTTCGTACCTAAACCCGTCGTATTCCTAATGGATTTTCCTAAAAGTATGATGTGCACCACACAACGTTTAGGACTGTGGTAGGACAAGAAACCCAAAAATTTTAGGATTAGGACAAATCCACGAACATGACAAAAACACCGCCTATCCAAAATGCAGATCCTATTGTTATCTTTCTCCTAATCATGCAAAAAACAAAAACACAACCGCAGTGGCTCATCGTCGACTACTCATCCAGCTCTTCAAGAGGGTAATCAGCTGGAATCCTCGGGTCGGCACCAACAAGGTGCGACGGTGGATCATGAATGTTCTTGCGAATTTGGTCCAGCATCTCGCGTACACGCACCGCTTCCATCTTGGTCACACGTATGGATTTGGGAACCCGTTTTCGAAGCAGCCCTTGTAGAGATTGTTGTACGACTCTACCGGGTTGTTGGTGCGATCGCGGATGTCGGCGTTTGTCAGAATCATCTCACTGACGTTCCACAGCTCGGGCCATAATTTTTCATCCAAGTCTGGGAGAAGTATGACCAAAATGTGTTCCACGCCTTCTTGTGACCCCTTTCGTCGATCTTGGAGCGCACATACGGGATCCCGTGGCTGACAATCTCGTCAACGGGAATCACCGTCAAAATGTCCATGATACCTGGGCTCATCGCCGTGCATATGGCCTCCTTTGGGATGCGAAGGTCGACCAACTTGCGTCGAATTGCCTGCTTCCAGTGAAACAGGCATCCCACGAGCACCGACATCGGAAACGCACCCGTTACCGCGTTGATCAGCGCCTTTTCAAAGTCACAAGTCACGGTCCGCGGCTTCACTTGAAAGTTGACGGCTGCTTGGAGCCAGTATAGCAGGTACTTGGAGGTCTTCTCGCATTTTGCAGTCGCCAAAACGTAAACCACCGGAACATACACATCCAAAGATGCATCGTACGCCATCACGATGACGATCTGCTTGAATGGACGGGGCATACCTTGAAGGTCCCGTCAATGTAGAGAGCCAGACCAGGCTGTCGAAGGATGGGGATCAACCAGGATGGGCAAAGCCACAAATGCGCTGTAGAGCATTCTTGGAGACAAATGTCGAGTTGAATAGCAGGAAGAAGCGCTCGTCCATCTCCGACAGGAAGCAGTGTGGCTCAGTTTCAATCGTGCGAAAGAAATCGCCTCCGTTCACGACCGCGCGAACGTGCTCCACGTGCTTGATGCCCTGCTGACGGCTCAGCACCTTAAACGGACGATCAAGATACTTCTCTTTGAGATCCGCATACACGGAATCCCACACTCTTCCTAGAACACAGCCCAAATCTTCTTGGCTTTGACTCTCTAGCATTGCCTTCATCTCGTCTCGCGCGTCGATTGCTGGCTTGGCCGGGGGGGCGGCAGGTATGATCATTCTTGACCACAACTGGGGATCCCGTTTTCACGATGAGTCTAGCTGGACACCCATTGGTGCGCTGAGCACAGGACAGATACTCGGTTTGAAGTCCAGCGCGGTTGACCACTTTTCGCTTGAGATGGAACTGTTATCCTTGGTAGTTCATTTTGGAGAATGAAAGTGATTCTGACCTGAGGAAGTTCTCTTCATTTTATTTGTTGAAGTTTTGGGTTCAAGCAGGTGGTTCAAGCAGGTGGTAGGTGACAATGCGAAACTCTGAATATATCAAAATTATCAACGCGATTGTCGCATTTACTATCCCGTTGTACCAGAAGAAAATAAAATATGTTTTATAGGTTTACACAATATAATAGCGTTGATATAAAACATTGTGCTGCGCTGTTGAGCAAACAAATCCGTATGGCTTTGGGGCACAATCCAATATTTTCATGTTACATTTTCTCAGCTGTCTGTTCTTATAGCATACATTTTATTGCATACACGTGGTATTTTCTCACTGTCACCAACGTGACACACTTTAGGCTTTTAGGACTGAGGACGCTCAGAGACGTGGCTTTCTTAGGACGGATTTTAGGCAAACGAGATTAGGACAGATTATTAGGAATGAGACGATTTTAGGTACGCACAGGGGGAGTTCCCCTCGCTTATCTCCCTGCACCGATCCGTCTATACAGGCCACGTAACCTTGGTATAGCCTTCCTCACCTTACTCCGCTGCCATCGCGGGGGCGAACAAGGGGTGGGCCAGCACTTGATCCAACCGAACGCGGCGAGTCGGGTCAATCTGCAGCATCTTCTCCAGCAACGAGGTCGTGCTCGTCGACATGCGGTGTGCGTGGCGGGAACCGATAAATTAGGTCAAATGGCATATTTGATCACGGCTAAATGTTGTGATTAGGTCACGTGACCAAAATACCTTGGTCACGTACGTAATGAATGAGATGTATTACTTGCTGTTATAGCAAATGTCCTCTCCATCCTGCGCGCTCAGCTCCGTGTTGTATGTGTCTGAGTCTTTCTACGTGCGCCGTCGTAGTCGAATGAGTTATCCGGCTCAATGTACTCGATTTCGTCACCGTCTTCCACGTTCTCGCCATCGGTTGAGGGCACAGCGCTGCTGTATAGCTCTGAGTTCGCATCACAATTTCACAATTTCACGCTCATCGTCGCTGCTGGTTGGGGACTCGACGATATCACTCAGCTCTGGCAGCTTCGGTTGTCTTTGTAGCACGAACCCTGCCCGCTCAGGTGGCTTGGCTAAGCCTGAGATGACAGTCGTTCGTTGCGCCACATACTCGCGCGAAAAGCGTGGTCACAAACGTTTTCATGGGCGGGTGGGCATTGAATCGCTTGTTTAGCTCCCGATGAAATCGCTCTAAAGGATTGTTCGTCCGGCTGATGATGTCGCGCCTCATGTCGAACACATTCCAGTACTCGGGCGGGTATGTCTCCAACCAGGTGCGCTGAAAGTAGCGCCAAAACGACCGCCACTTGCTACGAGAGTATACCGGACCTTTAGCCTCACACACGCGGCGTATCTTGGCCTTTACCCAACCGATTCCTTGCACAGCAATTTTGGTCGGCTCAATGACGGTGAGTATGTCAAAGACATTACGCGACATAGCAACCTTGACTTCGTTGCATGGTAGCCCAATACGTTTCATCTTACGACGGCATGCCTGTTTAAAATGAAACCGGCATCCGATAATGGTGTTGTCGGGGAAGAACTCTCGAAGTGCCCCAATGAGAGAGCTCTCAAAGTCACACACCACGCCTTTCGGAACCAGCTTGCTCCCCACCGCATCTTGTACACACTGTAGTAGTCGGAGGTAGAACTTCGTCGTCATAGATGTAGTTGCCGCATGCAGGACTGGTAGAAAGAGTTTGCTTGAAACATCATAGATCATAATCGTGACACACTGCTTGTAGTCGACAGGGGCACATCGATACGTGCCATCGATAAACCACGACAAATTTTCGAAGCACAGCAAATTTAAAAGCGTAGGATGAGCCCACGCAGTTATCTGATCGACGCCATTCGCATCCTTTGGCGGCTTCTTCAGCGCCTTGACGTCATCGTGCCAGGCAAACTGAAACGGGAAGAAGCCTTGGCGCGATCCTTTAATCTTGATCAGCCCGGGGTTCGTCATGATGCTGGCTCGGCCGCGACTGGAGTCCTGACCCCGAGCAGCTTGAACTCGGTTTTTGACGTTCTTTTCGGAAACGCCTCGAACTGGGGCTCCAACTTTCATGTAGAACTTCTTCACAATAGCCATCCATATTTGCTTCTGAGTGAGATTCGTTTGAGTAGCGAGTTTGTCGACCTCCTCCATGATGTCGCTCGAAGCGTCGATGAAGTGGTCACCTGGGTTCCCCGTGGTTCCCCTGAGAGCAGGACCACCACGGCATGTATGTGCTTCCATGCCGCTGAAGTCGAACATCATGGTACTCGCACAGAATACAAACCGCGCGGGGCAGGGGGAACAATACGAGCTGCAGCGATATGATATCTTGTTTGACGTTGTGTTGGCTCGCGCAAAGGAGTACCCCTGATAGTACAGCTTTGCACGTCCATCCCGAGGCTGGGACGCTTGTTGCGAACGTCACAAACAGGTTGCGGTCTGGGTGTCCCCATCGGATAATGGTGTTGATAGAACTGGGCGTAGCTGTGGGGTGCCTGCCAGCGCAGACACGTCAGGTTCCGTATCGCACGTGCCCAAAAGACGGCCGTGGGTAGTCACCACGGCTTCGGACACCTCGCTCTCAAGAACGTCACTCGCTGCGCGGTTGGTTCGACGAGTCGGACGTGATGTCGGCGCTGCAGCTCCCGCCCGTAGGTCTTGAAAAGTCGCGATAGCTTCGGACACCTCACGCTCAAGTACGTCACTTGTTGCTCGATTGCTTCGTCGAGTCGGATGCGAAGTAGGCGCAAATCGAGATTGGCCACGTCGGCCAGGAGAACGAGATGGGGCATGGTCTGGACAAGATGTGAAGGCCCCTCGACGACCGCCTTGGCGCCGAGCCATGCTGTGTTCATTAGCGGTGGGCGACGACGTGAAGGCTGCTTGTGAAGGGAGAAGTCGCACTGGCCCACAGGTCGCATGCTTTATTTTGTGGCATGTTGGTTTCAAAACCCCCAGTTAAGAACAGGCACATGAGTCTGGAATAGCTACTAGACATGTTGTACTTTACCGCGGTAGTGAGCAGGATAACTTGGACGATGCTGGGGAGCTACAAGCTTGTGCGCGTGACCTAGCGATTTAGGTCACGTGACCTAAGTGCCGTATGTGTGACCTATCCGTGGCCTATCTTCAAGATTTGGCCTTGACCAAGTTTGCCATTTGACCTAATCTATTCGCTGCCGTGCGTGGCCCCACACTTTGATCACAGCGCCGACGCCGTGCTTGGCCACCGCCCCAAACGCCTTCTCGGATGGGGACGCCAGCGACAGCAGCGGCGATCCCGTGAGCATGATGAACCACATGATCCCCAACGACCGCACGTCGGCCAGGGCGGGGTCGTACCGCTCCCCCGCCACGATCTCCGGCGCCATGTAGTACTCCTTGCCCACTTGGCCAGCCTCGCACATCGATCGAGCGTTCGTCGACAACCCGAAGTCCGTGATCTTGCAGGCCCCGCGACTCAGCAGCACGTTCTCGAGCGACAGGTCCCGATGCGCGACGCCGAGCGCCGAATGCAGGTAGTTGACGCGTTCCAGCACTTGGCGCATCAACGGCAGCACCTCATGTTCTTCCAGGAGGGACGATACGCTCATCCTTGCCGCCACGAGTGAGTGCAGGTCTCCTCCCCGGCACAGCTCGTTGACGAGGTATAGTCTCCTGTCGTGCGTGAAGTGGAAGAGCGGCTGCACCACGTTGCGGTGGCCTCCGTTGGCCATAATGAGCTCAGCCACGCGTTGTTCTTGCATCGGGTTGTAGATCTCCCGCGTGGTGCGCAGTTGGCGTCGTGCTTCAGCCGCTCGCGTGAGCGAGATGCACTTGACTGCTACCGATTCGTCGTCGCCGGGCAGCTCGCACTCGAGAACCTCGCCGTAGAGCGCGACGCTGATTTGTCGGCGCACGTGGAGCAACGGGGGCGCAGCTGCAGCCATGACGGCCGGGTCAGTAAGAGCGGGGGTAGTTGTCTTCCGGGTCGGACTCGACTGGAAACGGCAAATGAGATTGTGAGTCAGCGCGGAGCTCAGGAAAAGCGCAAAAGGGTGCTGCTGCACTGCACCATACAGTGCTTCCCAGCAGGGACCGCGGGCGGTGATTCATAAACTACACTGTAACGGTAGATACTTTCGGTTAATAGTGAGGGTGCTACTACATGTACTTACGTTTGAGCCGTCGGTATTCGATAGCGATCCAAGCTTGAGTTACCGGAACGCTTCTGCATGTTTGTGGGTCTCCCGCACAGCAGTCGAAGTAGTAGTGATTTCCACAATGCTGCTGAGCTCAGTCGGTGGATAAGTCAGGAGGGAAATCTACTTGCTCATGCGGATCTCTTACCAGACTACGATACTGGCACCTTTTGTCATGTAGTTGTGCGCTGGAAGCTCGGAGCCGAGCACGTGCTTGTATCATACAAGCCCTACGTATCAGTAGGACACAGCTGCGCAGCCGACCTTGAAGGCCCCCCAATGCGAGCAGATACAGCAGGGAAGTTCGCACAGAAATTTCCTTTAGCTATCCACCTTTTGTCGGATCCCGCTGAAGCAGCGATTCGGATTGTGCCAAGGTCGGCCCGGTATTCTTTCTGACGCATCCAGTCTTTTTGGAGTCATCATGGATGCTAAGCCTTAGGGTAAATTAAAGAGTGATGTCGGCGTGTTGACTCTAATTCCCCTCTTGCTGGTGCTGCGGTGCGGCGGTGAAGCGGGGACGTGCTTGCAGGCGTGATCTTTCGTGTTCTGACAAAGACGAGCAAAATCCGCGTCAGTAACTGTGAGATTTCTTCGAGAAACACCCCCTCGCACTGCATCTGACCCGAAGGGTGCATGTCTTGTTTGGGTCCGACCCGACAGAATGAGGGAGGGTCGGAAACACCGAAAAATGGACGTCAGCACCGAAAACTAGGGGTCCGCCATGTGCCGAGTTGGGGTGCGGAAACACCGAAGACTTGGACACCAACACCGATGGGTTGGTGTGCCGAGTTACGCTTGGGGAATAACTCGGCACTGTGCCGAGTTGCACTGCAACTAGAACTCGGCGAAGTGCTGAACTGTAACTACGTGGTGTTCTTGTACGAGCTACGAAGCCTCTAAATAGAGTTTAAAATATACGGTATTATTAGACGGGAGCTGGAGGTAACTCGGCCACAAAGCTTACAACCGACCTCGAAGCATGCGCGTTGCACGCCGCGTTTTGGGACTTCGTGAAGGCTAAGGGGACCCCCTGTGCGAAGGATCCGGCTGACGCTCACGCTAACGACGAAAGGCTAGCGTCCAAGTGGCTTCTGGAAAAATCGGGTAAAAAGCATCGGACAAGATGGCAGGCATTGAAGGAAAGTGAGCGAAACACCTATATGGAAGCTCGCCGAGACCCCACCTTCCCCCTGCAAGAGGCTCCCGATGGCATTGTCGATGAACGGAAGGCGCGGAAATCAAGACCGATAACCGTGAGCACTCCACGTATGGCCGAGTTGTCCGAGCCAGACCCAGTCACGATTGCCGTACTGGATAACACTCTCCTGAATCAGATACGTAAGTACAAAAATGCTAGTATCGATTACGTGCGTGCTGTTAGCAGGGTGGAGATAATGAAACTAGCGAAATCATGTCGGACTTCCAATTCTACGAAGCAGAATTTGGAATCTGTATCAGCTATTATGGATTGCCTCATTGCCGAAGTAGGCTGGAGGGTGCCTGACAGCGAGCGTAGCACGATGATAAGCATCATGAGGGATGCAGCCATGGCAATTGAAGCATCATCCACTGGACAAGTCTTGTGGTCAGACAGCGAGTTAGACGAGATGATGGATTCGCTTAGGGAAGACGCAGGCTCAGCTCGCCGTTCACTTAAGAGCTATCTTCAGCACAAGCGGACTAAAATTTGCAGATATCTACGTAGAGAGGGAACGTCATCCGTCGGTAAGCGGGAGGTTCGGTGAGCTCGGATGGATCGACAAAGAAGACGCTGCCACCTACGTTACACAGGACGATGAAGTCGTGGTAGGAGCTTCTCGTGTCACTGGGAACGTCACCGATCAAGCGCCTCCTATCGAAGGTAAGCGTAGACGTACGCGCATGAATGACTGAAGCTAGGAGGTATGCTGTATCTCGTTACTGAGAAAAAAACATTTATAAGTACACATCTATTGGATTTACTTTGAAATACTCTATATACGCCTGTCATTTTGTATCTTCATGGCAACGGTGTGTCCGTAGCTAACAGAACACAGTCATTCGACGTAAAAGTTGCAAACAATGCACGTATATTCAGTGTGATAAATGTATCAATATAGTCTAGTATCGAGATGCCTGGCTCTGCCTGACTTAATCCCTTCCTCCCGACAGAGCCATCGACGCTAGCGACATCGACGTTTAGACTTGCCTTTTGATCCACGTCTTGGCGCCTGCGCGTTGTTTGACACGGAAATGGTAGCTTGACCTGACGCCCTCCGTTGTTCAGGCGTGTAGCTATCAAGCTGTTCCGCAAAGAACGTTGGTACTGGCGGCACTCGAATATATAGAAGAACATTTTGATCGTTTGCAATCCGTCCGGCTGTAGTTGGTGGTAACGTTTTCGTTAAGCCAGCGCCGATTGCAATTCCTGAGTTAACCATCGGCAACTCGCCATAGAGGCGAGCGCGCTCACGAAGATGCTCCATGCGCATTCCGTGGCTTCCTGGGCGGGGATGCAACAGAGGATACGGTGCCTCGTCATCACCAGACATGTTTTCGAATCCAAGGCCTGAAATATAGTCACCCTCGCGCTCACGGCGTCGACGATCACGTTTGTTGGCTTGCCACCTGCGATCCACAAATCGTTTGACTGGATCAGGCATACCAGGGCATGGTAAGCCAAGTAGTTTAGCCGCCTTGATGACATGCACACACATCCCAAACTTTAAGTTGAATCGGCATTGGCAATCCTTCGTTGCGGGGTTTACTATCCAACCAGTAGAAGGCATTCCTTCGTAGAGCATTCGCAAAGTGTACTTCGACTTGAATGGGAAAGAGCGATCGAAATCGTGAAATTCATCAGTCTGACCAGTATTTAAGGCTGCGTCGTCGCTTTCACCGTTTGATGAGCTGTTAACAGAGTCGTCACTATACTCGGAATCTCCATCATCGGCAACGAACTGGATAACGTGAGTTTCTGCATTTTTCGGCTTGCGTTCGCCCAGCCACGGCTTTGAGATTACGTGTACCAAACGTAAATTCCCACAAGGCACCGTGGCTATAGCCGAAATCGCGCCACATTTCTCCATCCGGTTGAAACGTGCCTCAGGGCGCGTGGACACTCTGACGTCACGGCTGAAAGCTGAGTTTTGGGCTTTAAATGCTAGTCGTGATCTATCCAGCCGCTCAACTAACTCAATTGGTGTCGCCTGATCCGTGTTGTGAACCCGTTTGAGAGTCTTGTGATATTGCTCAGCTGGATTATTAGTTGTAGCACATCCGGACGGTGTACGGAAAATCTGCCATTTCGAAAAGCAAGGATGCTCAATCCACTGCTTGATCAGAGGCTGAGCTACAGCGCGAAACATGGGACTGAAACCAGAGGCAGCTTTCCATGCAGCTAGAATTTGGCTCTTCTTCGTCTCGTATTCAGTATCTGAAATACAAAAGTGCAGTTCGTTAAAGCCGTGATAGATCATGTCACGACTTACACGCGGCAAACCTTGCGCTTTATCCTTCACGTTCTGGCGGACGTGGAACCAACACATGAGAATGACCGCTGCAGGCAGTTCCGCAACACATGAACCAAACTGAGCATCGTCTTTATCGGTCATCACGTATCGTGGAGCGAAATTTTGTGCGAATTGCTCTAGCAGCACTCGCTTCACAAACTTCAAACACCAGATAATAGCTTCAGTTCGCCGCTGGGACGAACAGTAATATACCACCGTAAAATACTTTCCGTAGCAGTCAGGCACGCCAAGAACGAAAACCGAGTATCGTTTGTTCACAGTAATGTGTGTGCTATCAACGTGGAGCAGTGTAGGGCACACTCCATCTTGCTGAACCGACACGTACGTCTGTAACAAGGCGTAGCAGGTTATACCAAGCCTCATTGGCTCGGTATCAGAGCTTTCTCCTATAAGAGGTACTCGCTCGCCTTCTTTTATCTCGTAGTCACAGAGAACCAACAAGCCGTCAGGTACTGGTCTGAATCGTACATGGCTTTCTTGCAGAACTCAATGACAGTTCGGATAGAGTCATTGTGATTCTTCGAGCGCCAACGTAGTTTTTGACTTGGTCCTGCTCGGGTGAAGGTCCTCGAAAATCACCGGCCTTTAACTTTGCCACAGATGAGAGAAAATAGGACGTATGGAAGCACGGCTGAGTCCTCTGCTAACTTGGCTCCAATATAAGATTTCATTTCGGCTGTGAGAATAGGGGCCCTTGGAGATGCGAGAACCGAGTTATCCATGGTGTGAGCACCCTCGACAAAAACGACTGCCGCATAGTTCACCACACAACATAGGATTTTGTAGCGGCAGCAGCACTTGGCTAGACTATCCTTGCATCGTGACGAGTTACATTCCGTCACAATACACCGCATGTCATGAGGCAAGGCAACAAGATCGGTCTCTCCACGGGCAGCATGACCAACTCTACAGTTCGTAAGATTGTTTTTCTTTTTGGCGAAACTTGGCATAGTGAACATGAACTTTTCCCACGCGTCTCGTTGGATTTCTGTATTTGGGGGGGGGGGGGTAGTCCAAATCATCGTCTAAGGAGGACGTCGACTTCTACTCGCGTCACCCTAAAGAAACAAAGTCACACAGATTGATGGTTAGTAGCAGAACATTTCAGATAAACAATAGCTTGGACAGTGAATACCTGGTCGCCTAGCCGTTACCCGCCACCCTGCCGCTCTTCGTCGGCTTGTAGCCCCCCGTCACCTTGCCGTTCCACCTCGTCATGCCGAGCGTCATCGCCTTGCCGTACACTACGACGGCGTGCCATCCGCACCTCCACACGA